AGCTAGGGGACTAAGAAGAAGAAAAATCTTCGCCAAGACCTTTTCTTATTTGCGCAAAAAGTCATGGGTCCTTGCAGAGTGTGGGAACTTGGACTTCAAAGGGCGGGTACGCAAACTGGTGTCATGACTTGCTTTGTTCACCATTACTGGCTGCAGCTTCTGCTGAGCGGCGGCTCGAGTGATTCAAAGTCCTGAATGGTGTGCCATTGATGCGGCATGTCGAGCTGGGGATGGGAACCTTGTTCGAAGCCCGAGCTTCCAAGCCAGCCAGGCCCCAGCATGGCCCTACCGTGCTTGGACGCATTATCAGAGATTTGGTTTGATTACATGTATGAGCGCAAACTTGCGAGAGCCGGCAGACTTGATTTGGCCTGGTCTGGTTTGGTCCGGTACAAGGCACGGCAAGTTTTTTTTTTTTTTTTTTACGAAGCAGAACCCATAGCTACAGCAAAGCAAGGCGGATGATTTGATTTCCATTATCGTCGTAAGAGGAATACGAAGACCCCCCAGAACGGCAGCCTATTTCGAAACAATCGGCGAAAGAGAGCGAGGACCCGCCATCGACAGAGCAGGTGGCCCCAGAAGCCTTCTGGAAAATTCGTCAAACCCTCCCGCCCACTTGGGGGGAGCATCGTGGGTTATTACGGAGTGCAAGCAACGGAACCACCCCCCTGGCCAGCTGGGCGGGCTACCAAATCGGTGGGAGCGCCTAAGAGTGGCTGGAAATGGCCTCGAATCTGGCCAGCAATCAATGATGCCGAATTACCCTTCCTGGCTTGCCTTGGGTTGCGAAATCCCTGCCGCGCCGCGTTACGGCGCCCACTGGTCCGACAGCTAGTAACAGGCCGAAGAAGAGACAAAATAACTCTACGGAGTACAGTACTCGTACATGTTATTCTTCACGATGGAGTGAGCAGCAGTGCTCTATCTAGGCAAGGGTGGACTGCATGTACGAGTACTCGCACACGAATGGAGTAAGTCCTCGTACCTTGTACAGGCATACCATTGCACTCACACGCACACGTGCACGTACGCGTACTTGTAGGTATAATTTGTACGGAGAACAGAGCTCTCGCATTTACCCCGAGTTGAAGTGTGACAATTTCTCGGCTTCTCTTGTATTCATTTAGCTATTCATCGCCTCTCCGTCACGACTTGACTCGGGGCACTGCTGGGGGTGTATAGGGAGTGTCTCGGAGACGCCAGAATCCGCAGTGCTCGACTTCAATGACTCCATCAATTGTCACAGTCAACCAGTCCGGAGAAGGTTGAGAGAGGCCATGACACAATGCAGCAGTCCGTGCTGCCCATTGTTAGCCTTAGTTCGCCTTTCAAATGCAAGGAACAAGTCAAGTCGCCGCTTGGACACGGCCGGCAAGGCCGCAGTAGCTTCATTACCGTCCCGCTAGAGAATGGAGATGACAAGTATTTACCACGTTTTTCTTCTTCTTTTGTTTTTATTTCCCGACGAAAATGCTATGTATGCCTTGGAAGAAATGGCTCGTCTGTTTGGGGCACGTTGCCAAATGTCTCAGGTTCCTTGCCACATTGTTGATTCACATAATCTGACTCACCAGCAGACGTTAGACCGACCATACAAGGCAGTCGTGAATCAACCATCACAGCTGACCCCCTGTTCTCTCAATACTACTCGTATGTACATGAGCAAATAGAAAAAGGAAGGAAAAAATTTGACACATCCCCACATGGTCATGTTCCTCAACCGTTCATCTCGAGAACTTAGCCCTATTCCCCTTGCTGCCCAATCGCCCTTCGGACCGCTTTCTTTTTCACCTTTTCAATGCCTAGTTAAATCACGTCGGGCTTTGGCATGTCATTGCCTCTTACGGCGGGCCCGATCTGCTGGGACTCAGCATCGCGTCGTGAACTAAAACCCGCTCCACGTCTCCATGTCTCACAACTATTAACCAAACAGATGCCATATGCGCACGATCTATGTGATGCCCCCATCTCTCAACCGCGTCATAGGCCAGCTGAGCACTTCATCTGTGTGGCGATTCACGGCCAGAGCCGCATTTTCCACTCTGCTATTGCCGTGACGGGCATGAATTTTGCTGCACCGGAAACATGTGGCCCCTTCCTTTGGCCCGGCCCCGTTCAGAACGGGGAATGGAACACGCATGGAACAAATGGACGCCCACAAGTTCTATAATTTGTTACAGACAACACGTAGCACCTCTATGCGGTGAATCTACCCACAACGACAGAAGATATATCATATAAAAAACAAAAATCGGCAGCGAATGCCAAGGGGTCGTCGGCCCAGCAAGGGGTACGATGCAAAGCCACACAGAAAATGCGGTCTGGCCAATCAATGGCGTCCCCAGTGACCTGTCTCTGGGATTCCCAGGATACGGAGCTGGAGCGAATGCGACCAGGGCTGAGCCTTTCTCGAGACAGGGTCCTGTCCTCACGTCCAAGCAAGCGCTCCGTCTGTAGCAGCCGCGTTTCCTCTCTCCAATTTTGCCGCACGCCAGGCTCTCTCTACTGCCCGCCAATGCTGGCTCGTGTTTTCCAAACGCCTTGTTGCATGAACACGGAGATGTGCGCCCATGACGTGCATGAACAATTGTCAGATGAACAAAGCCCTCTGATCATTGCCTTGTTCCAGGATAAGTGGCATTCCCCTCATTGTATGGAGTACTTTGCAGACACAAGGCCTCGAAGGGGCTTCGCACCGCTATTTCGACAAACATGAGCACTCCAGGCTTGGGCCTGTCAAATTATCTACATGCACTAGCCCCTGGTAGCGGCCGAGCCTTATGTCCGAGGAGGAGCCTCCACTTGCTGCTGGTTTGATGGTTTGATGGCTTCGGATAACCATACAACGGTGTACGCTCATGCGCAAGAGGCGAGAAAAAGGGTAAAAGAGAAAAAAGAAAGAAGAAATTATTTGGCTACTGCCAAACCTGTCAAACCTGTCAAAATTTCTTTCCTCTCCCTTACTTCCCCATCAAGAACCGCCGCGGAACCACAAACGTTTAGTGTCGGCTGTGCGAGCAAGAAAAGTTCCACGGGGGGGTTTGTAATCTCTCGGGCAGGTTGGCTAGCACGTTTCCGCACAAGCAGCTAGCGGGATGCCACCGAGTATCCAGACTCTTATCGGTGAGTCGTGGCTGACACCTTGATGGCCAGTTTTCTGCGGATCGTCTCCCCTCGTGACGGCCAGTCTCTGAAGGCAGATCCTGGTTCATTGGTCGCGCTCGGGTCCCAGCACCACGAAGACGGGACGGCGCGGGTGGCGGAGATCCCAGTTCTCAACCAGTAACAAGAAGAAGGTTTCATCAAGTGTTATTACCTGTAGTTGCGCTTGTCGTAGTGGTGTCAACAGCTTTGTCGGCCTTGGACCGAGACAGAGTGTGCTTGGCACCAGCAGACCAAGACTCGGACGGAGTCGACTCCGTCCGTCATGGGTTTGCTGCCAGGATTGATGAGTTTAAGCTAAGCTGAGCAAGATGGCTTGCGCTAGGTGGACTCGCGGCGCTCGGCGTCCCGGTGCAGCGGTTATGTGGCTTCACGCTGTCTCTCGCCGTTATTTTCTCTATTGCTAGTAGACGGGAGCAGCTGGTCATGCCGATCGCGTGCTTGAATAGCGGTATTACGAGTAAGTCTACGTTGTTTTATCAACATGGCCGAGCATCGCCAACGAGACATGGTATCTGTGTATTGCAACCAGGAACCTGCAGCAGTCACATCTCAGGAACCAAGATCTATTGTGCCCAGGCTTACGGAAGATTTTCACACTGCAAGTGACGAATCCTGCCGAGACAAGGCCTAATGTGTGGCAATTTGGACGGCCAATTTAGCTTCTCGGAATCATTTCCTGTAGCAGGCAGGCAATGCTCTCACTGTCAATGTGTTTGATCTGAGGCTCTGTGCCTTACCCTGAGATTAATAATGGACGAATAAAAAGCAACGGGAAAAAAAACTAAAACGAAATTGGCCGATGAGTGTTCGCCGACGGCTCTTTTCTCTCTCCCTGTATGGACGTTTCGAGTAATTCGTGTGCGGCACTCGGCGTACGGATAAACCAATTGAGTCCTGCAACCTATTACTTATCAACGAAATACAAGGCCACGGCCTTGTTCAACTCAAGATGAAGCCGACGAGCCCCAAATAGTAAGTAACCGCGGTGCCTCCATGATTTGTAGGAGTGCATATCAATACGGGACAATGGGCTAGGCCAAGCCGTGCCATCCAACAGCAAGAAGATAAAAATACACAAAACAAAAACGGCGGCTTTGACATCAAACGTCGCTTGTGTTAGCACTGAGTTTAAAGCAACGAGCCGACTGCCAAAACAGTCAGAGATGGTTCCCTCCCTCCAACCACATCTTTCCTACTTTGACATGGCGGTAAGGAGGGACAATCCTGCAGAGATCCCTGTAGATGCAGATTGACGTGTGCATGCACGGCTAATGTACTCCATATTACGAAGTCGCTGTACGAGTATATTGGCGGGTACAAGTTCGGAGTATGCAGGTTTAGATGAGTGGTGCAGCCTTGGCTTTGGCAAGAGAACCGGGCAGAGTGAGATTACGAAGGAATGACTACTGTTCTACCATTTTCACTAGTATATTTCCATTCAAGTGGATCGGAGGGTGTGGAGGAAAGGACGGACGGAGACCTGAGGAATCGCCCTGCGTTCATTCTGCGGCCTCGGAGGCCGGGCGGACGATTATTATTTCCATCGCGGAGTGTTTTGCGTAGACTTTTTTTAAGCATATCCTGTGCCAACTAAGTTAATCATCCGGCCCAACATTTGCCATTCAGCCCTCGAGGCGAAACAAAGGCAAATGGGAGAGGATGCAACGGTGACAATGACTGCATGAGACTTGATGTCTGACATCTTGGCAATTGGAAGATTCCATCTTCCGTAAGTTCCGCACGAAGCAGACAGGGAGACAGATATCTGGCAAACACGTTTCCTGGCGATCCTGTGCTTCTTGGCACATATACGATACACGATGTTCTTCACTATGTCTGTTTTGGGCTATTTCGAAGCCCTCAGGATGCAATGGATCTTGGCCGTCTCAGATAACTCAGCGGAAACCTCGGTGTCTCTTCTCCCGAAGCGAGACTTGCCTATCTTCACAAACGAACATGAAGTTTTGGGCAAAGCTGCACCGCCCGACGGCAATCTAGCTGCCGTATGGGTACTCTACGGATGTTCCACCAAGGGGTAGATAGATAAAGTTTAGTTTGCTGTCTGCCATCAACGATAATGACCGAGAAATGCTTGTCAGACTTGCTAAACTGATAGGCGCCTCGCAGATAAGGACACCTCTGCAGCTACAGCTAAAATTATGATGGCAATGAAACTACTTTGTTCTTATTCCTTATTTATCTAGCCGTTTTTTTTTCCCACTTGGCTCACCGAAATAGCTGCCTGGTTGATCAGCAATAGGTAAGCAGAGCACCTCTGTTGCTCCGCTCACCGAGCCGTTCCTCCTTGATATATTGCTCACAGTCTACACATTTTGTCTGGAGAGTTCTATATTACCTGTAAGGCCTAGAACTTTGATGTTTTCCACCTTCCAAGGATGAGTGTTCCGCACTTGGCCAGATACACAATCCATAGCAGGTGAACAACCACCTCCCACATCCTGAGATCCAACGTAAGCACAGTCAGGAGTGATTCCAGATTTCTCCCTTGATGCTCCTCGTAAAAGCCGTCTTTGATCTTCAGTATCCATCTAAAAACTATATCCATTAAATTGGGGGATCAGGTTCAAACCTTTCCTTGAGCAGTAAGTATTCAATAGCCGGTCAATATACAGCCAGAGTATCCATTCCATGGCCGGCTCATAACCTTTGCAGCCATCACCATTTCTTTGTTATGTTTAACTTACTATCCAAAGAGTTTTAGGCAGAGTCTGCCTCCAATTATCCACCACAACTTATCGTACAGTGCATCACGAGTAGAGAGCTCAATTGTTGCTCTGGTGCCATCAGTGTCAGAGTCAACGGCCAGTCAACACTTCTACCAACTTGTTTCCCGACAATCCGTTTGTCCAGCTCTGATTATCTTTTGTCCGAAAGACAAGAAATATATTGTGAATTGTTAGTGAATACGAGGAAACTGTTGTATTTGGTTGATCCACCGTTGATGGATCTAGATCTCAAAATTTGACAAACTCCTGGAAACGTCTATGCGATTGCTTGTCCGTGAACTCCACCCATGGCCTAAATTTTACAATCATAACCTCTCTGCTAATGTTAGGCATTTGAGTGACATGCCATACTTTTCCATACCGACCACAACCTTTCTCGCGTGTGCTCTTTGGTTATCATCTCCAGAGCCTTGTATGACGTGGAAAAGGAGCATGACGACAACTCTCGCTCGTAAATGATTTGTGGTAAGCTCATTGTTCATGGTGGTTGTATGTCATATACACTCTATAGTCGCCGGCATCTCTAATGTCTTGGATCGGGAACATCTTGAGATACCCTAACGACAGTGGAGTCGCAGTTGAGAGTGTGTTTCCCAACGGCAGAGCTTTCGAACTATGTAATTCCAAAATAATTAGATAACAACTTCAGTCACTAGTATCTTTTCAGAATCCCTGGGATCTCTCGGGTTCTGAAACATTCTTATTAAAGCCAACTCCATCGAGACCATGCTTGATGAAAGTGAATGACATTCTTTGCAAAGAATGTCGATTTGCATCTGTGTCGGGCTTTAAGAAGATAGAAATCGTATCCCAAGCTATAGAGAAAGTTCAACATCCTTTACAGTTAACGTGGAGGAACCATTACCATTAGTACCACATGCCCCGTGAGCAAGTTGAGTGTCTAATATTATCACGGAACGAAGTTTATGACAAATGGCTGGTGTTAAGGAGATATCTACTTCAATTATATAATGATAGATATTGTATATATGTTGCGAGATCCATCAGATAGTTCTCGAAATTTGCCACCGAAAGGCAGGAATCTTTTCCAGAGGCCCCTTAAAATGTTTGGCGGCAGCTGCGGCGGCAGCCCGATTTCGTATTATTGAAGCCCCTGGGGTAGAATTGATGGAGAACTGTTAGTTTAACATTCATTTATAAACCTTCGACTTGTTCAGCAATGGATCAACCGTGGTCATTTTTAGTCACGGCCAATGATGAAGAGGGCGCCACGGAAGATCGAGCAATTGGCAATCTTCTCCCAGCTCATGGGCGGATCTCAATGCTTGTTTCCATCGTTTCCATAATTCTCTTTCTCTTGGCTTTACGTTTTGTAAAATGAAACAGTTTCAGCGCCTAATGACCGGAGTGATTTCGAGTACCGTTGTGTTGCTGCCTCATAAGCGGCTGAGTTGTCTATCACGCTTGCCCTTCTACGCAAAGTTTTATTACATGTACCTGCAATTCACTCGCTATAATCTGTTTAGTATTATGTTATATTGTTCTTCCAGGGATTTTAACCAGCATGTTTTTATGATTTCACCCTTGTCTTGCTTCGTGTACAACCTGGTTCTAACGCGATGGTAGTGCTCATGTTTGCACCGGGAAATTGCGGCCACGCTGCCATACACACCCATATGCAAGTGAATCCAGCAATTGAACACATGTGGCCGTGCGTAATGGGCGGTGAGAGACTCTCGGAGGCCTACGCACACGGCAGCAAGCATCCGACAGTCACTTCCTATTCGTCAACTGAAAGTGGTGGTTCCTGGTCTCTAATCTTGGGTATTGCGGACCATCATCATTCCGATGATGTTCTCGTGGCTCCGTAATTACCCGTCAACAAATCCTGGGGTTCATAAAGGAACATGGAGTATTGTTGGGGTAAACTCGATGCAAGGAGTGCAAGCACAAAGGCAAAACCCGTCGTCACGGCCAACCAGTGAATGGAACAGCAACATCCCGGACTCCATAGTAATCCGAAATTTTGTTTCTATGCCTGTAGTTGAATGCAAAACACTACTCCTCGTTTGTAACAGTTTCCTAATATACCGGAGGTCACAGGGGACGCCACACATGATACATATGCGTGCGAAAGTATGGATAATAATGATGGCAAATAGGGTAATTTCCTACCTCATAATGTGTGCTACAACCCGGGTTGGTTAGTGAGTATGTGCCCTCCAGTCCATCATTGTGTTGATGGGCGCTTGCTTCCGGATCTCGCTCGGAACTGCGGAGGCATTTGCTGCTCCAAAGTCCCAAGTCTAGAACGGTCGAGGAGCGTGATAACGGTTTTGGGCGCTCCCCGAAGATTCCATCATCCCTGTCTTACAAGGCAAGGTCAAAGCAAATGCCAAGGACTAGGCTTGCTTGCCCTGCACGAACAGCGCATTTGCATTAATAGCTTGGCACCTGCAGGCTGCAACATTTCCATCCACTCAGATGTCTAGCAATTGAAGTGGCGAAGGTAAAACAAAAAAAAAAAGGGCAATGGCCCTTGACCTTGCTACACAAGTAAGCGCCAGAGGGAGCAGACATAGCTGAGTTGATTGAACCGGGCGTTTGCCTGAACCGAGAACAGCTGACGATATCACGACCCAGTCATGCACGCACAGCCCTCATTATACAGGTATTGACGGCCGGAGAAGTTTCGGGGATTGTGCCGATAATATTTCAAATTTCGGGGATACCCGCTGATGGTTCATCAACCTCTCGGAGTTCGTGTATCCCTATTCCCTTGTTTTCTTATAGCATCAGCGTCTCGCGCACGAAAACTTTTGGCCCTAACACTATATGTAGCACTAGAGCGTTGGGTCCGTTGATACATATGTATGCTTAAAGGGCGTGTATCTCGCCTGCATTGACGAAAACGCCAAAGTTACAAGGCGGTCGGCTACCGATAACATGAGACAGTAAGCGCTGCGTTATGATGCTGAGGTTTTACTGCTGCGCCTCGCTTAGGATCTCCGACAACTAACATGCATCCAATAGCTGTTTTCAGCTCTCGCACGCACGTTGTAGAGCCAAGTTGGTGATGATACATAGGCTGCCCTGTTAGGTAACATACCTGCGGGAAGCACAACGGTTAACTTATACCTTTTGAGCCAACATAAGATTTCTACAATGGTTTCGCAACATGCTATTTGGAAGAGCACAACTACAAAGCAGTTGAGCTATTCTCCCGTTCCAATCTGCACCTCTATGTGCCAATAAGAGAAAAGCCCAACAAGGCTCTGAGGCAGCCGAGGTGATGAAGCTTTGTTGCCAGTCAATCCCATTGGAGCAAGCCGTAAGGTGCGGAGAAAAGTGCCAGGATTTGCCAATAGCTTGGCATGCCCTACGGGAATAATGGATGCACACTGCTGCATGCAGATGTCCTGGTCATTTGCGAATCGCCCTGACCCGCGTTTTTGAGTTTCTTGCTTTCTCTTTGACAAATTGACAAATACTACTAGCAGCCGCCCTTCTCCGCAACATTGCTCGTTATGCTGCAGACCCCGCAGCTAATTGTCGATCAAAAGCACGACTAGGTCCTAATAATAGACAATTCTAGTCGGTAGAAGGGCGACCTTAGCTGAAAGGATTATGGAGGTTGCTGTTTGACATGGAATCCATGTGCTCACAAGAAGCCACTTCATAATAGATACGTCAGAGCCGCTTGACGTTATCTTGCTCTGCTAGGATCACTGGTGCTCACTCTCGTACACACAAAGAGATCAATGCCATTGCCGCAATGTCGAATATTCCAAACTGACCCCAGTAGCCAAGGATTGAAGACGGCCACAAAACGATCTTTGCTTGTTCACGCCCCCTTCTCGATTGCCCCCTTCTCCTCTGTTATCAGCGCAACTCCGTCCCTGCAATTCGTACTGCTATATCCGTAGTCAACACGGATGTCCACCATGAGATATCGCTGTAGTACCTTGCAATGCCCCTTCTCCTTATCTATACCCCCAACGGCGCTTCACTACAGTAAGGGACTCCAGGGATGGTGTATGGGGTCATTACGGAGTTGGAGAGTTCTGTTCAGGTCACAATTTCGGTCTGCGAGTGACCGGCTCTCAGTATCCCTCAACCTAGACCATGTGATGATGAGCATGGCAACGTCTCTCAGCCACTAGACCAGTCTGGGGAACGGAATGCATTCTCCGTACCTCGCTCGGCGTTCAACGGAGCGCCCCCACAATTTGATCGCGGGAGGGTGTGAGTATGCGTATAATTGCTGCATGGCCGTGAGTTGATCCGTGTGTTGAAAGGTGGAAATGTCATCTTCGGCGGCTGTCTCAGTCGCAGTATAATACACGCCCTCCGGGGTCTATTTACCAGGCCTTCTGGCTGGTGATTTCTTCATTGAGAAAATGGACACGGCTTGCAACGTGTTTGGCGGGACATTGTTGGGGCTTATCCCTGCGTTCGGAACAACTCTTGATTAATGGGATCTGAGATGATCACAGTGAGAGTGACGGCATGATATGTAGAAGGTCTTCCTTGTCTGAGAGGCCTGCCAAGGCCGTTCGGAGGACACGAACTACAGTGGCTTTCTGTCTCCGCACCTATGCAGATTGATGTCTTATTAGAACCGCCGGGGCAAAAGCATCGCATGGTCGCGAGTTTTAACGTGCGTTGTTCTTTGATGCGCTCACCTACACATATATAAAGTCGACGATCATCGGCGAGAATTGTAACAGGGGAAAAAACGCGCACACACATAGCGACTATTGCAGTTTGCTTAGAACAGTTGCGCAATGATGTCTAATCCAAATGGAGTTCCTCTGTTTTAGCTGCTTACCTACTCAGCGTTCTTGAACTATTGTGATACGAGGGAAATAATACACTCCCGACGGGAACGGCTATTTGTAGGCGGATCAACATTCATCTCACTTATACGGAGCGCCCCCCTGTTCGGCGCCGGGTTGGGCCGTTCTCTATTTCATAGTCCTAGCTCGCCTTCCACGCGATGTCTCAATTTCCTATACGGCAACTGCATCTCTTCTCAAATGTAAGTGTATACTTCTTATGGTAATCGATCATTCATGTCAACGTAGGATTTTTTCTCCTTTTTGGAAAGATACACCGTGAGGGGGCCAAAAACGGGACCGCCAACGGCATTATAGTCTCCGATATTACAGCCTCGGCTCCTCCAACTGGGCTCCGAGCCTGGCACTTATGAGCTCTCCTCTTCATAATCTTTCACCACAAATATGCAGGCTGACGCTCTAGCTTGCATCCAGTTTTACTCCTCCGTATCACACACGTGTAGAAAGCGTGAGACGCCAAGCATACAAGTTTACGAAAGCAGGTGTATAATTATGCATCTAAGCCGTCGGGAGATGGGGATGATCGCCCTTGTCTTTGTTTTGCTTTGCCTGCAACATGAAGCATGAAATGTACAAATATGCCATGATGCTACGTGTATTCCTGTTGGAAATTCTTTGCGGCTCTCGCATGCAACTACGTATGATGCTAGGGATAAGACGGGCGTCTCCCTCAGCCCTATGCAATGCTGCGTCTCCACGTTTCCGTTGGCCTGTATTTACGTAGTATCGCTACGGCTAGTAGTACGAGTAGTTAATTGCAAAATTGTATTCGCTCAATTATCCGACTCAGAGTTAGGGAGCGGCCCGGGGTGGGTTTCCCTTTCGTGATGCTACCTTTTAGAAGTAGGCCCGATAGATGGAGAAATTTACGAAGTACACTAGCGATGATATCATCCTCACTAGTGCCGTGTATCAGAATGAGCCCGATTGCTCCGTGTATCTAAAACTCATATGCAGGTCCGGATAGGCTGTTTGAGGACTTACAAATTCTTCCCGTCTTCCCGTTTGCCACTAGCAATGAGACCCGTCAGAGTTCCGAGACTAGTAATATTATATGCAGATAGCCGTCTGTCCAGTAATGAGTTTTTTGCGCATCTCGCTTTCCAGTGGAGTCTCTACGCTTACTCGTCTGAGTCAATGCCATGCATGAACAGGGACACAGCCCACTGAAATACTGGACATTCGTATTGGTAGAAATCCAATCGTGCACCGATTCAAACGCTTCTACAGGATTCTTTATCGTATTTCTCATTCCTTATTGCGTGCATCGTATACGGGGGGGTATGCGGATGCGTCAAATTGTGCACTTAAGCCCTACTAAGTGGGCTGTTAAACGACATGCAGTCTTGTAAGCGCACGACTTGGGATGCGTGTGTCTTATTCGCCGTGTTGACCAACGCTCTTAGATGAGTGAAAATACGTGGGGACTTGAGCGTTTATCCTCGGCTGACAGAAGATATGCGAAGCAATTATATTTAAATCATAACACTTGTGAGCTAAATACATGTACATTCGAACGCGGTTGAGCTTGAGGTTTAATACATCTACCCTAGAACAGATTGGAACTTGATCAAGAATCCGACAGTATAAAAAGTTTTTCTTCTCCGAGCATATAGTAATTGACTTTTACAAACGGCGGAACTACCCATGAACATATCCCGCCATTTACACAATAAGAAGCCAATTCTTTTTGATGAAATGGTAAATGACTTGGTCATCATATATTGCGTGTAAAAAGATTTTCCCTTAGCACTTCCAAATCCCTGTAGAATTTGAAGCATTCCTCTTTGGTGCACTAATCTCGGGACCTGAGTCCCATGGTCCATGGTTCTCACGAAAGATTATTAAAGGCACGATTCTCCTCATGTATCTAAGTCCCTAATACATGGGAGGTTGCTTGGAGAAAAACATGGCAGGTAATAATACTGTAGCAAGTTTTTAGAGCAGCAATTTCAGCGTCGATTTAGTTATTTTAATAATATAACGCGATTGTAAAAGTGTCGATACATCGAAATTTGATCCTACGTTAACCTATAATAGCATCTGTGTTGATTGGCCTTACCTCTGATGTACTAAATTAACTCAAATGATGTTTCTCGATAGCTTGACTGCCTCATGTCCAAATAGCTAGCCAGAGTCATCTTCGGGATCCCAATCTTGGTGATACAGTTGTGATTACTGCTCGAAAACGCTACGCAGCATAGGAAAAAAAAAAAAAGAACCGTATTATACTAGTCAAAAATCATTGTGGATAATGCAACAAGCTGGAGAAACAAGCATGAAAGCAGCGTTTGCTTCAGACTACGAGAGGAAGCTGCCCAAAACGCCAATTTTTGCATCAGGGTAGAATATCTACCAGTCGGGGAATTGAGATCCGAAGCTTCGAGGCTGTTGATCCGAAATACCATGAGATATGGAAAGGAGAGGACAGGTATGGTCTTTGAGGGAATATACAAAAATGGATCATTGATAACGATATTGCTTTTATCACAGTATGCCGAATGGAGTAAGTTATCGCGAACGAAGGATCAACTATGCAAGGTATTGTGCTGACTGCACCGCAACTGAAGAAGCTTAATTCTACTACTATTGAAGTATGATCGGAAGATAAGCAACCCTGCCTGAATCTTGGCAACTCGAGTGACAGTATACATGGCACAAATTGTAGATAACTCTGGTTGCCCATCACTCTGCTGCTGTGCGTAATGCTTGATTTCTCTCTCGGAAATTGCATTTGTGCCCGAAAAGCTAACCTGTTAACTAATATGATCGCATTCAATGCCATTGGAAACACAAATTTACGCGGCTTGTTATATCGGGTTATCAAGTTGACTCTAACCAGACGGAATCTAGAAAAGAATTCTTCCAATACAGCAGGGCCCTTGGCCCCCCATGGATTGAATCGTTTGTGACGCTGATAAGCATAAAATATTAATCGTAAGCGCGGATAGATTGAGTTAGAGAATAGTTTCCGGTTGAGCGGTAATCTCCAGAATAACCTCGCTCAGTCCGTTACTGGAGCTGTGAGTAGATTTGTCATATGGGTACAACTTGTTATTATTCATCTACATGTTAGGAGCAGTGTCACTGCAAATAGCCCATGTTAAGTTCAACGCCATTCCTTAGTAACAATTAACAATAGTCTCGTGCTAAGTATGCTAAGTCAAGTGACAATGAAAAATTTTTTCACGATGCATAAAGTTTTCTTCATATTGTCAATACAGGTTGTTGCCCCATTCATATTCATGTTGCATTGGGAGATGGATGCGTCGTCTTTATTGCCCAAATATGATAGCTGAACGACTTAGTGAAAAGATCTAAGCTGCTCCCCGACTACTATCCAGAACTGTAAATGGTAGTGAGTTCTTAGTAGGCTGAGTTGAATCGAAGGAGTTATTGCAGCATCTTCGCTGTCGGCGTAGCTATTTTGAACAGTTGAACAACTACCTAGTGTAACAAAGCAATACACGAACGACTATGATCAATAATGAATTGTTTATCTAGTGAGCTGCTAAGCATTCTTGCCGACATGCGGCTGATGTGAGATTGGGCGTAAGTAGTATCTAGTTGAGTTGATTACATGGAAATGCGCTTTGCGTGTCAGTTGTATTGACCAGGAAAGCTCTGCTAAATTACGGCCGCCAAAATTAACGAAGTCTTTTTTGATGCACGAATAACAATTTAGTTTCCTTGCACTGCAAAAATACCAGAGTGTATGCGAGACGAAAGTAGTCGTGTATGAGAATAGAATTCGCACGAACTCGGATTCAATCGCTAGAGTGCTGTGAATAGTGTGGCACAATGGTCTTGAGGCTGTCGCCCAAACTCGGCCGAAAGTGGATAGAGTGCAGACTCTCGCTCAATTTTAATGAGAGTGAGTGAGCCTTAGCGAAGCCGTAAGCTCACTGTAACCAATGAGCAATATCAAGATTCTGTAGACTTTACGAATTATTAATCGTGTGTGCAACCTAGCCATCTACAAAGTGATATACGGTAGATATCCCAGGAACTATAATAAAAAACAGTGAAATAACATTCGCGTAATAAGTTAGCGCTGAGTAGATGCCTCGAGTCTTTCCCCAGGTATAAATGAAGCAAATACCAGCTCTCTTAACATGGCGCCTATAAGTAAGCTTCTTAGATCTCGAATCAGCAAGTACTTTTTCAGAAAACTCTAGTTCGCTGCTATAGTACATCATAATTCCTTGATAGTTATTGTATCAAGCATTGCTCCTTTTTTTCTGCTACAGATCTCATGTCTCTCCTTCAGGATTGGCCATGGCTCGCTTTGCTGGCGGGAATTCCTTTACTCCTTGAGCTTTGTAAGCCTTCAAAATATTCTCTCGGTGCCGATACGAAATCTCGATCCCAATGGAGCTCCTTACTCAAAGATCAGACTTGGTGGATGCGCGCCGCATTGCCGATGTACCTATTGCATGAATTCGAAGAGCATGGCTATGATCTCTTGGGTAGACGATATGCATTTCAAGCCTATTTCTGCAATAATCTGGTACGGCTTCTATCATATCCTTACACATCACCTTGAATCTTACCAATTTTTTCTGAATTAGGGATTTGAGAATGTCAACGCATGCCCGCTAAGCCCGCTTGTCATCCTGTTTGTTAATGGCACAACTGTATGGATTACTGGGGTTGTCGCTCGGAAAAACATTCGAGTAGCGAGAAGTTTCTACGGGTTTGCCTTTATCAACGGGTTGACTCACGTTATTCCGGCATTAGTAGTTGGTCCAGCATATAACCCTGGCCTTGTCACAACATGGCTATTATTCTTCCCTGGGGCATTTTTTGCACTCAAATCGCTAGGCGGTGCTAAGAGAGCAATTGCAGCTGGAGTTCTATGCCACTTCGTCTTGATGGGTTCAATGAAGCTTGCTGCTAAAGGGTTGGTCTCTGAGTGGGTTCTCTGTGGGGTGCAAGTGTTGAATACCTCATTGTTGATTGCATTCTAATCAAATCTAAAGTTAGCGATCAAATAATGACCTCTTACTCTAAGTATAGTATTTAAAAAAAAAAGTCGCATTCTCTTTAAAATAATAACGGGCTTACTAAATTGCCAAGTACTTACTACAAAAACGTGATGGACGCTACTGGATATCTGAACCTAGATAGATGGTGCCTTGAATGAATCCCCTGGTATTATTTGTAATCAATATCGAATCAAATACATTAACCGTGAAGCTACATGTGAATGTATAGCTAACCAATCGGCTTGCGTTTGAATGGTAAATTCTTGATACCGAAAGAGGGGCCGAGTCTGCCTCGGCTTATAGCCATGACAATCTTACACTAAGATCTTGAGACCGACGGGATCTAGGATTAGCTTACTATCAACCAATGAGATAACTCAAGATTTTGATACGCGGCTAGTAGTTACATTGAGCTTCAAGTTATGTATAACAGAATCATCGTATGATACCCGATTTGACTTCACTAACTGGCATTTTATTATTCCAGATCAGAAGCAACACTGAACAAAGAAGTAGAGCCTTGGACCTAAATGACTGAATATGTGTCAAACTTAGTATGACATGAAAGAATTCTTTGGAATGGCAACGGTCGTAATGCATCCTCGTGATCTTAAGCTGCGCAGAGATATAACTTCTTTATAAAGGGAAAAGCATAACAATAATAGCCCCATAGTACGGAAAAATATTTAAACTAACAAATAATTGAGAAATTTTCTTTGTAGATAATCAGGAGAAGAAAGGAATGCATATATTGAACTGAATTGTATATATACCAGAACACTCTGCTGTTGATCTTGCGATCCATTAATATTTCTACTACTCATGGTTTCGTGATTATTAAACGACAATGGATACTAAAATGATCAATCTCGCAGCCAAACTATTTCGGCATGCACCGACAGTAATGTCAAAATAGTCGGAATGATTGAACAGTCGGTCATCTCCATCTCTGCCGAGGCATGAATAGAATGCCCTTATCGTGGCATCATCAAAAGCAATATTTCGGATATCCGAAACCAATTTGTCATCGCAGCTAGTAGTTTTGTCCGTCGGTAAAGGGCCAATGTAACAAGCCGCAAGATATTTTAACCAGTAGTTCAAGTGCGGACTTTTCCAAGCCCCAGCTCCCTAGTCCCGCAGATCTCCGCAGCGGCCAATCTTGGCGTTCTTTAGAGTTGTCTAGAAACAGGGTCTCTAATTACGCGCTAAAACCATCTGTGATATAAAGACTCTGTCTTTATGATGAGTTAACGTCCATGCTTTTGCAATAAACTATTGTTCGGCAGTGTTTGTTTACCTCAATCATGGCGGAAGAAATGCTTGCTGTCACGGCGCCTGCCTACACCGATCCATCTCGTTATGAACTCTCCAAAGTGCCTCAGCCGATAGTCACAGAGGATACGGATGTAATTATAAGAGTTCATGCTGCGAGTATTAATCCAGTGGATGTGAAGAAGGCAGCTGGAGTATTCAAGCTGGCCGTTAAAGACACGTTGGTGGAAGCTTCCGTATGACGATTTCTGAAGCTCACAATTTACAGTTTTCCATACAAGCTCGGATATGACGCAGCTGGTGTTGTTACCCAGGTTGGAAAGAGTGTAAAAACATTGAAGGTCGGCGATGAGGTTTATACACGGTTGCCAGAAGTTGGTAGAGGTGGGTGATGAGCCTATTTGCTTATCAAACGATATGGTATTGCGACATAACTAACACCACAATGTAGGAGCTTGGAGCGAGTATGCCAAGTGTTCGGAGGAATATGTCGCTCTGAAACCCAAAAACATCACCTTTGGTGAAGCTGCCTCACTACCATTAGCTGCTGTGACGGCACTACAGGTTTTGCGACAGTACAAGGGTTCACTTGAAGGCAAGACGGTATTTATACCAGCCGGCTGTAAGTGATGTCGTTTTCTAGCTGAGATGTTAGGTGGTGAGACTGACCAGTAACGAAAAGTGAGTGGCACTGGAGCATATGCGTGTCAAATAGCGAAGAATGTCTTCCATGCAGGGAAGGTGATCACCACAGTCTCGACAGCCAAGATTCCAAAGGTCCCTGAGCTCCTTGGTGAAGGAGTTGTTGACCAGAGTATGTCCTATTTGGCTCTATACCATAATTCAATACTATTGGTTCGCTGCTAACTTAATTATCAGTTATCGACTATACAAAGGCCGATCCATTGGAAGAAATCCCCTTGCGCTCTGTTGACTTTTTCTTCGACACTACAGGCCAGGCTATGCAATTCCTGCCTCTTTTAGTCCGGTCAACAGGGATGGTGGTATCCATATCTACAAAGCCATCAGCAGCAACACTCCAAGGATCAAGTGTCATGAAACGACCCGACAACCCGCGAATTCCTTTCTACGGCCGAATCTTTCTTGATGCAGGGGATTCGATCAATAAGCTTCGAGCCTACTACTATGGTGTTGAATATAAATACTGGTTCTTGGCCCCGAACGCAAAGGATCTCGACACTTTGACGGGATATGTAGAGGAAGGAAAGTTATTGCCCGTCGTTGGTGCAAGAGTTGACATGATGGATATCGACCAAGTACGCGAAGCGTGTCAAATAATCTATAACGGGAAAGGCGGTCTGGGTAAGACAGTCTTTGAAGTGAATAAGGAGTAAGCATTGTACTCTACAGGATGTGCGAGGTTCCAAGAAACATATCAGCTATTTCCTTTGTTTGCTAGAGATTATATACTCACTACTAGGTTTGCCGAACCCTTGTGCAAATCTCAATAATAGTCATAGTTACATGCCTTAATTGTATTAATTATAATAATTGTCAATATTTTGCTCCAGTCCGAAATAATGCAGCCTATTCTACCACAGTCTTGGTATTTTTGTTTGTTTCAATGAAGACTTAAGTCTAGACGACTTCTCAGTAACTGCCTTCACTGCCTATCCAGATGGGTTTTCTTTTCCACCAAAAGCTCGCCTGTGCATATCACTAAATGAATCACAAGGCAGCGGAGTTTCACTACAGGGCTGCAAATAATATTTCCCAAAGCAACAGAGAGCTGATTCGTGATGCCAAAGCCCGCTCGCCTCGGCACTTCAAGATTTGGCGACCCCACCGATGGCAACGACCCACGAGTGGCCAAAAACGGAGATCCATTCGCTCCAAACGGAGCCGGAGCAACGGCTTTCGAATCCCGTCCGCTTCTGCTCCGGCTCCGAATTCTCTCCATCAATACTTGGGAGCATTTTCAGCTTGAATGCCCAACACTTCAAATCCATATAGCGGTACAAAAGTCTTGTTATTTAATTGCTTAATAAATTGACCTGTGATTACGCCAAAGATTTCTAGAATCCATCAGAAGACTACGGATTGTGTGCCGTGGTTAATCAGCATGATTGGCTGGTCTACAGGACGGAGCCGCCGACGACGGAAGTCAAATACCTATTTTAGCCTTTAGCGGGAGAACGGGAGCCTAAATGACTTTTTTTATATAGCTTGGTGTGCTACTAGTGGTATGGCGAAGTCTTCCAAAAGGATTTGGCGCGCAATATGATGGGTATTTGTGATAGGTTGACTTAAAAGCAGGCGATTGGAGCACTGAAACCGTGCTAGTCCGCCCGACCATTATCTAACGCTCATCATAACGCGTGGGTGGCTATCAAACATGTAATCGACACGCTGGAGTAAGGCCGTTAAATGATCTGGCGGCATCTTATTGGCCATACGTGCCAGCTGTTGACCTTGATCCGGTTCATAACCGTTTCAGTTTGCTTGTTGTTATAGTGACCATATATTTATTATCATTCAAATACCATTTTCGCAGCATCTTTCTGCTCACCGCGCTCCCGAACCATACGAGCAATCGCCATCCCTGTCTCTGACCCCAACTTCTCAAAACCCTGAATAACCCCATCTCTATCACCCTTTCGCATTTCTTGACTCATCTTGAACTTGCCCTCCAAGCGGGTAATTGTTATTTCAATGCCAATGATGTTTTTCTTCAACAACTCAAGCCATCGCTCCGGTGCCTCGGATACCTCCCACGGCTCGGGTCGGCCATCTTTGCCGGTGTAGCCCATGATTGACTCTTCGCTGTGCTTTGACAGGTCGTCGAGCTGCCGAGAGAGAAACTCGATAGTATCCTTGGATTTAGAATCGTGGTATATCTTGGCCTTGCCGTAGACCTGTGCAGTGGCATAGTTCCAGGTAGGCGCTACTTTTGCAGTTGTAGGCTTTGTTTCGACGTAGAAAACTGGTGGTACATAATGGTGATGGGGAGAGGTAAACAAAACCAAGACTTCTTGCTCCAGGGCATTGCCGTTGGCCGGTGCCCCAAGAGCTACAGCGTCTGTCAAGGTCCTGCTTTGGGGGTTCTGGCGAGCCATGTGCCCTTTTAAGGTGCCAAGCTCGGTCTCGCTAGACTCATCGTTGATATCCAAGAGAAATGGGATGTGGCTAACTTGGATCAGAGGATGCGTATCCGATGGAATGGCAGTGGTCAAGACACCTAGTGGAAAATCTCTGATGAGCTGCCGCAAGGCAGGAATGCTAGATTCGCTGTGAACTGGAGGAAGAAACATTTTGGTGAGGATGAAAATTGAAAAGATTTGATCGCCTATCTACGTCGGGAGGCAGCATATAGCGGCTATTAATACTTGTGGATATCTTCAATACCTTATTTGCGATAACATCAAGTATGTGAGTTATATGCAGGTAAGATATTCGGCTCCCAAACGTATAGCCTACTATCGATGGCCGTTTTCTCCTTGGTAGCTCAGGTATTATAGGTTACGTCGATTTCCTTATACATACCTATATAAAAAGACCAGACATGGTGTTGAGACTAACTTCTCATCATCCGCCTGATACCCATAAGTGAAAAAAATTCTTAGTTCCGCCATCACTTGAATCGAATAGTACTTTTAAGCCTGTGTTTCAAACAGCATCCGTATAACAAGCCCCACAAATTGTCCAAAGAGATAGCCTACATGGGTAGTAAGGTCAGTGAAAGGCTATCAGATTGAGTAGGCTAAGTTTGGATAGAAAGAGTAGTTGTTTCCATTTTGTAGGCTTATGTAAATTATATAAATCGCCTTCCCATCTGGAACAAATATTAAAGTGGTTGGATACGCCAGTCCTCCGATTTCATTGAACAAGACTCCTCTCTCGTCCATGGCAATTCCCCCATGCTCAGGGCCGGATTTGGACCGGGAATAAAACAAAACCACAATCTTCGTTTTGTCCAGGTCATCTGCGACCATTCCGAGGACTTCTCTCTTACATATTGACGCGATTACTCAAAGTCTCCGGCCCCTCGGCAACAATTCGTACCATGGCATCTTGAAAATCGCAACACGACCCATGCCCACATATGGCTAGCGAGCGTGGGGAACGATCCAAGGGGCTTGGCAGGGGCATCGGTAATACGAATTGCTCCGAAGCGTCTGCGGAGCGCAGACCATTCATTGAATGTCATCTTCAAGCCACTCGTGCCCAGCTCTACGTAACGCCCCCAAACCCATTCGACGAATGAAAACATATGCATTTCATCATGAAGAAGTAGATTTGAAGGCAGTGCAGCGGCTTTACCGAAATTCTCTCAGTGAGATAGACAGGGTACAATTGACTTGTTTACTTTAGTGGTGGAAGTTCTTTGGAACTTTGATTGGAACTACTCGCCCATCTCAACTACGCCACTTATATCACAATTGCCAAGATATATTTCTCCGGTGGAAACATATCCAAAACGTGTTTCAAGACGGTCATACTTGTATTATCGTAATCCATGGTGAGATAAGAACCCAGCTAGAACAATACGTACGCATGCGGGTAGGGAGGGCTAGTTACGCTTCTGGACCCAAACACAGACGCCTTCTTGCCGAGTCAAAAATCGATTGTGGCAATGCGGAGAACATGTAACCAACAAGCAAAGGGGGGTGTGTCACTCCGGCCCTGTTGCAGCAAAGGGAACGCGTAATGCATCCGAAGTTTCCATTGTCTTGGCTGACAGACGCCTACATCCCCAACTGCCGATGCCTGAAGCGTTAGATGTGAAGCATAGCGATTGAAATTCTAATCACATTTTGTTGTTCCCGCTGGTCCGTGTCACGCTGATTCTCAGTTTCGAAGTCCATGTTGCCCAACCTTGCTGAACACTGCCGATGTAACCTGGTGCCATCCCATCTTTCTGTCAGGTAGCGTCCTCTGTGGTAACATATGAAGATACATGGATCTGTATATCCAAAGAACAATCAGTTTTGTGTACTCCCAATCACAAGGACAGTAAAACAGCAGTAGATGATTCATAAATTTTTTTTTTTAATTGTTATTCAATTATATGTTATATTATTAAGAACGCAGAATCAGCTCCCAGTCTAGTTAGGTGAGCATTCGGCGGTATCATATCATTATTCCCTTGCACCGTCCGTGGTTATTTCAGCAAAAATACTCCATGCAGTAAATCAGACTCCCTTTTGACCAAGATGCAGCCATTATCGCAATATATATACGTAGAAAAAGTTACCATCCTCGTCATCTTCTATGCCAACTTGCTCTCCTTGATAGCATAAGTAATGGTTGATGGAACCTTGCGAAGGCAAGTTTCGCATATTAGTAGAAGCAGGTAGTTGATGAGGTATAAGCCGGCAAGCAGTCCTACTGCTCCCGCGAGGAACCAGGTCCAGGGTCGTGTGCCCAGCCACATGAGAGCATGGGCATCTGCTTTGTGCCAAGTGGCGCTCTCGAGGTCGGTGATGTAGGATCCAAGGTCAGGGGGATCGATGACCTGCACGGTTGGTGATGGCAGTGAAGGCTGGCCTAGCAGATAGTCCTTGACGACGAGACTAAGGAAGAGCGGTCCAGAGGACATCATGATGTTGGCGTAGGGCTGGATCTCGGCCCAGAACCTGGTGATGTCGTAGAACAAGGGGAGTTTGGAGACGGCTGCGGCGTAGGCTGGATGTCTGGCGGTGGAAATCATGAAGTCGTTGGTGACGCCGGTGGGCAGCGTCGACTTGAACAGAGCATAGTGCTGTCCCGGGCCCTTTTCAAGCTCCTCAAAGGGAATGGTTTCGTTGCAGAAGGTGTCCATGTCGAGATAAATACCGCCATAGTGGTGCAGGACAAAGTAACGGATGGCATCAGCGCGTTGGATGGGGAAGGCATAACCATCCCAGTTCTCCACAAACCAGGGGTACTCGGTAGCGATGAATTCGCGAGCCAGCTCGTCAGTCCACAGCTAGAGGGGTCAATGCTCGTTAGAAAATATATATCAATATCGAAATCCGTCATTACACCGACTCACCTTGTACTCAAAGTCGGCATACGTCTCCTTGCAACTGCGCTGCGAGGCAACCCATTTCTGGGGGATGGTGCTGTTGGCAGTGGTCTGGTGCAGAATGCGAGGGATCTTGGGGTGGCCCAGGTCGTCGTCGTCGGAAAAGGGCGACGAGCTCCACGTGTCGTTGCGAGGAATGGTGATACGAGGGCTGAACAGCTCGTCGTTTCGGCGCAGCAGCGTGATGAGAGGCTCGAGCGAGTAGAGCAGCAGGCCGACGATGGTCACGTCGACCAGCAGCAGCATAAAGACGGCGGCCTTGCTGAGTCTGGGGAAGCGCAGAAACTTGAGGGCTCTTCGCTGGGTGGACGATGGAGAGCGAGACTCGCGCGCCGGGCGCTCTCCGCGCTCCTCGTCAAACTGCCGCTCGTTGCTGAACATTCTGGAGGCCGGCCCGGGATGCTGCGAGGTGGTGATGAAGGAGGTTGAGGAGGCCAGATCAGATCAAGCAACCGAGCATGAAGCCAAACAAAACACAGAACACAGACCAGACACTACCAGGCCAGACCTCTTAAGTCCCGCAGCGCACGAGATTTTTATCACTGAGCGAGCCCGCTAGCACTCGGCCTACAGCGAGCGCCTGGGCCAAGGGACGCTGCCGAGGGCGCTGATTGGATGGGCCCAACAGGGGATGCGATGCGAGCCTGGGGCCTAGGCCTTGCTGGTTCTAGGGGCCTTTGTTTTGGAACAGGCGCTAGGCTGCAAGCCGCCTAAGACGGGCCCTTGCGCGCTCTTGTGGCGGCATCAACAGCCTCCATGGGGGGCACGAGTACAAGTAGAGGTGCTAGTACATAGTACTAGGTACGGCAAAGATTTGATGCTCTCTGTTGCGAGGGCACGGCGTATCGTATCGTATCGTCCAGTTGGTATCGGCGAGGTACCTGTCGGCCGCTGCTCTGGTGGCGTCTGGCTCCAGGTCGTGTCCCATGGAACCATGTCAGGTACGCGCAAATACTTCCCTCGGCGCCTTGCCAATCTCAGATTAATCACAAGACCCCGGTTCAGCCCCCCACAGCGCTGGGCAGCCCTACTCCAAAAGAGTCGATTTGAGGCGTCGCTTATACGTGTATCAATACGGGTATAATTAAGCTAATGTACCGTGGCAAGCGCAGTTCCTGGGTTGCTGGGCTTGCTGGGCTTGCTGGGCTTGCTGGGCCTGCAAACGACCGACCAGCGCTGCCAAGGCAAATGATGCCACCAGGCGAAACAGTTATTTTGTCGACGGCACCGACCTCCGGCATGGCGGCCATCTGACGCGCGTTCGCCAGCTGCGAGGAGGCTGTTGTACCCGCGGGTGGCCACGCAACTGCGTCGAGGCGGTGCCAGCCGTGACGTGACGAATGCTGCGTCTGCGTCTTGTTGCGGGTGAGCCAATAGCAGCTAATAGCAAATAAAGAATCTTCTTTTCTTTGGGCTCGGAGATTGCTCGCTGCATCGGTTTTGCACCCGTTGACCACCACCTCCAGCGCTGCGCTCGTACGGTGCCGCGTTCCGGTTCACACTCTGACGCCTCTTCAGCCGCCGGGCTTGGACCCTTTTTTTTCTCTTTCGTCTTCTTCCGCCACTGCGGGTGCAAGATTACTTTTTAACCGGGGCTGATTCGCACCTGCAAGACCAGCTAGTAGTAGTAGGAGTAGTAACAACATAACCGCCCCCCTGATCCATCCTCATGTCTTGTCGACCGTTGCAAGATTCGCGAGGTTCGGGCCGCGACATGTGATTCTGATGCTTGGATTTGGATTTGGACTTGGACTCGTTCTAGCCACCACGTCGGAATGCTGCCATCGGTATCTTGCTTGAGCTGAGGCCGACGACACCCTTTCTTTGTGTTTGCAAGTCATGCGCTCTGGCCGAGGCTAATGCACTCATTCCACGACAATTCTCTCGACAATCCAATCCCTATTGCGGGGTTGAAACGGGGTTGGGCTAGCGTGCGAAGCCGTCCTGGGAAAAGTGGAAGATCTAGGATTGTTGTTGCAGTAGCCGCTGCTGATCCGTTGGAGGCCTGTTGCAAACAAGTTCTTTTCGCAAACACGCCCTTTGCTTGATGACGTCGGTGCTTTTTGCGTTGTATTGGGTACTCCGTAGACGTACAGAGTACAGACTGGACAAACAGCACCGAGTACAGTCACAGTCACAGTCTTGGCTGAGCGGGAAAAGGGAATGAAGCAACTCGAGGCAAAAAAACTGGAAGCCGAAAGTGGGACAATGCAGGGTTCTAAATTGGCGCTCACTCTCAGCTCTCAGACACTCAACGTCCAGGCACATGGCAAGATAAGCTAGGTACTTGGCCACTGTACCTATCAAGGCCGGGGAAATAGAAGCGCCGAGCAGTTGGATGGAGCCAGTCACCTGACTGCGTCATGTCTCATCTCACGCTAGGACGGATATGGATACCGGCCAATTCTGGCTGTTGATTTCCAGAAGCCAGTGGATAATAATAGGGGTGATACATAGTACACCGCACATGCAATGGGAAATATTGATGATGAGATGCTCACTCTCGCTACTTTCGATACTACCTAATACTAAAGACCTAAGATGGATGACCTAATCGTGGCTATTTTGAGATACTTTGAGATATTTTGAGAGAGCCGCATTCCATGCTGCCGAATTCCGTACCTATTCTCGTACTACGGAGGATTAACACACGAGGCTACGGAGTACGAGCACAGCATCATGTGAAACCCGCGACTCAGACACGATGAATCAATCAACTCCGATTTGAACCAGCAGCAGCAAAAAAAAAAAAAAAGAGAGAGAGATGAAAATAGCCACACCCAAGTCATTCATATTTTCGTCGTCCAAACTGCTCTTCTTCTGACTCGCTCTCGTTCCTCGTCCTCGCTTCCACTCCTCAATCAATCCTGGGCCCCGCCCCTGCCTGCAGGACCTTAGTCAGCTATGAAACATGCATGAAACCTCCAATCTTGCGTGCTGGGCACTGAGGGGCTCCCGCCATCTCGAGCCTAATCTCGAGGCTTCGTTCCGTCATCCATACCAATGACCTAATCAAGACACGGTCCCGCCTCCAAGTTCTCGTCCGTGTACGAGTAGAACGAAATCCCACGCCAAGGGTCTTATCGTGATAGCCTAAATTTAACTTTGTTGGGCGCGGACCTGGATCAGCATCAGGAGCTCCGGGTAATAGGCTTTTACGAGGAGAATCGAGTAGCTTCAAGTGGCTTCAACCGACCGCATGTCACTGCGAATATACTGACCATGAGTCCACTTCATGGGGAGTGCCAGGTACGTATGGGGCATCTACAAGCTAGACCACCCCACTACTTGCAAGCCGAAAGAGCCAGGGACACTGATTGATGCCACCGTCCAGGCCTTACATCTGTCCGATAACAAAAAATGCATGAAAGAGGCTACCCATGCCAACGGCGTCTTCTGTTGGTTCCATTCCAAGCAGGTCTATGGGCTCTACAAGGGGTATAAACGACGCAATGCCAAGCTGGATGCATTGGAGAGAAAGCCCCCCTCTTACCTAAAGGCAACCAAGGTTCCTCTTGTGAACCAGACCTTTGAGGATATCAACGCGGTGCATTCCCATCTTTTCGACAGATATGTCCTCACCGGACAAGTCATCGACGCTCGCAGGCTTCACCATTCTCACTTCTATTCGGCCCAGCTCGATTTTGGGCATCAATCATACCTTGACAAGCTCAGCAGCAACCGACACATTATTCTTCGGTCTTTGGAGAGACTGGAAAAGCGGACTGCAGATGTGCTATACCAAAAGGAGCAATGGTTCGCCTGGGTGCGCCAGGCACAAGAAGACGAGGAGGCAACTCGTGACAAGGAGCAGAAAAAGATCAAACAGGAGGCTGCCTTGTTCAAGCGTCACCGAGACAAGCTACAGGCTAGACTAGAGCAGGCAAGACGAGAAGAGGAACAAAGGAGCCAGGATGCCTATCTTGAAGCTGCTTTCAGGGAGCGTATGGATATGTCAGCAGACGAATGGGAGAATGATGAGGCGTGGGACCCCATCAAAGACACGGACCACGACAAGCGCAACCAGTACATTAATCTGATCAAACACTTCCTCTGGATGGATGCTGCGGATATCGACAACAGCCAAGATGCTCCTCTAGTTGAGTCAAAAGCTCAGGCCCAGGCGGAGGAGGCTGCCGAGGACCAACAGGAGGAAAAAGGCCCAAAACTCTCCAGAAAAGCAAAGAAAAAGAGCAAGGCCAAGAAGAGTGCCGTCAAGCCTGCCGATCATGGCACTTCTGGCGCTTCCCCAACGGATCAGAGTGGACAAAGCAGGCTCGTGGCCATGCGGCAAAGCGAGGCCAAAAAAACAGACTCCGACCAACAGATGCCCGATAGGAACAATATTGAAACAGAACAGGAGATGAGAAAACGCCTGAGCCAGGGAGTCGACAAGAAAATGGACAATGCTTGGGGCTTCCATATCGTTGGATCGGTGCAAAATCCCTATGAGACGTTTAAGAAGACGGCACCGATGACCAACGACGAGATCGAGACTGCCATCAAGGATATTAGAGAAATCAAGTTGCTACTCTTCTGTCGTCTGTTGCTTGCACAAGCATCCATGTTGCCCGCTGCACTACGTGCTAGTAGCGTGCACGAGTTCCTCAACGATTCCGAGGTTTTCGACTCGGATTTGCGGGATATCTGTTTGAAGCTAGAAACCCCTTCTCTCCAGCAGATTCGAGATGCGTGTGCCGACTTTGCACGCAGAGATGATGCAGAGGAGGCTGGTGGCAGCGAAGCTATAGATGACAGCGGGTCGGATGATGAAGAAGCTTTTCGCGACAAGGTGGGCGACCATGGCCGTTATATGCACCTCCACACAGAGGAATGGTTCCTAAACGAGCTGGTCGGCCAGCCGCGCCAGGAAGCCACCTCCTCAACACAGAGATCTCGAGTAACAATTTGTGGTAAGAAGGTGTGGAATCACGCCAGTGAAAAGGCAATGTCCCGAGACGGCTGGCTGCAGTTCTCAATCATAGCCAAAGACTGCAGCTTTAAACATGCCATCCAACTCTGCCGGAATTGGGCTGAGTTCTCCGAACTGAATCTCCTTACCCTGTGGCAGTTTTTCCCTGCTTCTAATTGGGAATCTTGGGGCAGCAACAAGCTTATCCGGCAGTTGCTTGAGTTGCAGTTTTTCCCTTATTTTATTGATCTTGAAGCCCAGCGATACCGTCGTCGTTTCAAGGCCAGTGGGCGAGGTCAATTACGTCGCCAGCATGACGTGATCGAGACGAGGAACATCATTGTCGGCCACATGAAGCGCCGAGACCCAGTCACCCGCCGCTTCCTGCAGTACCTCACAATGAGGACTGGGGAGCTGCTGGTCCTGGTACGGGACGGCAAAAATGGCCGTGTCATAACGGCTCCTCCTGATGCGCATCTGTGGACTTATCGCAGGAAAAAGGGCATCGGAAGAGCCTCAAAGAATGAATGGCAGAATCTCCTAGAGGTGGGCCCTGATTACTTCGACATGACTGATTCACTGAGGGAATGGCGCTTTGGGTTCGATGACTTTTACGACGTCTACATCTGGGATTTGGTGCCTGATGCATCACCGCTGCGCATGTATAATGTCATCATCTCGGTGTGTTTCCTTTACCAAGTGTAGGAGTTACGTACGATGCTAACTGGACTGCGAACAGGAACTTCGCAAAGCATGGCGCTTTACCCAGCCTTTAGATATGTATGCTCACATGGAACCGCTCTTACGAACTTTGACTAGGGAGAAGGAAACGATGCGCACGCGCAAGATAAACCCTGGCGAACAGGTCGAGAGTCTCTGGGATGTTGTGACAGGCGATGACGTAGAATTCTGCCTTTACGATGCCAGAGGAACCGCCGTGACTTGGCCACCCAAGGATCCCAACAGCAGTGAACTTGCCAACTTCCATTACCTGTTCTACAACAAAGCCAATGTTGTAGAGGACGAGGTTTTATTCCCAGACGGACTGGCAGCTAACAGAGAAAGGCATTTCCGAGAAATAAGAAATGCCATCGATCGCTTTGAACATCCTATGCTCCCTAGTAGGCCGCGATATTTCGAAAGAGGGATGACGGCAATTCTTGAGGGGCAAGATCTCGAGACTACGCTTAATCAGGTGATGGATAGTGATGAGGGGAGTATCTGGGCCCTTCCAGCGATTTGGGAATCCGGCTTAGAGAAGCTCCTACAAGGAACTCTTTCAGCGGAACAGCGTCAAGTCCTTGAGAAGGCTGGGCTTGGCACTATCAAAGAAAGCCAATTGTTGGCCGATCGCCTCAAAAAGGTGGATCCCATGGAGCAGATGGAACGCGAAAGATCTATCGGTAAGCATTTACATATGAAGATTTATTCTTGCTAGGATTTGTATGATGAAGAAACTAACTATCCACTACCAGAGTTTAAGGTGGCGTTCCATCAGGCAGATCTTGAACCGGGATGTACCAAAAAGTATATACGAATCGAAACAGTCATCTCTACTATGCTCAAACTTGCTCCAGTGAAATCGGCCGATTGGGTTTATTACATCGCCGAGCTAATGAACTGGCTTGATGTCCATGTCGCTGATGATGACTACTATGGAGATTTTGCTTCAGACCCGTGGTCCCACGGTTTCATTGTTCAAGACATGGTACAAGCTTTCTCGGCTATGGCCTTGTTCTTCCCAGAAGTGGGTGTGGTTGCTCATGTGACGGAATTTCTCAAATTTGAACCGCTTGAGCAGTTCAGAAAGTCTCTCCTATTTGACCCACGAGAACGAAACAAGACCCGGCCCGACCGAAGGACCAGAACAAGCTTCAAATTTCGCGATGTGAAATTCTGGACCGAGTGGAACGCTGTTCGGGAGCAAAAACAGCACTTTTCAGATATTTTCCCGTTCGATTGGAGCGTCGCTATCCGCCCCATCATTGCCAAATGTGAGTCACATCTGTGAGCTCCAACAGAAGTAATTGCTAACATGTCGCAGTATATCGAACGGGCATCATTGCTCCGGCACATCTCCAGAATGTTCCAGAAATCGTCGCAGGTGTGGCTACAGCAATGACTGAGCCTCACCGCCCCGACAAACTGGATCTTTTCATCAGCTATTATGACCCTCACAACCGATTTCCAACAACGTTCCCCCACTTTGCTGGTCCGGATAATTGGCCGAAGATACTTCCTCATGCTGAGGCTTTTGCAAAAGAGCACCAAAATGCTCGCTTCGCCCTTCTCCGAATCTGGACGGCGCCGCACTTTTACCCGCTCATGCTGGGGGCAAGTAATCGACAAGGGAACAGCTTCCTCGATAGTGTCAGCCGACCATGGGAGTGGAGGTTTGTGAGTAAAGATATTCCGGGTAGCGAGTTTAGCATGCATAAGACCATTACAAAGGCGTTGGCTCATGCGAAAGAGCAGTTTGGAGACCGAGTGGTCGTGAGGGGTGATTTGGTCCTTGTCATGGGAGAAGACGCTGCTGACCTGTTTAAATACTGCACGGCTGCGACGTTTGCTATTCAGACGAGGCCGTGGCTGAGAGAGATTGATCTGTGGAAGAGTTTTATCAATGTTGATTTGGATTTGTTGAAGGAGTTGGATCCTGTCTGGCTGGATTAACGTTTGCTATATCTATCGGCATTTATGATATGGGCCTGGATGTTCTAGATTGTTTGCAGCTTGCTATATACCGCACCAGGTCTTTTGAACGGCATGATTGTTTACGTATGAGATATATACTATTCAAGATACAACAGTGATGCACTATGGACTGTGACTGCGAATCTGACAATACAAGTGGCTGACGCCGAGAAAATTGTCAATTTATGGTCGGACTTTTATGTGGCTTTTGCGTTTATGTTCCAAGAATATCGGATAATCCAGTCTACTTGACCCAGAACCAATTTATGTTGGCAAAGGTATTGGGTTATAAGCTTCAGTTTAATTACATTGTATCGCGCTTGTATTCAATATTGGGGCCGATGATAACGAGTGACTAGGTTAAATTATCTGCCTAATGAGTGACTATCTAAGCTACCAAAAGAGTGTAGTGAAGTGAAGCGAACAAGTAACCATTCAAATTGTCGAAAGAGTGTAATGAAATGAAGTGAAGTGAACCTAATGAATGAGTATTCGAGTTGTTGAAAGAGTGGCTGTAAAAGGTGTAAAAAGAGTGTAAAAAGAGTGTAAAGAAGTGAATCTATCTATGTATGAACCTGAGTTAACCGGCTCCCAAATTGGATCACGATTGCGGTCCATGAACCATGTAGTAATCATTCTGTCCAGGTTAGTTTCGGTGTCGGCGTGCACTCCCCTGATAGACACGTACCTTCAATCCTCGCATCACTGATCTTCTCCCTATAGGAAAAATACTTCGCCGGTATAGGGGAAGGAAGCAGTGGTAGAAGTTGCTTCAGTATTTCATCGTAATGCGTTCTCATTGTCTCGTCAGTTCTTACTTCTTCAATGAAGAAGGGCTCTCCGGTGACCTTATCAACTCTCACTGCGCACGACATATCGGCCGAGCCCTCCTTGATGAGTAGCTCACACAAATTGATATTTCTCTTTCGAATAGCTGTGCATAAGGGTGAGTGGCTATAGTCATCATTCAAGCCGGTCGCGTCAGCTTTACCCTTGGTTAGCATGATTTTGACGGTTTCAACAGCATCAATGGTGCTACCATGACCGAAAATATACATATCCAGAGGGAGATCGTTTCCTTTATCCCTGATGTTGATTCCTTCAGGATAATGCTTGATGAGAATTTCAATGATGTTTTTGTTATTATTTCTCACGGCCTGGTGGAACACGGTTCGTCCATGTTCGTTTTGGTGACGTAGATGATCTTCAATGCCGGGTTGTTCGCATAGAAAGCGAACTATTTCCACGTGGCCTTCGTAAGCCGCCTCTCCGACTGACTGGTGTGTATGAAGCTGTTCCTTTCGAGTTTCTGCCCATTCTCCCTTATCGCCTCTCAGCTTCAAGCGATTCTTTCTCAGGATTGCTCCTCTCAAATCCAGATCGTTATTGGTCTTAGGCGGCTGGAAAAGCCGTTTGATCAATATGAGGAATCCATGACGAGCTGCATGACAGAGGATTCCATTCCCATGCTCCACCAAATGTTGACACAATTCTTCACGTCTAATCAAGAAATCGAATAAATCTTCCCATTCATTCGCTACAACGCCATGCAATACTCTGAAATCTGACCAGACTTTTACCACATCCATGATAAACGGCGTGGAGCGTAGATTCACCCCAAGGACCTCGTCCCTCAGAATATCGTGGATAGTTGAGATGCAATTTCGCTCGATTAGCTGCTTGACAGCAAACCAAAGAGAGTCGGGAACAAGGTTCAAATTATGGAGTTTAAGTAGGCCAGTCATGTAAGCTACTGGAGCAAGAGCAGCAGCTACAACGACGGGGTCAACTTGTGACATAACTTCTAACGATTTGAATGCGTTAGAACCAGAGCAGTTCGACCTTGTCCACTGCACAACCCAGTTTTCAAGACGCTGAGAGCCGGGAGTGCATAATTTGATAAAAGTTGCTTGATCAAGCCACAGTTCTTGTGAAGTGTCTGACATATGGGCTGCCCAGTACGAAGCAGCATAGGTAAAAAATCTTCCGAGCCCAACTTTGAACGGATTGAAGATCTCTAATGAATCGGCTGTATCTTCGTCATCGTCAAAAAAGCCGTTAAACCCACGGAGATGTTCATCTTCATGAGCAGTCTTGAAGCTCGAGGAAAGATCAATTCTCTCACATTCATCTAAGAGGAGATATTTGACGCAACGTCTGAGGAGATTGCTGTGTAATTCAGCCTCGCGTGAGATAGCGCCTGTTTTCCCATCTCGTTGAGCAACCTGATTCCACTCTGATGGTGGAGCCTGTAAAATGAGCTCTTTTAGAGACTGGTGGACAAGACGAAGTTGAATTTGTTTTCCACCATCTATTTTTATGGTGCTGATGAAAGGCCGGATGAGCTCAAGGAGGTTCAAAGATTGGGCATACTCTTCCAGCTCATCTATGGTAATATGAGTGTTGTCATTTATATCAATAAACACAGTGTAAACAAGCTCGTCTAGAGATAGAGGCCTCTGGGCAACTGCGAGCGTCTCCAGAGCTCTCTTGAGACACTTTTCATTGTGTTGCTGACCCGCGCACATCTTTTCAAACAGAGCCCAATATAGGTTGGTGAGGGTTTTATAAGAATGAAGGCGCTTCAGCTCAGTCTCCATGAGTTTCAAGCCCTGTATATGAAGAGTTTTAAGAAACTCAAAAGCGATTCGCAGCCAAATGGCGCAGCCGTTGGCTCTTTGAGAAAGCTCGTCGGCCACTCTATCACGAATGTCTTCCTGGATCTTGAACTTGGTGGCGAGGTGCTTGGCAATCATTAAACTTCTCTCATGCGTCAAACAAAGATCAATTCGGCTGGCGCTAGGCGGCAAAGATTGCTGAATCTCGTCATCATATCGGGAAGAAATGAAAATCTTCACCCGAGCATTTTGTTCGCTGAGCTCACGGAAGAGGGATAGCAGTTCATCTCGAGGAGTGAAATGACATTCATCCAAGCCATCCAAGAAAATAAAAGCCAACTTTTCTGAAGAAGAGAGAGTGTCGTGTAAGAATTCGCGCAATTTAATGGCGGACTGCGTTGCATCCACTTGGCCAGCAGAATTGTTCTCCTCATACCAGATTTGGAATCTGTCCTTTAGCGCAGGCTCCCGTTTAAGCAATTGCCATATAAGACTTCTGTAAATATTGCCGAGATTTGTAGTTTCTTGATCATCTTTGCAGTAGTAAGCGCAGACGTATTGCTTTTCAGGAGCTTGCTCCTTAAGGACGTCAACAAGGTAAGCGGTTGTCATGGTTTTTCCACAACCCATGTCTCCAAATAAGACACAAAAGTTCGTATCGCGTGAATTCAATTTCCAGTAGGAAAACTTATCATCAGATATGATCCATTGGCACGCATCATCCGTACGAACCCGTAATTCTTCATGATACGCGATTTCATTTTGTCTGTTGGCATCAAGGGTATCACGAACTGCCATGTATTTAGTCCGAGAGATCTTAGGATCTGGTGAGAAGTCAGCACTTACTCAAGTTCTCTATTTGCTCCTTTCTAATTTCTCCCATATTGACGAAAATTTCTGAAACGACGAGGTCCTTTAAAGTTTGAGCGTGGGTATTGAAAGACGAGATAATACCGGAGAGTTCCGATTTTAAGCACTTTAAAGCGACGCGTAGTATGAACCCAGGCTTTTTGAACATAGCCATAGTTTCGAGGTAAAACTGTAAGAGGTCGTTGTATATAGGAACTAATGCCTGCAGGAAGTCAGTGGTGACATCTATATATGCATATTTCATTACAACTGACATTATATATACCAGGCGCTTTGTTTTGTAAGTAGGCCACCCCACTGTACCGTTCGATCACTGGGATACGTTGGAAGAAGAGTTCAATATCACCTGATATTTCATCAATAGCACCGCAGATGGCAATGACGATCTACGATACGAAGTGTCAGCTTTTCATGAGCGTATATCAGAGCTGTTGATTATATGTATTGATATAAGCAGAGAAACTGCAGTAACACATAAAACCTCGAGAAGAGGAGAGAAGTCATGTGGGGAGAGAAATAGGAAGAGGGAAAGGAGGGGGGGGGGGAAGGGCAAAGGGGGACGTAAAAGCAATTGACATACAGAGTTGATGACTTTGATAAGACCAAAAGCATTCCCCACAGTTGGTTCTCCGTTGACAAAAGGGATAAAAAAATCGAGGGTAATTCCAAGCCCCTCCAGAAACGGACGCACAATCAGCAATCCTCTCCTAAGAAGGCACTGGTCTTGATGTTCTTGATCAGTTTGTCTTAGCTTCTGGAAAAGCTCTTCGATATTTCCCACCCCTTCTAATTCCTTTTTCTCATCTTCACTCAATGAGGATAATGCTTGGTGATAGGGAGAATCAAACGTTTTCGAGCTGTCTACGACAACTTTAGAGGAGATACCGCCGTCGTCATGAGCTAGAAGCGCTTTGATAGATTTTGGCCACGAAATTCGCATGCATGTTCTCCTCTGGTTAGATGACTGTATTAGAAATGGCATCAGCCTGTGTTTCTTTTTATTGCGCCCCCTTTTGTTTCCCAGAAAAAAGGGGAAAAAACGGAGGGAAGAATTGTATTACCTTTGAAGGTTTCTTCGTCCCATCCCCTCCTTGGCTATTTGACCTTTGGGGAAGTCGAGTCATTTTGGATTATATGTGATAAACAATGGCCGATTGGATTGTTTCCGTAACTGCAACGAAGAGAAACACTTTTCAATATGAAGGCTATTTAAGTTTGAGAAGGATCTATTAAGAATCGTCGAGCAAGCAATAGAAATCATGAAGGAAAGGGGTGACTATGGTCACTCCGATTGCAACGAGAACGCGGGGATGCCTTCATGTGTAACGAATGAGCCAACAACCAACGCATTGTTTGTTACACACTTTAGTCTTTTGTTCAATCATATCGATAGAGGAAGCGCCCAAAGGTTGTTTAGGTTGAGAGCGATTTCAAATTATCTAGGTGGAGAATATGTAACCCTTCGGACATGCGAGATCCCGCCTGCTCTCCCAGTCTCTAGCCAATAAAAAGCAGAGAGTATCCAGTTGGTAGCCGGTGGCGAATACCATGAGATGTATTATATTTCATTTTTCGTTTTGGAAAATGGCTCTATCTCAAGTAAGAAGTGCCGGACGATCTTTGGAGCCTGCCAAAGCAATCCTAATGACCGAGTAGATAGAGAAGGACTATGCGACTACTTTCTATATTACGTTTGTTCAAGGATAAACCCCAAATAGACTACTAGAATACCTTAATTGAGAAACATCAGTCATAATATTGAATCCTTTTTCTCATTAGCCAACCCCTGAATGCAACAAAGTAACGCCAGGGTTATACAAGTAAGATTGATCGTTCTCTGCACTACCTATATGGTAACTAGGATGGTTACATGGTACACCCCCTGAGAGAGAGACAATTGCTAGCATTGTATGAAAAATGAAGAAAGAACGATTAACACGCTATTGCTAACTAGTAGTGTTCCTCGGCACCTGACTGTGCATTTCCTCCATAAGATTTCAGGTTCTTGTCCGCTGCTGGTTTTTAGTGAAAGGTCTATTTCAGTTGCACTAATTGCAGTAGCTTGAATGCTGAAGTTGGTCACATTTGTAACCTTGTGAGGAATAGGAGGACCTATGTCGTCGTGACAACATTCATTGGGGATATAAGCACCTGGTTAGTTGCGAAGTTGTTCGTCAATAACTTCTACAAAATTATCAACCTTCTTGATCACATATCCGTAGTAATCGAAGGAGTCGCCGTCTCTGAGCACGTTGGCGTCGATATGCCACAAGTTATCCAAACTTAATAGAGGTATCTGAAAGTGTGGCTGCCGGAAAGTAACATAGAGAAACACTCCATCATTTTTCAGCACTCGGTGGACCTGAAAGGACGGTCAAAAAATTGAAGTCGGAAACTTTCTACTTAATAAGGAGACTTGCCTCTTTCATGTATTTACTAGTATCCTGTTTGACTTGGTTGGGGGGGCTCCAAGGACTGCCGTAGATCATGACATCCAATGTCCCCTTATCGAAGGCAACGTCGATAGATTTGTCGGGAATATCAGCCATATCACGTACGTCCATATGCTTCCACTCGATTCCTTCTATTTTGCTGTGGCGCTCAGCCATAAATTCAACAACGACTCGAGAGAAATCGACGCATAGCTGGTGTTTATAGCCGCGAACAGCCAACTCAGCTGGGATAACCTGGAGGGAGAGCCAGTTAGTAGCTGAAATCAGTCAGTTTTAGATTTCATGGTGACTAACACTATCTCCTGACCCAAGATGCAGGATCATTGGGTTGTCTTCTGCTTTGAGACTCTGTTGGCTAAACAGATTATCCTGGAAGAAAGTCTTGAGCTCAGAGAAGGAGCGGTACCACTCGTGTGTTGGCTTCTCTCCATCGGATTTCGAATAGCCATTATCCCAATAGCTGGAATAAGCCAGGGCTTGTTCTTCATTGAATGCCATTAAACAGTGATAGTGAAAATTGAGGTCTAATAAAACGTGTATTGGTGAACTTGCTTGAAGCTGATGGCGGGGTCAATTTTCGATGACCAGATATTAATTTACACGTGACTGGTGTAACCATTGACAAATATCTATCCAGAGGATGGAATCTGGGCGACGTCGAGAGAACTTCATAGCAAGGAGTATGACGACTATTTGACCGACATGGCTAGTATAAATCATGTTGGAAGGAGTGGGTTGGTCACTTCGAACAGAGGATGTCAGGCGCAAAAAGCCCTGTCCTGTTACAAAGGGGAAAACCTCATTCAACTGATAATTTACTGGGTAGATATTCGTTGACAAGAAAATAACCTCTTTTTGAGCTTTGCAATAGTCCCAGGGTGACAAAGCCGAAAAAAGCCAACATTCCAAGAAATCATGTGCCTCGCGGCCCAACATCTATAAACCAAGTTAAGGGTTAGTCGAGGGGCTTCAGGAACAACTCATGTTGGAATGTGGGCAAATTTCCGCCTTTGTTACGATACATCCTGCAATGCGACTAGGCTCACACGGGCCTAGCTGCAAAGCTCCTAAAGCAGCGTGTTTTCTTTGTCATCACATAGCTATTTGTAGCAGCCGTTGCGGCATTTTCCTTTGTATCAATATAAGGCTCTGTGTAACCTCAATCGTATGCTCTATCTGACTAATCTAAGCTTTCCAACAACTCATTAGTGGCCAATTAGCCGTTCGGTAACCGTTAACTGAGGTCCCTGATCAAGCCTACTCAGGTTAGTAAGGTGGACTGCCTTGGCTGAGATACACTATTAACGCAGACCCTTGTTACGAAATTTTGTATAGGCAGATTTTATTATAAAACTGGATGTTGATGATATCTGTATCATCTGACAGAGACACGCTCATCTGATAACAGATGTTACACACATGTGAGGCATTTTCAGGCTGGTAATACGAACATAGCATAGACAAGCTATTGAATTATCCGGGTGTAACACAAGCAACCAAAAAGGCAGCCAGAGTGAAATTTATAAAATATCTTCACCAGCAATAATTGCTATTGTGGTAATTATCCTTCAAAATCATAGTAGCAGATCTCGTTAGGAAAATAAAAGTATTTTTATTTAAGGAGGGAAATAGGTGTGTTGGGTTATTCCTCATGCAATGGTTGCCCCTGTGTGAGGGGTTCGCTGTCAGATCGGAGATTCTGGTCCGGTAGCATAAAAATTGCTGACGCAGAATTAGTATTGGGTATCAACCTCTTTAGTTACCCTTGACTCTTGCATTAATGTAATATCTCTGATATTGAATTGAGGAATCCTTTCTCGTAAGATTATGTTTTGTACTATACTTGCCTTTCTCTGTTCCTAGATTGGAAGTAATTTGCTATCTGGGATACCATTTGCACGGCTGGAGAGTCAAGTTCCATTCATGTTATAAGGGAATAGAGACTATATTGAATATATATATACCTCTAACTAAAAGATGCAGTCTTTTCGCCCAGCTTGTCGTTCCTATGTCTTACATGTGTACTGGACATGTAGCGACTGGCCATTGCTCAAACATGCTCCCTGTGAACGCATATTTTTATAAAATTTCCGAAAGGCAAAGTTGGTTAATTGTCTCATATATCTGTTGAGCGGTACCTGCACGCTGCTGCCAGCACATAGTGATAATATCAGAGCACAGCACCGCTGACAAGTCAGGAAAAACCCCGGCTTCGTAACTTCTTTCAACTTCATCTTCCTCAAGCTCAAAGAACGGTGGGTTGCCGGTGAAAATAAAGTAAAATACAGAGCCAAGAGCAAATAAGTCTTCGTTTAAGCTTGGCGGCTTGCCTGGGCGCCACTCCGGATCGGGAGCTCGGTATCGGGATCTGGGGCAGACGGAGGCACAGGAACCGTTTATCGATGAGCCACTGAAGTCAGCGATCTTTAAATCGAGTGATGCGTCCAACAGAAAGTTATGTGGACCAACATCACAGTGAAGAATGTCGGATGCATGGAGGAGTTGCAGGCCTTCAGCCGCCTGTCGAGCCCATTGGAGCTGCTGCGGCCGTGAAATATCTTTATAATGGTTTTCAATGTACTGTTGCAACGTGCCGTGTAGCATGTACTCCATTACCATTACATGCTGCACAGAGTCCCAACTTCGAAGCTTCACTAGGCGCGGGTGTTCGCCTAATATTCGATATATTTTCGCCTCGGTGATTAGGTCTTGCACACAATCCCCTCTGCTAGGATCATCCCATGGTGTTTTGACAATATCACCATTTGGCAAGCGCTCCACGATTGAAGTCACGCCAGCAGCCACAAATTCGCCTTTACCTTGGATGATGCGGGTAGCGGGAGGCAAAACGAATTGGACAGGAATGGGTGGCTCATTGGTCGGCATAGCCCTTTCCACGTTAGTTTGTTTCTCACATAGGGTTGGCTGACTTACTTGATGCTGTATTTATAATGATGATTTGAGAATAGAAGTACCGATACCAGTTCAGTTGCGGGGAGCGTTCAATGCCGATGACTGACATAGATATATATAATAAAATGTGAAATAAACAAAGTTGGTGATAGATACTAGTGGGGCAGCGACGACTGTATCGCGTCAGGGAAGCACGGATATTGCAGCACAGCTCTTTGTATTCGGCCATACCAAAGTTGTGTTGGTGCATCCTCGACACAATGCGGCTATCCCTTAGCTGAGTAATGCAACACTGGCATTTTTTCCAATGGCGACCCAGCGTTATTGACCATCATCTCTTTCTTAGTCTCAAAACTGAGGATAATGATTCGCCGACTCAACGCTGTTAGCTTGTTCGACTGGTGATACGCGGAGATGCCAAAGATGCCCTAATCTCGTTTTGATGTGTCAAGACCGACAATATCGTAGTGACAGGATTGCAGTAGATTGGGCTGTCGAGTACGGACACGCAGCTGTTGTCAAGATACTTCTTCCTGTAAGAGCCAGTCTGGATGTGAAAAGCCATTCTAGTGCCTCAGACGAAACGACCTACTGTATATAGGTACTGAGAGAGTATAGCATCGAAGGGAGAAGAAACTCTTAACTTCTACATGGTTTTTTTTATATTCGTGGCTCGACGTTGGAGTAGCCACAATGAAAGCCCTACTGCTCTATTTTGGTCTGAATATCGGAGTCACAGTGTCCTTGATACAACTAAGGTATCTCAGGCCTTTCAAACAGGAATTGACACAAAATATTTATATAATACGTACCGGCTTGTGATCGGTTTATGGATATTTGTCTTATGACACGCATTGAATGTTTCTTGAATTTGTCGTAGCAGAATACCTTGTGACATCCGATCGCATTCATCGAGCGCATCGATGATGCAGTATTTTTGACCAGTGTTTTTGTCTGCTGCCACCGCCATTAGTGCGGCCCAGAGAGCTTCGAACGACTTAAATAGCTCTGCACTACGCTCTTTATACTTTGTCATAAGGTATTCGAGAAGCTGCGGGTGCTGTTGAATGAATTGAAGGAGAAGTCCTCGAACAATCGAAGTGGCTGTTTTTTGCTTATCGAAGCTCGAGTCACAGGAGAAGTATGCCAACGTTTTCCCATCGGCCGTAAAAAAAACATTGAATAACTCGTCGGTAGGTAATATAACCATGATCGATTATCCCATTTCTGGATCGCCATGGAGCCACAGGAGATTGCTTGCTGGGCTCTCTTCCCACACTTTCTGAGATGAGCCCAGCCAAATGGTGATCTCTTCTGTGCCAAGTATCCACTCGCAGGTGCCACGAGCGCGATCTCCTTTCTTGTGTTTGAACGCAATTCTGTCTTCTTGCAGATCAGTCAAAAAGAGATCGTGTAGGCAGACTTCAGCCTCGGGGTTCTATTTCAGTGCATCTTGACACTCTGTTAGCAGGGTTGGCGCTGAGCGAAGAGGGAATTTGCGTGCATGATCCGTAATAATCTCTCTTGCTACAGCCACAATTAGCAAGAGCCAAAAACGGAAAGCTTGTAAAACACACGATCTTGCCGACGGCGAATAATGTCCTTGGCATTGATGCACATCTCAGAGATCGTCGTGGAAACCATTAAGAATGATCAGTTTGTGGGGCCGCGATACTTGTTTATCTTCAAGTGATTGGTCTGGAGTGCATGTCTCTCAACGCCTGGGATACAGGCAGACTCCTCGCTCACGATTTTGTGAGATTTAGCCTTGGCTACAAGCATCGGCGTGTCCTGCTCACTTACCATTCCTTTTATCCTTTCGCTGACTCCAAATCATCGCCCATAACCTGCTTCATAGAGCTCATTAAGCTCATTAAAGCAGGAAGCAGGTACTGATTGTTTGTTTATCAGTCGGCGGATGCTATGTAACTTGTCCAGCAACAAGGGCTTGTCGAAATCGAGTTCCTTGGTGATTCCATCATGTGAGCCTGCAAATGTCGTGAATTCGTAACAGATGCAAGAAATGGCTGCCACTTTGTGTCTCTAAAAGAGGTTCCAAGAAATACTATACCTACAATTGCCTTCAATAGATACTGGAATCTCCCCACGACCAGTCCACATTTGATCCGAGGCCATGTAGCGCGATAATCCTGCTTTAATTAAAAGTAATCTGTCTCCGGATCAGTCATCAAATATTATTTTCTCGACGTCGCCGACTTAGGGGGCACTAGTAGCCGGTCCGGGATACAATATCTCAAGAGGTTGTCGAGCGCGGCTCTATGGTAACATTATTATAACGCTCATTTGGTATAATACATCCTACAAACCCGGTGAGAAGACACCTCCCGCAACCATTTGGAATAAAACTTTGAGATAAGGGCTATTTATTCTTGTGAACAACTACAGCCGCAAGTGCACGAGGCTAGTAGTAACGGCTCGAATGAGGATGAGTCCGGTTTTTGTTGGTCCATGGCTAGGAGTTCCCCGGCGTAGATCCTGCAAGTTGGGGCTTTCGACACTCGGCTGCTGAGCCGCTATCGATAATGTAATAGATAGTGGAGAATATCTGTTAAGGGAGAACAAGTCGTTTGTGCATTTTCCCAATTGGACCTAGGATAAACCGAGATATCAAAAGTGAATAACGATGGAACTTCGCTCGTGAAAGGCAGGTTGAGAACAGCCGCCCATGCGGAGTAAGCATGATGACGGAGTGTCCAAGAAGAGGTCCCTTTGGGCATGAAGCATAGCGTAGCATCGAATTGCATATTCCAAGTCTTGACTATGATTGAGGCATGGGTAAGTGATATATCAGAATTGAAAGAACTGCAACAGCTAAGCTCTGCGAATGCTTGTAGATGATCATCTGCTGAATAGTACAGCATTTATACAAAAGGAGAGGGCAATTTTTAAGAAGCTTTAGGTAGCAGAAGAGGGAAGAGATAGCGGTATACCCAGACTAGACCACTCTACCTGACGATAGTAGCCAAATGAAACTGCCGTTCCAGCAAAAGAATAGCAACAAGTGATAAAAGAGATTCTATATATGATTGCCACCCTAGATGAATGAATATCTTGTGTCTTTTCCACGCGTAATGGCCACGGATGTGGATTACCTTGGAAAAAGTTCCTTGGGATCTGGAAGGCTGGTGCTTGTCACAACAAGATCTTCCTCCCCAGTAGAATCTCACTCCACAGTATATTTTCCCCAACTGATGTTCACAGGGTGAAAAGTCTGATTCATTCTACTGAGACACGTAGTAATAGGCCCCAGAGCATAGTGCGATCAGCCATGGCATCTTACTAGATGTATTATTCCTGCTGGTCATCTGCAGCCTGTTGGATGAGACATTAGAGGAGCCGGCTTGTCACTTGACTGAGTTTGTGTAATATTGCCCTCCGCTTGTCATTCATATCATATTCACTGCGTAGCCGGTGTAGGTATGCGACTCGGCCACGATTGGCTATCATCGCTCGCGGGTAACTAACCGGATTGCGAAATTATGTGGCTTGTATTCCGTACTACCACAACACATTATTGGGAGTGTGCTGGCGACATCTCAGATCATCCTGCTGGATCCTGGGCTGCTGCCCCGCTTCTCCCTTGCAGCAGATTAGTCTGCGGAATCAGAATCATTGACACACAGCCCAAATGCATAGGTCAGCCTCAAAATTGGCAGATCGTGTATAGTATTGTCCTAGACAAGCCAATGGGCGTCCCAACACTACGCTTGCTCGCCTAAGAGATACCTTGGCGGAACATTGTGCATAATTTCCTGAATTCTCTTACTATGGCTGAAGTTGCGCTTCCTAGAGACAGTGTACGCCTCGCTTATCTCAAGAATGCTTTAGTACCTTTATAAAACTGGAAGACTCGATGCTAGCCAAAGAGATCATACTGATGGCTCGCGAGCCCAATGGGTATAACAGATAGCCCTCAATTCCACCTTGTGAGTGAACAAACAGCTAAATAGTACTACGCAGATGCCTGAAATTGTGCCCCGTAGAGGCCACAGCTATCTTTAGCACTCCTTGCGCAACGATGTACTAATAGACAGCTGCCTAATATCCCTATGCTACTGATTTTCATTCTGAATCGCGCTGCTCCTCTGCCTGGCTCCTTACATCGTGTAATGTAGATCCGAATGCCACTAATTTTAAGGAGGGAGTGGCTGTTCTACTGTTCCGGAATGTTAACGCCACAGCTGAAACTTGCTACATGGCAGAGTAGCCAATGGATTGAGGTGCGGTTCATCACTATGCCCGATCTTCCAGGTAGATGATAGCGGCAGCTTTGGCGGTATGGTTTGTTGATTTGATGTGATCTAGTGAAATAAGAAGACACGCACACAACGAGAAGGGGAGAGAGGGAGATGGCAGCTGAGGCGTGAATTGGTATATCCTACTGTCGGTGAGGTCGCCCTACGTGACTAGCCTGTTGTACAAACATATTATAATAAGGAGGTTGACTTCGTGACATGCAGGGGGGCATGTATTGCGCATGACTGCATCAAAGCCCCGCCAATCTTTTCCATGATAGAAGAACTGCAATTGGAACTGAATTTGTCAATTTGCATAATGACGTATTGGCGTCTTGATTCCACCCAATGTTTTACTCTTGGGAGTGATGTGGTGAGCTGACATTGCGTTACACGATCCTCACAAACAGCACACTCAATACTCGTAGTGATGGGTTGTTAGCCCCTTGCAGCTTCGTAGCGGCATTTCTCGGAAGTTGGAGCCGGAATGCCATCAAGTGCTTGCCGCGTCAATCGTGCCTAACCCGTTGGGTCGTGACGGGACTAGACTCAAGGGAATATTACTGCCTTGTCATGGTGCTACGAATACCCTGTTTCACAAACCAATGATATCATTGCTAGACTTGTAGTACCAGAGATTCTGAAACCTCTCGTATACATTTAAGCTGGTGCAGTTCAGCTAGGGTATTTCTTCAGTCTGTTCTGTCCCTAAGTCAATCACAGATTTCTCAAATTTTTCCTGTATCTGATATTTCTTTTCACATCACATTTTGGCAACAGGTAGGGATACAGCAATGACTCTCAATGAAAGTGATACGGCTGGTAGCCACAATCGTTTCAATGGTGCCTCCATTGCCCAGCCTGATGAGATAGGTCCCCCTCGCTTGGGGGTGGCGACCAACAAATGTATAGAAAGAGAACCGGAATTGCAGCAAGAACAGCAGCATCAGCTCAAGTACTGGATGGAGCATTTGATTTCGAGCCGTCCTGCAGAGTTCATATGCGATATGCCACGCCCTAACATTTTGTCCGGCCAAGTTGATCAAGAAAGTTTGCAGATCAAAGGCCCATTATATGATAAAATACACCAATACTGCGAATCTCGCGGCGTTACTGCTTTTGTCGTACTATTAGCGGCTTTCAGGGCTGCTCACTACCGACTGACAGGGGCAGAAGACGCTACAATTGGCGTTCCCAATGAGAGCCACTGGATTGAGGAATCGAGAAATGTGGCAGATGTTCTGAACAAATTTCAATGTTTTCGTCTCATTATTGATAATGAAACCTTTGAGGATCTAATAGATCAAATTAAGGCCACGGCTGCTACTATGAAAGCTAACAGAGATGTCTCGGTTGAGAAGCTCGCTGCGCTTTTGGATCATGGAAGAGATTTTTCCCTCCAGCCGCTCATACGAGTCGCATTTTCATTCCATTCTCAAGATATCCACCCGCCAAAGACTTCCATGAATTATGATACAGATCTAAGCTTTCAAATATTTGACACTCATAACACTTTGAAGTGCTGTGTTGCATTTTCAAAGGATCTCTACGAAAAGAGGACAGTGAACAATATTCTCACCATTTTTCAGAAGGTAATTGAGGGTGGCTTACATGAACCAACGGCACCTATCAAAACGATAAACCTTCTGAAATCTGAAAACTTCAATACACTTGACAAGATGGGGTTGCTTCGAGTCGAAAGAACTGATTACCCTCGCGAACTGAGTGTGGTAGATGTCTTTCAGCAGCAGGTCACCGCCACCCCTACTCGGACAGCGATTAAAGACCGCTCTGGCTCTGTAACATATACTCAGTTGGATGAAAGATCAAACAAAATTGCCTCTTGGCTCTTGGGACAATCCTTGGCACCAGAAACGCTGATTGGTGTTCTGTCATCAAGATGTTCTGAGACTGTTATCGCCTTTATGGGAATCCTCAAAGCAAACCTTGCATATTTACCGCTGGACACGAAGACTCCAGATTACCGGATGAAGGCCATTATATCTTGTATTATGGGCAGAAAGATAATTCTCCTGGGTCCTGAAACGGAAGCGCCTGCTGACCCGGGTGAGATCGAATATGTACGCATTTCCCAAGTCCTTGATGGTGCGAGTAAGAACAACGACATCTCAAGCGAACCAATTGGTCATATTTCACCCTCCGCTACAAGTCTTGCTCATGTCTTGTTTACTTCTGGCTCGACAGGCCAGCCAAAGGGCGTCATGATAAATCACCGCGGCATTGTACGGCTCGTTAAGCAAAGTGGTATTATGACATATGTTCCTCCAGGCGGCGTTACAGCTCATATCTCGAACATAGCTTTCGACGCTGCGACTTGGGAGATTTATAGTGCGATCTTAAATGGTGGTAAACTGGTCTGCATCGACGAGATGACAGTACTGGACTACGCTTCCATGAGTGAGATCTGTATTCGTGAGAACGTTCAGACTGCACTATTCACGACGGCAGTTTTCAAGGAGTATGCTCGAAATGCTCCAGAACTAATGGCCTCTCTAAGCGCTGTTTTTGTTGGCGGTGAACGCCTTGATCCCAACGACCTTCCTCCCTCATTGCGAGCAATAGCTGGAAAGATCATCCATTTGTATGGACCAACGGAAAACACGACGGTCAGTACAATGTACTGCTTGCAACGAGCAGAGTATTGTAGTAATGGCGTGCCTATTGGGCGTGCCGTCAGCAACTCTGGCGCAGTTGTCATGGATTCAAAGCAGTGTCTGGTCCCGTTAGGAGTCATTGGGGAGCTAGTTGTATTCGGCGACGGTCTTGCTAGAGGATATCTAAACCCTCAGCTAGACGAGGGACGCTTTGTATTGATCCAAATTGGCGATGAATCTGTCCGAGGCTATCGAACAGGCGACCATGTGCGCCAACGCCTAGATGGGCAATTGGAATTCTTAGGGCGCATAGATGGACAGGTCAAAATAAGAGGACAGCGTGTTGAGCTTGGAGAAGTTGAATGCGCCCTACGGAGCCATAAGCTTGTTCATGACGCTATTGCTGTTCTTCACTATGGCGATACAGATGGGAACTCGGACGACGCTCGCATCGCCGGATTTGTCACAACTAGCGCAGAGCTTGAGGATGAAGCTCAGAATGGTGACGAATCTCAGATTGTTTCCATGTGGAAAGATCGATATGATGCTGACTCGTATACCGGATTCAATGACATTCGACCGGAGGCTTACGGAAGAGATTTTACTGGTTGGACATCTATGTTTGACGGAAAAGACATAGATAAGGCTGAGATGAATGAGTGGCTTGACGATACGATAGCCACGATCCTCAGTGGCGGGCCTCCGGGCCATGTGCTTGAGGTTGGTTCTGGATCTGGCATGATTCTTCTTAATATTCTCGACGGTCTGCAGAGTTATGTGGGACTCGACCCCTCCGAACGAGCCAACAATCTCATTGGAAAAATGTCGAAATCGTTGCCCGAGCTAAACAACAAGGTGACTATGTATAAGGCCACAGCTGCAGATGTTTGCCGGTTGGAAAAAGCTGCTGCCCCGCCTGATCTAGTCATTTTGAACTCTGTGGCCCAGCATTTCCCCAGTCAGGAGTATCTATACCAATTTGTCGAAGATTTGCTTCAATTGGGTACGGAAATGACTCTATTCTTCGGTGATATTCGGTCTTATGCATTGCATAAAGACTTTCTCGCTGCCCGCGCGCTGAGAATGGCCGGAGACGAGGTCAAGTTAGACACCATTCGCCGAATGGTGGCAGATATGGAGAGAATAGAGTCGGAGCTACTCGTCGACCCGGCGTTTTTCACAGGCCTGGTGTCACGATTACCAGATCGTATTGAGCACGTCGAGATCATACCCAAGAAAATGAGGGCGACTAACGAATTAAGCTGCTATCGATATACTGCAGTTGTGCATGTGAAAGCTGGTGGGCACCAAGCTTCTGCTACTGCAATCAAGAAGCAAATTCGACATATCCCTCAAAGTGACTGGATAGATTTCGTGGAACGAGGTCTAGATCGAGGTTCACTCTTACACTTGATTCGGGCATCATTAGACTCATCTACCTCTGCGCTAGCCATCAGCAACATCCCTTATACGAAGACCATACTCGAGAGACACATGGTTGAATCAATCAGGACCGAGAAAAGCAATGACTTTGTTGGAAATTGGGTCTCTCACATGCGCCAAAGAGCCGAGAGCTGCGCTCATCTTTCAGTCACTGATCTGCACGCTCTTGCTGAGGAAGCGGGTTATTCTGTCGAGATTAGCTGGGCCCGACAGTACTCCCAACGAGGCGGACTGGATGCAGTCTTCCATCAATATGCATCAGACAAGAGAAAAGGAAGAATCTTATTCGACTTCCCCACTGATTATCAGAATCGTCCTTATGCGTCGCTCAGCAGTCACCCTCTGAAACATCAAATTAGACAGAAGACACAAGAGCAGCTCTACGAGTTGGCGAAGACACAGCTGCCTCAATACATGATACCTCAGAGCATAACAATTCTGGACAGTATGCCGGTCAATGAGAACGGTAAAATTGACCGCCGAGCTTTGGTAAATATGATTGAGTCTCGAATAACGGAGAGGGCGTCAATACAGCAACCTACATCAGAAGTTGGACGACAGATGCAGATGATTTGGGCCAATATTCTTCATATGGAGCCAGAAACAATTGGTATCAATGATAGCTTTTTCAATCTTGGAGGGAACTCGATTTCCGCGATGAAGGTTGTTGCTGCAACTCGAAAAATTGGATGGAAGCTCTCAGTGGCTGATATCTTCCGAAGCCCAACTCTATCTGATGTGTCAATGGTGGCGTGCATGTCTACATCAATCACAACCAGAATCCCATCAATTCCCAAAAAAGGGTTCGTCCAGCAATCTTATGCACAGGAACGCCTTTGGTTTCTGGAGCAGCTCTATCCTGGCTTAGCATGGCATCTAGTTCCATGTGCAGTCCATTTTAGAGGGCCGCTTCAACTAGATGCTCTAGCTTCTGCCCTTCTTGCCCTTGAGCAGCGACATGAAACCTTGCGGACAACATTTGATACGATCGAGGGCGAGAATGTTCAAAAAGTACATCCATTCATACCAAATAAACTTCGGATTCAAAATATTACGGCTGATAAGCCGAACAGCCTCGCGGAAGCGTTGCATAAGGAGCACACGACTCCGTTTGATCTGCGCAAAGACCCCGGCTGGCGGGTATCTGTTTTTAAAATGGGCGACGAACATCATGTGCTATCTATTGTCATGCACCACATCATATGTGATGGGTGGTCTCTTGATGTTTTGCGTAAAGAGCTGGCCATTCTGTATAGTGCTGCTCTTCACGGGAAGGACCCTCTCTCAGCCATTGAACCACTGGCTGTGCAGTATAGTGATCATGCTCTTTGGCAGAGACAACAAGATCAAATTGATGAGCACAACCGTCAGCTCGAGTATTGGGTAACGCAGCTTGAAACAAGTCGACCTGCAGAATTACTCTGCGATAAGCTCAGGCCATCTACTATATCAGGCAGGGCAGGTCTGCACGAATTAAGAATCGAAGGGACAATCTACAAGAATCTCCAAGAATTCTGCAGGAAATACCAAGTAACACCATTCATGGTCCTTTTTGCGGTTTTCCGGGCCGCTCATTACCGGCTCACGGGTGTTGAAGATGCTACAATAGGAACGGCCAACGCATGTCGTGACCATTGGGAGCTAAAAGACATGATTGGCCTCTTTGTTAATATGCAGTGTATAAGAACAAAGGTCGAAAATACCACAACACTCGAGGGCCTAATTAGAGAGGTTCAGGCCATGGTTACTGCGTCCTTTGCTCACCAGGATGTCCCATTCGAGAGCATTGTGTCAGCGCTAAGGAAAGAAAGGGACCTCTCCCGCAGTCCACTCGTCCAAATTGTGTTCGCTTTACACTCGCAGCTAAATCTTGCAGAGTTTGCTTTAGAAGACATCGAAACTGAACTGATGACACCTCCAATGGGTTCAAGATTTGATCTTGAGTTTCACCTTTATCAGGAGAAACATGGCTTGAAAGGACAAATCATGTTCTCAACTGATCTTTTCAACCTCAATACGATTGACAACCTAACGTCAGTCTTCCTCCGAATTCTGAAACAGGGACTCGCCAGCCCGAGTGCCGCGATCGAATCGCTACCTTTGATGACAAAAGAAGAGTATGCGAAGCTCAATTCTATGAAGCTCCTAGAGATGGAAACAACGGATTATCCTCGGAATTACAGTATAATTGAGGTCTTTCAGCAGCAGGTTTCTGCCACCCCGGACAAGGTGGCAGTGAGAGATGGCCCTACCAGTCTTACATACTCTCAGCTTGATGACAAGTCAAATCGCCTGGCCCAATGGCTGCATAAGCGCTCATTTGCTTCGGAATCGCTTGTTGGTGTTCTTGCTTCTAGATCTCATCTCACAATTATCGCCTACCTGGGAGTGCTCAAGGCCTGCTTAGCTTATCTTCCCTTGGACCCAACAAGCCCTCTTGGTCGAACTGAGGCCATTCTCTCGTCAGTCAAAGATTGCAAGCTAATTTTAGTTGGACCCGATGCTGAGAATCATGCGAAGCTGCTGGATAGTGTTGATTCAGAAAGTATCACAAGCATTCTCGAATGTCCCGCCGACTCTAACGGATGCATACTAAAGCCGCTCAATAACATCTTTCCTTCACCAAATAACCTTGCATATGTCATGTTTACTTCGGGCTCCACGGGCCGGCCCAAGGGTGTCATGATTCAGCATCGCGGTATTCTTCGACTAGTTGAAAACAAGAAAATGGTCCAGAATATGTCAGGTGCCGTAAATACGGCGCATATAGGGAATGTGACATTCGATGCGTCGACGTGGGAAATTTATCCCACGCTGCTAAACGGTGGCACCCTAATATGCTTTAGTTCTATGGAATTGCTGGACTATAAAACGCTGCCAAAAGCCTTTGCCGATGAGAGCGTACAAGCGATGTTCATTACGCCCGCTTTACTGCGGCAGTATCTGGTTCACTGCCCAGATCTATTTCGCAGAATTCATATTCTCTATATTGGCGGAGATCGGCTTGACCCGGAAGATGCATTTGCTACGCTGAGAGTAACCACAGGCAAAGTTATAAACGCCTATGGACCAACTGAGAATACTTGTATTAGCACATACTTCCACGTTTCCAGCCCTAATCCAGAGAATTGCGTGAATGGAGTACCTATTGGTCGTGTGTTCCCGAATTCTGGAGCTTTCGTAATGGACTCGCGCCAACAACTGGTTCCTCTCGGTGTTGTTGGAGAGCTTGTTGTCACCGGTGATGGTCTTGCAGGGGGATATACTGATCCAAATTATGATCTGAACCGGTTCATCTCGATTACAATTGCTGGAAACGAGACGAGAGCCTATAGGACGGGAGATTACGTACGATACCGTCCAGAAGACGGGCAATTGGAATTCTTCGGCCGAATGGACAATCAGATCAAGATTCGGGGCCAGCGCCTCGAGCTTGGTGAAATTGAGCATGGCATGCTCAGCCACAATGCTGTCAATGAAGCTGCTGTAGTAATTCGACAAAGTGGTGAAGCTAGCCAAGAAGCAACAATTGATGGCTTCATTACCCTTTTTGAACATGACCATGCTCTAGATGTATTGCTAAATGATGAGCAAGAATATCAACAAATCCAAGTTTCTGATGTGAAATCCAACATTCAGGCCCATGGCTCTTTCGATGAGGTCCAACAGGAAGCTGTTGGCCAAGATGTTTTAGGATGGACTTCAATGCTCGATGGGGGTAAGATTGACAAGAATGAGCTGAACGAATGGCTAGACGACACGATGCATACCATGCTAAATGGCGACTCGCCTAAAGAGGTTCTAGAGATTGGAACGGGCTCTGGCATGATACTAATTAACCTACCAAGCAGCCTTCAAAAATATGTTGGCCTGGAGCCTTCGGAACGAAACATTGAGGTTATTAAAAAGCTGGTCGAATCAAACCCGTCCTTGAACAGTAAGATTCAGATGTACCAAGCCACTGCTAAGGACCTTAATCAGTTACACCTCTTAATATCGCCCGATCTGGTGATTTTGAACTCAATTGTTCAATATTTTCCAAGTCAAGACTATCTATTCCGAGTCATAGAAGACCTGGTCAAGTTAGACGGGAAAGCCAAAACATTATTCTTTGGGGATGTCCGCTCCTACGCACTGCACAGAGAATTCCTAGCGGCTAGAGCTTTGCAAATTTCGTCAAAGTATGCGAATGTGTCTCTGGAGGACTTTCAACACATTATGGATGACTTGGAGCGCGCAGAGTCAGAGCTGCTTATTGATCCTGGGTTTTTCACCGGGTTAAGAGACCATCTGCCTGATCATATTGAACACGTCGAAATTATTCCAAAGATGATGAGCGCTACCAATGAGCTTAGTAGCTACCGATACACTGCAATTGTGCATGTCCAGGCACAGCACCCACCATCCACGGCGAACTCGCAGCATATTCATGAGATTGAGAAAGATGACTGGATTAATTTCGAGGAACAAGGACTCAATTATCACACTCTAGTTCAAATGTTGAATAATCCATCAAATGCAAATGGGATAGTTGCTGTCAGCAATATCTCCAATGCGAAGATGATTTTGGAAAGAAGTATAGTCGATGAGTTCAATGCCAGGAATGCTGCTTTTGATAGCACAGATTGGCTTGCGACTGCAAGACAAAAAGCCGAAAATTATGCATCTCTAGCTACAATTGATATAATGACCTTGGCAGAAGAAACAGGTTACCATGTCGAGATAAGTTGGGCTCGACAATTTTCGCAACGAGGAGGTTTTGATGCTGTTTTTCATCGCCACCAGAAGATCGATGGATCAAGAACGCTGTTTAATTTCCCCACTGACCATTCAAACCGATTACCCCATACACTGAGCAGTCACCCATTACGACAAAAATTGAGACTGCAGGCCCAAGAGCAGGTTCTTGAAATGCTTCGTCTTCAGTTGCCATCCTACATGGTGCCCCGCACAATCACCGTGCTAGACAAGATGCCCATCAACAGCAGCGGCAAACTCGATCGCCAAGCACTTGCTAAGCAACGTGTTAATGGGAAATTGAGGCGACCAGTAGAACAGCAGCCAACAACGGAGGTACAACGACAACTTCAGTCAATATGGGCCAAAGTTCTGGTTATTGACCCGTCAACCGTGGGACTGGATGACAACTTCTTCCATTTAGGTGGAAGTTCTATTGCTGCGATGAGGGTTGCCGCTGAAATTCGAAAGGCTGGCTACCATGTTACTGTGGCTGACATTTTCCGTCATCCAGCACTACGCGATCTCTCCAGTCAAACTCACCCAATGGCGACCAATGTCACCGAAGAATTTGCACCCTTCTCCCTCTTAGGCGATGGATTTAATAAGATGGAATTCTTGCAAGAGCTTTCGAATCTCTATGGCATAGATCCCGCACTTGTCTGCGACGCATACCCATCTACGTCTTTGCAGGAGGGCCTCCTGTCCCTCACCTCAAAGCAAAATACAGATTATGTGTTGAGAGCAGTGTTCAAGCTATCATCATCAATTGATGCACAGAAACTGCGAAACGCATGGGAAACAATATTTTATTCCCTACCCATCTTACGCACTAGGATTATCCAACATCGCACACTCGGTACCGTCCAGATTGTCATGCATGAAAAGATTCAATGGGATAGCGCATCCAACATAGATGAATATCTCAAGACGGATAGTAAACTGCAAATGGGACCTGGTCAACCACTTACACGGTATGCATTTATTCAAGATAATTCAGGATTGGACAGGTGGCTTGTGTGGACGGTTCATCATTCTCTCTATGACGGGTGGTCACTGCCGCTCATCCTGGATTCGGTCAGAAAAGCCTACCAAGGCAGCGAGATAAATCCAGGACCACAGTATCAGGCATTCATTAAGTATATCAAGAATCAAGACGATATTCAGGCTACCCGATACTGGAAGGAGATGTTGGATGGCAGTGGATGCGTCTCCTTCCCAACACTACCCCCTTCTATAGACCAACCTACAGCTGACGGATCTGTCACTCACTGCATTTCACAGCCAGGACAAAGACGCTCTGGTATAACAAAGGCTAACTTGGTTCGCGCCTCATGGGCTCTCGTGGTTGGAAGAATGACCGCTGCAGAAGAAGTTACCTTTGGTGCTACAGTATCTGGGAGGAATGCACCAGTAGACGATATTGACTTGATGATGGCGCCGACTTTTGCAACAGTCCCAGTGCGAATTAAGCTGGCTCAAGCTCACAGTGTGGGCGATTATTTAACAATGGTGCAGGAACAGGCAACAGAGATGATTCCGTATGAACAAATGGGATTACAACGAATTGCTTCCGTGTCTCCAGAGGCAAAAAACGCTTGCCGATTCCAAACGCTCCTCGTCGTCCAATCACAGCACGCTGACGATATAAGCATGCAAGATGGAATTGAGTTGGACCAAGACTACACACAAGGACGGCCAGCCGATACCTACGGCTTAGTTCTTGAGATAAATATCATGGAGCACATTATTAAAGTTTCCGCAACATTCGATTCCAGGATGATCGAACCCTGGATGGTGAAGAAGTTACTGGAACGGCTGGACAATGTTATCAACCAGCTGGACCAAGCAAGCCCAGAGCAGCCACTATCGCAAGTCGTAATAATGACATCTCAAGACATCAGTCAAATTTGGGAGTGGAACCGCAATGTCCCTTTGCCGATAAACCAATGTCCACACGAGCTAATTGAGGAGCGATCAAAAACCCATCCTGCTTCTATGGCTGTTTGCGCCTGGGATGGAGAACTCACTTATGGGGAACTCATGCGCCTTGCTGATCACCTTGCTCAGTATCTGACGTCACTGCAGCCAAATAACGGAACCATCATTCCTATCTGCTTTGAGAAATCCATGTGGACGATAGTTGCGATATTTGCAGTTCTAAAATCTGGTGCAGGCTTCGTCCTCCTTGACCCATCGCTCCCAGAACAACGACGACGGGTAATCATTCAACAAGTTGAGGCAAACATTATTTTATGTTCAGCTGCTCAAAAGGCATCATATGTAGGCCTTGTACCTAAAATTATCACTATCACACCACAATTTTTTGCAATGCACTCGCCGATCCAATCGCCGGTCCACCGCTGCAATCCCACTTCACCAATGTACGTTATATTCACATCAGGAAGTACTGGAACACCAAAAGGCGTTGTTGTTACTCATGGTAACTATGCTACGGCACTTGAACATCAAAAATCGGACTATGGGATCACAGAGAACTCAAGGTTTTTTAATATTTCATCTTACAGTTTTGATATGTCGATTGAGGGCATTTTCCGACCTTTATATGTTGGCGGGTGTGTATGCGTGCCGAATGAGCAAGAAATGAGAACCGACTTGGTTAAGAGCATGAATAATCTGAAGATAAATTCGATGATAACTATACCTTCGGTACTTCGATTGCTATCCCCAAGCCAAGTACCCAGTCTACGGACCATACTGATAGGAGGAGAAGCTGTCTATCGCCAGGATGTTGAGCAATGGTGGGGGAACTCGCAGATTATCAACTTATATGGACCCAGCGAATGTACCCCTGTAACCGTTGTTAATAATTCGCCTGCAAGCCCTGAAGCGGCTTGCAATATCGGAACAGGGGTTGGCTCAGTGACTTGGGTCGTGGATCAAGATGACCACAACATTCTGGTGGCTCCAGGATGTGTAGGTGAGCTTGTTATAGAAGGCCCACTAGTTGGTCCTGGATACCTCAACAATCCGGAGAAAACCGCGACAGCATTCATCAAAGACCCTCTATGGCTTTTGAGAGGTGCTCAGGGCCAGACAGGAAGGTCTGGTCAAGTTTATAAGACAGGCGACTTGGTTAGCTACAACATTGATGGCAGCTTGAGATACGTCGCCCGGAAAGACCTTCAGAGAAAGATCCGTGGCCAGCGCATAGAAATCGGCGAAATAGAGCATCAGCTGGAGAGCCTGTTGATTCACGATGGTCAAATAGTTGCCGATATCATCGAGCCACAAGGTGGCAATTCGAACCAACTGCTCGCAGTGTTCATCAAAAGGACAAATGCCCCGGGCCCAAATCGGGGTAGCTTACAGGATGCTGGGGTATCCGTATCAGCAATGCCATCATATGTAACCCGTAAGCTCTCCGAGCGTTTACCTCATTACATGGTGCCCACGGTACTCTTCACTTTACAGGATATGCCCAGGAGCATATCAGGAAAGATTGATCGTCAACAGATTCATCGAATAGGTGCCTCATTTACAACTCAACAACTGGCAGAAATGCAAACAGCGATGAACGGGCCGAAGAAACCTGCGAGATCGCAAAAGGAGCGGCAGATTCAAGAAATTTGGGCAAGCATACTGGAGATCGATCCAGAATCGATTGGCCTTGATGATAGTTTTGTTCATTTGGGAGGGAATTCCATCATTGCTATGAAGATTTCTGCAGAAGCTCGTAAATATGGAATCCGACTTGGTGTTGCCGATATATTTGGTCGTCAAACGTTGCGCGACATAGCTGAACAGGCTTATGTATTAGAAAGTTGCGAGGACGCGATTCCATGTTTGCAGCAGTCTGGGCCTGTGGAACAATCGTTCGCCCAAGAACGCCTATGGTTCTTGGACCAACTGCACTCCAATCTACAATGGTATATGATGCCTTTGGCGTTTCGTTTACGAGGACCACTCCAGTACAATGCTTTGAAAGCTGCTCTTCAGGCAATTGAGCAGCGTCATGACACTCTGCGAACCACGTTCGAATCAAAAGACGGCATCAACATGCAGCTAGTCCACGCTTTCCAGCCCCGTGAGCTGAAAGTGACGGAGATACCATCTTCGAATCAATCACATTCTATCCGGCTGCTTGAGCTGGAACAAACCAGACCATTCGATCTTGGGACTGAGCCTGGCTGGAGGGTAACACTTTTCAGGCTCTCGGATAATGACCATATCTTGTCAATCATCATGCACCATATAGTTTCTGACGGTTGGTCAGTTGACATATTACAGAAAGAATTGGCAGTATTCTATTCTGCAGCTCTTAGAGGTGACGAAGATCCGACCTCTTTGGTTGATCCACTACCCATTCAATACGCCGACTATTCAATTTGGCAGAGGCAACAAGGCCAAGTCGATAATCACTTGCATCAACTTAACTTTTGGACTGAACATTTACAGTCAAGTAATCCCGCTGAACTGCTCTGTGATAAACCAAGGCCACCATCTCTTTCGGGAGCAGCCGATATTTACCATCTTAGAATCGACGGAGCTCTTTATCATGATCTTCAGATTTTTTCTAAGCTCCATGGCGTAACTCCATTCGCAGTATTGTTAGCAGCATTCAGAATTACCCATTATCGCCTAACAGGTGCTACGGATGCTACTATTGGAATTCCCAACGCAAATCGAGACCGTTGGGAATTAAGAAATCTAATCGGATTTTTTGTCAACATGCAATGCATTCGAACTGTTGTAAACGAACAATCTTTTGAAACATTTATCGGGCAAGTTCATGATGAGATGTTGCTATCTTTTGCGAACCAAGACGTCCCGTTTGAAAGGGTCGTGGCAAGCCTAGAAAAGGATAGAGATTTGTCCCGCCACCCTCTGGTGCAGATTGTTTTTGCCCTTCATTCACAGCGAGACCTTGGAAAGCTCAAACTTGAATCTATTGATGCGGAGCCTATCAACCCGTCAACCACCTCCCGATTTGATCTCGAGTTCCATTTCTTTCAGGAAGACGAAGCTCTGCAAGGCGAAGTAATTTTCTCAACAGATCTGTATAACAACGACACAATCAGCAACATGACGGCCATCTTCCGCACCACTCTAGAGCTTGGAATTACCTATCCTACCATGGCAATCGATTCCTTGCCATTACTCAGAGACGACGATTTATTCACGATGCGGCAATTAGGGTTATCTCAAATCCAACGGACGGACTACCAGAGGGACTCCAGCATTATTGATGTCTTTAGTCAACAGGTAATTAAGCAAGCGAACAAAGTGGCTGTTAAAGATTCAACTAGCCAAATGACGTATACTGAATTGGATGAGAAATCAACCATGCTGGCAAACTGGTTGGCACGTCGGGCGCTGGCTCCAGAGACATTGATCGGAGTACTTGCCAATCGATCATGTCTTACGATCGTGGCATTTTTAGCAATAATCAGAGCTAATCTCGCTTATCTGCCTCTAGATACAAGAACCCCAGCCGGCCGTATGGAGACAATCTTGTCCTCTATTTCAGGTCGGAGACTTGTCTTACTCGGGCCTGGAGTGGCACGCCCGACCTTATCCCTCCCCAGTGCTGAAATTGAATTCGCCTCGATTGAAGAGATTATAGGCAAACCGACTATGAATCTGGGAAAGAATCTCACGTTATCGAGCCTACCGAATGCAAAGAGTCTGGCATATGTCATGTTCACTTCTGGATCAACCGGCATGCCGAAAGGAGTGATGATTGAACATCGAAACATCCTCCGGACTGCAGAAATAAGCACCACAATGCAGCACCTTTTGCCTGAACTAGTTATAGCGCACGCATCAAACATCGCATTCGATGCTTCGACCTGGGAGATATATACTGCTCTGCTAAATGGTGGGACATTGATTTGCCTTAGTCACACCACCTGGTTAGATTACCGCATTTTGAGAACAGCCATTGAAGAGGAGCATATCCAAGCTTTATTTATCACACCAGCACTACTTAAGCAGCATCTTCTTCACCGTCCACTCCCCATTGGCGGAGTAGAGGTGCTCTATGTCGGAGGAGATCGTCTTGATCCTCACGATATTGCAATTGTAAGGGACCTGACGAAAACTAAAATTATAAATGTATATGGCCCGACCGAGAACACCAGTTACAGCACGCTATACGAGATCACGGATCAAGAACCTATGACAAATGGTATCCCCATCGGTCGCCCATTGAGAAACTCTGGTGCCTATGTAGTTGATTCGCAGCAACGATTGGTACCTCTTGGGGTTGTTGGCGAGCTTCTAGTAACGGGCGATGGCCTCGCTAGAGGTTATGTGGATTCAAGACAAAATTCAGGCCGGTTCGTTTCTTTTAAAGTAAATGGGGAAGTAACCAGAGGCTATCTCACAGGCGACTATGCCCGATATCGCAGTGATGGGCAGCTGGAATACGTTGGCAGAAAGGATGGACAGGTCAAGATTAGAGGCCAGCGGGTGGAATTAGGAGAGATTGAACATGCAATGAAAAACCACAAATCTGTTCGTGACGCAGTTGCAATTATAGTGCAACAAGATGGCGATACAAACGAACCACAAATTGCCGGATATGTCACCCTTCACGATGATAATAACGAGAAATCGGTGGACGATGAGCAGGAATATGAGCAAGTCAAAGAGTGGGAAGACCGTTTTGACATCGAAACATATTGCTCTCTCGACAATCTCCACCCTGAACAGCTCGGAAGAGACTTTGTAGGATGGACATCCATGTACGATGGTGAGAACATTGACAAGGGTGATATGAATGAGTGGTTGGATGACACTATTGAGGCGATACTTGGAAGTAATCCCGCCGAGCATGTCTTGGAAATAGGGTCAGGCTCTGGAATGATTATGTTCAACCTGAAGGACGCATTGAAATCATACGTCGGCCTTGACCCATCAGAGCGCGCTGTCAATTTAATATCCAGAAACCTCAAAATTCTCCCCGCTCTCAAGGAGAAGACAAAGATATATAAGGCAACCGCCACGGATTTGAATCGGCTAGAAGCAATCACATCATCAGAATTTGCTGTGCTGAATTCTGTTGTGCAGTATTTCCCTAGTCAGGATTACTTGTTTAGAGTCATTCAGGACCTTGTTAATCTTGGTGGCATCAAGACTATTTTTCTCGGCGACATCCGCTCTTACGCACTTCACAAAGACTTTTTGACCTCGAGAGCATTACACTTATTGGGCGATCATGCGACAGCTGGAGAAGTGACACGGGTTATTTCCGACATGGAGCGAGCAGAATCGGAGTTACTTGTTGATCCCTCTTTTTTCACCAGCTTGCCAAGCCGAATACCCAGCATAAAACATGTTGAGATTTTACCAAAGAGAATGCACGCAACTAATGAGCTCAGTTGCTATCGTTACGCTGCCGTTATCCATCTTGTTTTGGAGAGTGAGCGAGAAGTTGTTGTGATCGAAGGTGACAAATGGATAGACTTCGAAGAGCAGGGCTTGAATGCCGAGGCATTAAAAAAACTGTTACAGAATCCTTTGGCTCCATCTATCGTGCCAGTAGGCAACATTCCCAACGCAAAGACAATTCTTGAGCGGCATATCGTTGCATCGTTATCCGATCAAAACCGGAACGAAACAAGCTCATGGCTATCTACAGCTCGTAAAACGGCAGCAGCCTGTTCCTCACTATCTGCGATCGACTTGGATTTAATTGCTCACGACTCGGGATATCAAGTTGAAATCAGTTGGGCTCGCCAACATTCCCAGCGCGGAGGACTTGATGCTGTGTTCCACCGTAGCAAGTCTGCCGAAAGCAAAGCCAAAAGCAAGCCCCGAAGACTCTTCCAATTCCCAACTAATCATCTTAACCGGTCTTACCACACTTTCACTAGCCATCCTTTACAACATCACCTCCGGCAAAAGATCCAACATGAGATCAAAGACATCGTGCAATCCCACTTGCCACAGTATATGGTACCTCATTTCATTGCAGTGATAGATCAGATACCCATAAATGAGAATGGCAAAGTCGACCGCCGATGTCTTGTACAAAGTATGCCGATACAAAAACCACGAGCTATAGTACAGCCTACCACGGACAACGAAAGGGAAATGCAACGGATATGGGCAGACGTGTTAAATATAGCGCCGGAAAGTATTGGAATTAATGACAGCTTCTTCTACCAAGGAGGAAGCTCGATAGCCGCAATGAAAGTTGTTGCTGCGGCCCACAGAGCTGGATATGAGCTTGCCGTCGCAGACATCTTCCGCACCCCGAAGCTCGGAGAACTCGTCGCATGTAGCTTTCAGCGAATCAGCAAGGTCACTGAGATAATCCAGCCGTTTGAGTTGTTCAAGAATGTGGATATAAACTCCCTTATACGAGGTGTATCAACTCAATGTCAGCTACAACCCGCTAAAATTATCGATGCGTATCCATGCACTCCGTTACAGGAGGGCCTTTTAGCCTTGACCTCAAAACGACAAGGTGACTATGTTATGCAAGCAGTCTTTGACATTCAGCCTGGAGTAGCAGTTGAGAAACTGCGCCAGGCATGGGAAACCGTCTTCAAAGCATTGCCACTTCTGCGCACTCGAATTGTTCAGCATGTTGATCTTGGTATCATACAGGCAGTAATCGACGAATCAATTTCCTGGGTCGAGGCAACTGGCCTAGACGAGTATCTCGAGGCCGTACAGAAGTTACCAATGGGCATTGGCCAGCCACTAACTGCCTTTGCCATAGTCAGTAACACTACAGGAACGCCTTCATGGCTAGTATGTAGCATGCACCATGCTTTATATGATGGATGGTCTCTCTCTCTTATCATGGATGCTGTGAGCAAAGTATATCTAGACGAGCAAATAGACCAGGGGAGCCAATTCCAAGCCTTCATAAAGTTTATCAAGGAACAAGATGAGAACCAGACGATGGATTATTGGAAGACGTCTCTAGAAGGCTACGATAGTGTGCCATTTCCATCTCTGCCACCGTCAGTTACAGAGCCAAGGACGGATACATTCCTAGAATACACTATTCCTCATCCGCAATCGCAATCAGACATCACTCCGTCGAGTTTGATCCGTGCCGCATGGGCTTTAGTGGTTGGTAGGATGACCAATACGAAGGATATCGTTTTTGGGGCCACTGTTTCTGGCAGGAATGCGCCTGTGTCTAACATAGACAGAATGGCTGCCCCGACTTTTGCAACCGTGCCCGTTCGTATCAAGTATTCTGCCACTCAGAAGATTTCGGCATACTTATTGGCAGTGCAGCAACAAGCTACCGACATGATTCCATTTGAACAAATTGGATTGCCTCGCATATCTCATGCGTCTGAAGCGGCTAAGTTAGCATGTGGGTTCCAAACAATACTCGTTATTCAACCAGAGGAAATAAATGACATCCCGGACATTTTGGGGATGAACCGTCGGGATGATAGTTACAACACGCAGCTATCAGATCCCTATGGCATTATACTTCAACTGCAGCTCAGCCAAAAGGGAATTCTTGCTTCAGTAGGATTCGATTCGCGAGTCATGGAGCCGTGGATAGTCGACAAGCTGCTTGAGCAACTTCAAAGTGTTATGCACCAGTTAGACTGTGCAAACTCCAACCAGACACTATCGGAAGTTAATTTGGCCACACCTGAAGATCTGGAGCAGATATGGAAATGGAATGCAACGGTTCCATCGCCAGTAGACCGGTGCGTTCAAGACGCTATCGAGGACAGGATCATCCAATCGCCTGCCGCAGAAGCCATTTGTGCTTGGGATGGCACCTTGACTTATGGAGAGTTATCTCGTCTCTCTACAGAGTTAGCGGTACATCTCATAAGCCTCGAGGTTGGCCCGAATATGACGATTCCGCTCTTATTTGAGAAATCTATGTGGACTACCGTGGCAATACTTGCCGTGTTAAAGACTGGCGCTGCATTTACTCTTTTAGACCAAGCCCACCCATTGGAGCGCCTCCGAGCAATTATCAGCAAGGTCACCGCGAAGTTGATTCTGTCATCGAAAGTGTTGCAGGGTCTAAGTTCTAAATTAGCCAGCAGAACAATCGCAATCGACTCGGAATTTTTCGCCAATCTTCCCAAACAATCTTATACTCTACCACCGTCTCCGCCTCTTTCATCTCCTATGTACGTAGTTTTCACCTCGGGTAGCACTGGAACGCCAAAGGGCGTAATAACATCTCATGGGGCGTTCTCATCGGCAGTTCACTACCAGTCAAGTGCCATGGGGTATCACTCTTCTGTACGCGCCTACGACTTTTCTGGATATGCGTTTGACGCTTCGATTGGGATAACATTCATGACTCTCGCATCTGGAGGGTGTTTGTGCGTGCCATCAGATGCAGACCGAAAAAACAATCTCACATCATCTTTGGTGGCGACCAAGGCGAATCACGTTGATTTGACGCCCTCAGTATCTCGCACGCTTCAACGGGAGCGTTTAGTCGATCTCAAGGTCTTGGTTATTGGCGGTGAGGCTGCTACTCAGGGTGATTTCCAAGGGTGGCCTAATGGGGTATCTGTAATAAATGCATACGGCCCATCTGAATGTACACCTACCAGCACCATTCAGCACTGCTCTCGAGATAAAACCAATCCTTCAAACATTGGCTTTGGTGTAGGAACAGTCACCTGGATAACAGATCCGGATAATTCACAAAGATTGTCACCTATTGGGGCCATCGGTGAGCTTGTTCTCGAAGGTCCTCTAGTAGGCCTCGGTTACCTGGGAGAGCCGGAAAAGACTGATTCGGTTTTCATCAACAATCCCACTTGGCTACTACATGGTGCACCCGGTCACCATGGACGGAAGGGGCGGTTGTATAAGACAGGTGACCTGGTCCGATATAGCTCGGATGGCAGCCTCGTATTCATAGGGCGCAAAGATGCCCAAGTCAAGATCCGTGGTCAACGAGTTGAACTTGGTGAGATTGAGAACTGTTTGAGGGACTCCGTCCCAAATCTGAAAGACGTCGTGGTTGAAGTAATTCCACGAAATGATGGGGTCCCCTCGAATGATCGATTGGTAGCCTTTCTCTCATTCACTTTGCCTTGTGATACAAGGGGAGATGGATATGCCGACCGGCTTCCGAAAAATTCTAAGTCATCATTTAATGCCCGCTTAGTAGACTTGCCCGAGCAGGTAGAGGACGTGCTATCAGCTAGCCTACCTGGCTACATGATTCCAACGGCTTACTTTGCCGTTGATTGCATCCCAACCACTCATTCTGGCAAGACAGATCGTCGTCTCCTGCGCGAGATGGGATCCAGCTTCACAGCAACACAGATTGCCGAATCATTCAAAATTAATTCGGGACTTAGACGCGCCCCGCTTACGGAGATTGAACGACTGTTACATCAGATTTGGGCGCAGGTTCTGGGTATTGAGTCCCAAGTCATAGGAGTAAACGATAGCTTCTTCCGCCTTGGAGGTGACTCTATTTTGGCAATGAGAATTTCGGCAATAGCTCGTACTGAGGGAATTAACATCTCGACTGGCGATATCTTTGCCGAAAAAACTATTGCTAAGCTTGCAGTGGCCGCTCGTGTGCAAGAATCCAAAGATGAATCATCAATGTCACCCACGTTTTCGTCTCAGGAGGATATTCTCAACTTTTACAATCGTCTTCCATCACATGTGGAGGTTTCCAGCCTCGATTCTATTGAAGACGTATTACCATGTACAGCTATTCAAGAACGCATGCTAGAGGCACGGGCAAAGAATCCAAGACTTTATGTGACCGAACTTGGCTTGGAGATCAGGGCTAAGGGCAACAATTCGGTTAGTTTCCAACGAATTCAGCAATCATGGCAAACCGTTGTACGAAGACACAGTTTATTGCGTGCCGTGTTCGTCCGTGGATATCCAGGCGGATCATTCCAGGTCGTTCTGAAGGACCCGATTCCAGGTATATCCCTCCTGCGGCGAGAATTTAGACGCTCGGCATCAAACAAACAGTTTATGGACGCCTCATTCCATGAATCTGGTCTACAACACCATCTGTCTGTCTATCAGACCAACGAGACACGTACCTATCTTCGTTTTGAGTTCAACCACGCTCTTGCAGATGGCCAAGCCATCGACATCCTCGTCCGAGATTTCCAGCTTGCATACGATAATCGTCTCGAATCTAACTGCCCACCTTATTCAAGCTTCCTCAAGTATACTATGGCACAGTCTCACGAGCAGGGTCGTCACCACTGGTCAGGCTATACGGATGGCATTGAGCCTTGCTTCTTGCCTGCCTCTACGCAAACCACAAACAACGCTCGAGGAACGTTTAGTATTGATGTTACAGGCCTAGACGCGCAAACGATTACCAAATTCTGTGCAGAACGAGAAGTCTCCATAGCAAATATCCTACAAGTCGCTTGGGCCATAGTTTTGAGGCACTGGACAGGATCACGAGCTCCCTGCTTCGGTAACATTGTCTCAGCGCGAGATGCCCCGGTTGATGGAGTTGACGAAATGATGGGACCTCTATTCTATCTGATGCCAAGTCAAGTTCGGTTACATGATGATCACACTATTATAGATATCTTGAGGAATGCCCGTGAAGAGTTCGTGCAAAACGTGAGGCATCAGGCTTACTCTGTGGCACAGCTTTGGCAGGACCTCAGAGCTCGTGGCTCTGACAACATGTTCAACACGGCCTTGTCTATTGCTAGACATACTGAAGAGCTGCAAGAGACATCTGATGGGCATTCACTTGACGTGATAGATAATTCTGACCCAGTAGAGGTATGTGATTCAGCGCCTTTTGTATGATGCAAGCTAACACAGACACAGTACGCCGTCTACATTAGAGGCGCACTCAGTGATGAGTGTGTGTATATCTCTTTGGAGTTTTGGGAAGAGCATACGTCCAGAGCAGATGGTGGAAAGATAGCAACTGAATTGGGCAAAGCAGTTTCACTTGCTGTGTCACACCCCGAGTGGGATATAGGGAGTCTTATGGGAGAGTTATCTGCTGAGTGAAACCATTTACATTGTATATTTCTTTCTTTTGTTCAATCTTACGCCTTTTTTAAATTTCACAGAAAGATTTAATATGTTCCATCATCTCAATCCCCACCTGGTTCGGTATTGAGTTAGGAGTGCAAGACTCCAATGATAGTTAATCTAACCCTCCCTCCCATTTTACTTTATTGCAGAGTACGGTTTTGCACTTCAACTAAAATAACATCTCGAATCTAGCTAGACAAAAGAAACTACAGACGTGCAATACCACTCGCAGCCTAGCATTGTTCAATAGCACTACTACATAAGCGTAGGTTTGATTCATGTTAGACTCCGTAAAGGCTCCTACCTACCCTAGAGCCATCGAAGATTGCCCGATCGATGATGCTATCGTCTCAGACATTACACGTCTGTCGAAATGGCGGTGGAACTGCCCTTTGGTTCCACTTATAGTGACCAACTGTTCGGCTTACCTTTATCGGGCGTTTTGGGATTTTTGGGCTTACTGTGAGGTAAGCCGAACAGTTGGTCACGAAAGGTGAAACCAGCGGGTAACGCAACTTCTCCAAGGTTAGATCTACCAACGGAAATCAGCGGCATGGTTTTGTTGCAGGTTGTGATCGGACTGTACACCGCCGCAATAGTTCCTACAGAATGGTTGAATCACAAGAGGGATGAGCATGTCTTTGCTGCTCAAAATTCGGCTCTAACCGGCTAGAAGAGCCCCAGTCCAATCCCTACCTGCAGGGAATCGAAACCACGGGAGGAGCTGGCTCGGGTACGGGAACCATCAAGTGCAAATTAGGTGTGATACGGCCCTTACCAATTACGGCATGTCCATCAGCCTGTGTTAAGTGTGAAGAGGAGACATCTTATCGTTTGAGAGACGCTCAGCATTTTCCACTTCTGTCATGTAGAGGGAATTGTGGAAAGGATCCTTGGGACAGCAAGGCCCTTCTCTGGATCTGGACCATCATGACTTCTGAGCATACCAACAGCGTCTCTGAACGCACGCGCCTCCTTTCATCTGTCCAAAATGATGACAGCAATGACCTCGGCAATATCACGCACAATGGAAATAGTAGCGACGACGTCAGCAACATCGATGACAACATCAGCGACCAGATCCGCATCTCTCGTCGCATCGCCGTCGCTGTTCTTTGCCTACTTCTGCTCCTGATCGTGGAATTTGCTGCAACTCTCCTCACTATATCTATCAGCCAAATCGAGGAGGGAGTTTTGTGTCGCAGCTTCTATCCAGACGTCAACAACCCCGCCACAGACCTGCGGTGCAAAAGCGAAAATGTCCAGTCCGAGTTGTCTACTATCCAGGGCTGGGGCTTTACGTTTGCTATTATTCCCGGCCTCATCACAGCTGTGCCGTACGGAGTTGCCGCAGACAAGTACGGACGTCGCGTCATCCTCAGCCTGTCTATACTAGGTCTTTTGCTGGTCGAAGCTGGAGTCACGATCATCTGTAAGCGAGTCGCAATTCATCCGACCGGTAAATCTTGAACGACTAACGCCTGTTTGTATGTAGGTCGATTCCCACACATCTTCCCGATTCGATTAATATGGCTCGCCGCCTTGTTCACCCTGATCGGAGGTGGCACATTCGTCTTTAATGCCATGATCTTCACTATTGCCAGCGATGTTTCAACAGAAGCGCAGCGGTACGAGATTTACAGATTTTGGACCTTCCTACTTGCTGACAACGAGGCTGACTCCTTCGCCTGGAATATAGATCCACCGTCTTCTTCTACGTCGCCGCCGTCGCTATAGGAGGCAAATTAATCTCTGGGCCACTAGCATTCATGGCTGTGCAACATAGTGTATGGCTGTCTGTCTATATCGGCTTGGTATGCTTGCTCGCCTGTGTCTTGTTAGCCCTGGCATTTCCAGAGACGCGGCCACTGAGCGCGGTGGAAACCGAAGAGACCAGAAATGACGACGATGGACGAAGTGACACATCCGCGTCCAGTAATATCACCAAGAGTAGGGGGCTGAAGATGCGCATCTATGATCTATTGGAGCTTGAAAAATTGGCGATCTTGGTCAAGTATTTCTGGGAAAACAAGCGTCTCGGCCTCCTTCTTCTTAGCCTGATATTTACCACGTTGGGCAATTACGTGACCATAATTCTCATGCAGTACACTACGAAGCGCTTTGGATGGACCTGGGCAAAGGTATGTTGAGATGCAACCCAAAATAATCCTTACATGTCCTACCAATGTCACTAACGCTCTCTCCAAGGCTGGCCTGCTGTCGTCCATCAGCGCCTTTGTGAACCTTGTCCTCCTCGCCGCAATTCTCCCTGCTCTCAGTCAGGTGCTTCTTTTCAAGTATAGGCTATCGCCAGTTGCCAAAGATGCTTTACTGGCACGAGCAGGCATGGTGGCTCTTACGATTGGGGCTTTTGGCATCGGCTTCTCCAACACAACAGCCATGCTCATGACCACCTTAGTGATCTATTCCCTCGGCTACGGCTACGAATCATCTCTGCGCAGCCTCCTCATCGCGCTGGCGGGCGAGCAGCACACTGCCATGCTGTTTGCGGCCATGAGTGTTTTGCAGAATATCGGTATGCTTATCGCTGGACCCCTAATGGCATGGGCCTTTAGAGTGGGCTTGAGGTGGGGCGGAGCATGGATCGGCTTGCCCTTTATCTCGACGGGATGTCTCTTGACTTGTGCGACTTGCATTGTGTTTGGTGTTCGTTTAACAGACTCTACAGCAACAAGGCGAAACAGTAGATCATCGCTTTATCCCGATTAAGACAAGATGCTTTACGTATGTTTATATAGCGAGACACATCCATATTACTTTAGTTCTAAAAAATGTAGGAACTGATAATCTTTCCGTAGACCACGCCCACCTTGGTAGAATCAAATAAATCGGCTTTAAAATTTGTACTCCCAGGTCTTTAGATGACCTGGTCTTTGATCTCTGTACTCGCCTTAGTCAAAGTGCTTATGATATGGGCAGTACTCAAGCCCAAAGCTTTAACTGTGTTCAAATTGCCATCAGTCCAAATTGGGAGCGCTCAATGCATGTGATGGTGTAACAAATACTAAGCATCCCCAGCAAGGCTTTGCAGGTTAACAAGCTCGGCATATCTGCCACGCTTCTTCATTAAATCGGCATGCGTCCCCTCTTCCACGATCTTACCCATGTCAAATACATAGATACGATCGGCTTTCTGTATAGTACTTAGCCGATGAGCCACTGCGATAGTCGTTCGACCCTTGGCCGCCTTGTCTAGTGCTGCTTGCACTATTTGCTCAGATTCAGAGTCCAAAGCTGATGTCGCTTCGTCTAATAGCAGGATTTTGGGATCGCGAATCAAAGCGCGAGCAATGGCAATACGCTGCTTTTGGCCGCCAGAGAGTAGCGCGCCTTTACTTCCGACAATTGTGTTGAATCCATCTGGTAGTGATACGATGAAATCGTAGATATTGGCTTCACGGCAGGCGAATTCGATCGCTTCGTCTGATACGTCGCCACTAGGGCTGCCTAAGGTGATGTTGTCCTTGATTGTGCCCTGGTAAAGCGTCGGCTCTTGGCTTACCAAAGAGATAAAGGATCGGTAATCCGTGATATTTAGGGTACTAATATCCCTACCATCAACATAAATCTCCCCAGCAAGAGGGTCGTAGAATCTTTCCAAGAGGCTGATTGCTGTGCTTTTACCGCAACCGGAACTCCCCACAAGAGCGATGTATTGACCGGGTCTGATAAAAATACTGAGCCCACGAAGTACTGATTGCTCTAGTCGCTCTGGGTAGCGGAAATATACCTGACGGAATTCAATTTCGCCTTCAATCGTTCCAAGGCGTTCTCCTCTGCATGACCACGTATCGATTGTCGGCTGTCGGTCAAATAACCTCTTGAGTTCCGTGGCAGCCCGATGTGCGTTACTCATATTTGGCGCAAAGGAGAAGATAGTTCCAGCCGATTGGGATCCGAATATGACGGCAGGGAGACAGAGGAAGAATTGAAACTGGTCGTACTCGCCCTTACCGATCAGGGTACCGCCATACCAGAAACCCAGGGCAAGGCAGAGGAATATTAAACTCTGTGATGCCGCAAAGAGAACACTCGACTTAAGGACTGATATAAGGCTCCTATGCTGCTGTGCCATAAGTGCTTCTCTATATTCATGCAACACCTCATGCTCGCGTGTAAGGGCAGCGACAGTGCGTATGGAGGATATTGCCTCAGATGCAATGGAGGCTGATGAGGCATATGCAGATATTGAGCGCTGCTGGAATTGGGCTAGTATCCAAAACCGATACCACCCGCAGGCGAGAAGAGCAGGCATAGTAGATAGGCAAACCAGAGACAACTTCCAACCGATAGCTACAGACATAACGATACCAATAAGAAGGGTTGAGGTCATCGATATCAGAGTCCCTAGTGTAACGCCGCTCAGGCCGGCCACATGCGTTGTCTCGGTAGACAAGAACGCTGTTAGAGCCCCAGAGGTATTCTCATCTCTGTCGAAAAAGGCAACATCTTGCCGCAGTATAGTACGAAACGAACGTTCCCTTACCCGCCGGATCAGTCTCTCAGAGCATAATGCGAACGCGGAGCCGTTTATTGCATATGCTATAAACTCAACAACGGCAATCATCAAGAGCATGGCACTCCAGAAGTCGGAGTCCTTTTTTATTGTATGGCGGGTTTGATCATTGATAGGGCGAGATAATGTGGAAATCTGCTTGGAAAAGAATACTAAAGTGTGAAAAAGGGTGATCAGATAAACACACAAAATCTCTTTACCTGGCTGTAGGAATTGGGGGTGTCTGTTCACTCACCTGACATGAGGGGGAAACCTGCGCCGCAGAGAATCGAAGAAAAAATGCCGAGAAGCATAGCCTTCCATTCTGGATGATTGAATGACCTTATCAAGGTTATTAATGTCCATAGGCTGTAAGCCGTGTTTTCCCCATAGGTTGAATTTGCCGTTTGTGAAGCTTCAGACCCGACCGACTCTTTAAGATGAACTCTGACATCCTCCCCGCGGCCTTTTGGCATACTGCGAATAAGTTGCTCCTCTTTTTCATTCAGAGACTCTTCACCATCTTCCGTCACATCATCGGCCTTGGATATACTTTGTGCCATTACTAGATCATAATACGGCCCTTTCTTATTGAGTAGATGATCATGAGTGCCCTGCTCGACGACACGACCCTGAGACATGACGACGATATTATGAGCGCCTTTGATAGTAGAAAGACGGTGAGCAATGCAAATAGTAGTACGTCCCTCCGCGGCGGCCTTGAGGGCGATCTGTACAGCACTCTCGGATTTCGTATCGAGCGCAGAGGTGGCCTCGTCAAGTAACAGAACTATAATTTGGTAGTTAGTATCAGCATGAAATTCATTCTAACGAAGAGAATTTAGTTATCAACAAACTTTTTGGGTCCGATACAATCGCTCTGGCAATCGCAATGCGTTGCTTTTGGCCACCAGAAAGGAGAAAGCCCTTCTCGCCCACCTTGGTCTCATAACCTTGGGGAAGACCAGTCACAAAGTCATGCGCATTTGCCTTTTTGGCTGCTTCTATAATAAGCTCTCTTTGCTTGATTTCAGATTCATATTCGAACTTTGTGCCAATAAGACCGTAGCGGATGTTGTGATAGATAGAGGTACTAAAGAGTGTAGGGTCCTGGTTGACTAGAGCCACTTGTTGACGAAGCCATCTCAAGTTCAGCTGACTGATATCATAACCATCGAGGTATATAACGCCGCTAATTGGTTCATAAAAACGTTCAATCAGACCGAAAATTGTGCTCTTGCCTGAGCCTGAAGCGCCGACTAAAGCTGTGATCTTGCCAGCTGGAATCTCGAGGGTCACGTTGTCCATGACTAGTATTTCGGGACGTGATGGGTAGATGTGCTGGATATTCTCTAGATAAAGGTTGCCGTCCACGTAGTCCAGCGTCTTGCCCTCATTATTCGTCACATCGAGTGGTGATAAACGATTGATAGTATTCGCAATATTTCCCATGGCCGCAATAGCCGTCGTAAATGCTTGGACATACGGCAAGACATTTACCAGAGAGAATGAGCCGTTAATGATGGAGAACACGACGATTAAAAGCTTGGATACCGGAATGACCTCGTCCACCACGTATTTGCTTCCCTGCCAGAAAGCTAGTGCGTAGGTGAGATAAAGGATCAACCACATCATGGCTGACATGCATGCCATGGAAATTTGCATCTTATATCCATATATGGCTCCTTTATCAAGATAAGTGCTATATTTCTTAGATAATCGGTCTTGAGTTCCGAAAGCGATGGTATTGCGAATAGAGCCAATAACCTCTTCGGCGAGGCTACCGCCTTGTGCGTAGGATTCGAGAGAGATCTTATTGTTCGTGAGCACAAATCTCGAGCCAATGCTGGTGCTTAATAGCAGCGCAAATAGAGCGCACGATAAGATCAGAGTGAGCTTCCAATACGTAATAAATCCCACGACAAAAGCTGTGATAAATGTGGCGATCGCGGCAATAGTCAACGATACCTTTTCAGATATGCCATCCTGTATCAGATTAGTTTCAGCAGTTATACGTGTTGTAACCTCGCCCGTCCCCGTTTTATCGAAGAACCCGATATTTTGGCGCAAGCAGCTCGCAAGGTAGCGTTCACGGATCTTGGCTGTAATGTGCTCGCCGGTGTAGATGAAGCCCACGGTGCAGACAAACGAGGCAACAAACTGGCCAACGGCGAGGTAGACAAAGTAGAGGACGAACTTGGTCATCTGGTTAGTAAAATCGCCGTGCTTAAGCGTTTGACCACCGTCTGTACCATTCGAATAACCCTGAAAGGTGTTTTGAAGGCGACCGAAAACGATGTTCATAAGTGGCATGGCCGCGCCCGATGCTATTGCAAAAAGAGAGGAGACGATGATGATGATGGCGTCGTTACGCGTGGCATATCGGTAGATGGCTTTGATTCCATGATCACCCTCCGGAATGACGATCTGGCGCTTGAGGATGTCAGCCTGGTGAGGTGGGAGGTGACCATAAGGATCTTGTGCGTTTCCAAGCTTAGTGCCCTGAGCGTCAATTGGGTTGGTTGGCAAACAATTGCTCGCGTCTTTTGGCTTTCGTGATTGTAAAACAGCTCTATAAGAGGATTCCGAGTCTCGAATAGGTTGAATATCGTCTTCCGGTGTTTCATTGTGGGTAAATTTCTCGCGATGCTTAGAAGTACCATTGGCATCGCGAGTGCCGATATGCTCAATAGCCTTCCCAGAAGATTGGGAAACCATGGTCGTTAATGGTCTGTGCTGGAACACTACATACGACCCAAGTGTAAAATATATTTAAAGTTGATATGAGCCCTAGGTTTCGACTTCACCCTCGGCTGCTACAGGAATGAGATCGCCACATGTCCAAGGGAGTATGATGGGTACATATATGTAGTAGGTAATTTTAAACCGAACTTCAAGCTAGAGAGCGGTGGTGATTTTTGAACAGAATGTACAGTTATTTTAGGACCAACATAAGGGATATTAGCATTTCTGAGGTCGCAATAGTAATACGATATCTAAAAGAGCCTTTCATGACATAGTGCGCGATACGAACCATGTTGGAGTGTAGCAAAAGGCATTCTACAGGTTCATACCCATGATATTGCGTTAATAGCATCTGTTACTCATCAATTGTCATCACAATAAGTAGCATTATGGACTTAGCTACTCTGTACGAGTCCCCGCAACCCTCATTCGGTATGGATATGATTTGATCGGTATTCATCAAGAATCCAAGATCGGTGAGCAGATTCCATGTCATCAGCTAATGCTCTGGATCTGCCGGTATGTAGCTAGACTGAGACATCGCCGATCATTTATTTTAAAATGTCACATCTGTGTTGAGCAAGTAGGAAACAATCGAAATGATCCATTTTCAGGTCCTATCCTATTGTAAGATGGGAAGATTATCAATGAATACACCAGATATGATTAAACTTAAACTGAACAAATCTAACATACATGAGATTAAATTTTCTGTAGTGGATTGCTCGTGTCCATCATTCTGCCCGGTACTCCGTGCTTTGTGCTATGAAACCTTGGGATTATACTGTACCATGTCTCACAAAAGACGAGTACACAGTGTTCTTCCAAAAGGTGCGAGATTAAATTGGGAGCGTAGTCCCTAATAATCTAAGCCGCCAAAAATAAGTACATTATTTAAATTCAAACTGTGCAAGACTCTGCGTCCCATATGAGCATTCCAGTCATATCTTGTGAAGTAAAAGGCTTTCCTCTTTCCTCTGTGGGGGGTTGGGGGTTCACACAGAGGCAATTCAAGCTTCCACTGCAGCTCAATGTTGCAATGATCCCGGGCACCATGTTGGCGGCGAGAAAATTTTATCTTCAGATTTTTGCGTCTAAGAGTATTCCAAACGAGGGGATTGACAAGTGACAATTCTTGCATGCAACGTTGAAGTATTAAATTCTCCACATAGAGCCTATCTACCTCATCATGCGATATTTTCATGACGCTAAACTATTGAACCAGATAGATATACATTCACTAATATAGGTAAGACACCCACTTGTCCCATATATACAGTGCATGGTCCTTGCTGCCTGCGGCGACTGTGCCTACGCTTGCACCGTATTTTTACGATACTCATGTATCAAATTATATCAAATCGCCTTCTCTGTTTCTACTTCAAGTATTTCATTTGGCACAGGTATATACTTAATTTCGTAAAAAATGACACAAACTGAATCACGGTGAGATTTTTAGTCTATTCAACGTTACCTCTAGTTTCTCTTGTTGGAAAAGTATGATTCTTCGTCTGTTGCATTTGTACTCCATTATAAATATCATGAAGCTATTTGAGAGTTGTTCCCCGATCATGCTCATTGGCTCTGGAGGGAATCCATCATCCCACTCGATTTCTATAGGGCTACTGAATCAATTTAAGCTGGAACCTATCATATTCCCAGTAAATGATGACATTGATTCATTGTCTCCGCGTCGGCAATTATATGATGCTTGCCCAGATGAAGGTAACAAAAGGCATAACTACACTTTTCAACATCAAGTTTCTGTACTAACAGTGATGCTTCTTGAACCAGCTTTTGATCTATTTGAGAGCCTACTGTGATGTCCGGCTCAGAATGCCTGCGGTGTCAGATTGTCGAGACTGGAGAGTGACAATATGATAGGACTAATAAAGCATTTTGGTACTAGTATGCTGTTGATTGACCCGAAGCCAACAAGAAATAAGCCGAAAGAGTGGTCTTATAATTGACATTCTTTCTAAGATGATTCATTGTCCTACCCTGCTGATTCTTCCGCCATCAATCTCCAGTAAATAGTTAGGCATATTAAATTAATAGAGCAGGCTAGAACCATAAATTGAGAGATCGCCCGGTCCAAAATTTCCTTCAAAATCTCTCCGCAAAGCGCCGTACTACCCACGTACCATAGGATTTGAGGGTTACGCCACAGATAACGCACAAACTGCGAAGGAAGCCGAATCCAAGCGTTGTCATGTTGCCATGGGGGTGTCCAGGAGCGGAGGCCTCGGCCAGATAGGAGCGCTGTCTCCTCGTTGTCTTCAACATTTAAAAATCTATGACATTGATGTCTTAGCCATATCTTTGCTGATCTCAAGATCAATAGCTTGCCTACCTACGAGCGATTGAATGTGCCATAGATTAAATTGTCTTTTACTTTCAATTTTCATTTGTACCGTCAGTAAAAGATGATAATCGCGTCGTTCGTCAGAACAGACACACGTTGGCCGATTTTTCTTCTTCTTTTCTTTTCTTTGTTTCTCTTTTAAAAATGATGTAGAAAGCATTTATGCCTTACGTGCCCGTACGATATACCAATATGTGCCTAACAAGGTGCATATATGTGTGGGGAAACGTCGTATTAATATACGCATTTTCTGATTCGCAATTGTATGTGTATATACATGTACTCAGTCACGTGTACGGTATACCCAGGGCTCTCTGTGGTGCCTAAATGTTGCAGCCTTACGGCAATCTTTCATCTTTTCATATACATGCATTGGACGTATTTCTACAAATCTACACCATGGCAGACCCTTTCGCAATAATAGGTGTCGCTTCCAGCATAATTTCGTTCATTGATGTAGGAATTAAGATAACCAAGCTGTTTCACGAGTCTCGCAATGGCACGCTTCCAGAAGTGGACGAGCTCGATCGCATGGCAAAGGAGATTCAGACACGGTGCGCCACTATCAAGCAGAACGGATCAAGTAGCCGGCATCTCTCTGAGGATGAAAAAGAAATCCTGTCTCAAACCACTCAATGCCATCAACTGGCTTCTGAATTACGCAAACAACTTGAAAGCCTGAAATTGACGGACGGAACTCGAAGAAAGAGGGGGAGAGTTGCTATCAGCACATTATGGAAAGGGAAAAAATTGGAAAGTCTGCAACAGCGTTTAGAGGACCTTGATTGGAAACTGAGGGCCAATGTGAACCAAGCTCTTCAAAAGTTAGCCCTATTCTTTCCTTCAGTTGTTGGTAGTAATTTTGGAGTCGAATTGCAGTATGCTTTGTGATCTCGGGATGATCCGCTAACCTAAAACCAGACAGCAAAATTCAGCGATCATTTCCGAACTTAAAGCTCTCCGAGCATCGCGAAACGAATTTAATATCGATCATGACGATACCCTGGATTCTCTACATACGAAAATTTTACAGCTAACAGCAACATCCGATATCAACAACAACAACAACAACAACAACAACAAAGACGATCAACGGAACCACTTAAAGGACTGTCTAGGTTCTTTAGAAGAAAGTGGTAGCAGACAGAGACAGCAGTGTAAGATTATTAAAAGTCTGCATTTTAAGGAAATTAATTATCGATGGAGTCAAATTAAAGATTCCGAACACCGCACTAATAATTGGCTATTCAATCAACCTACAACGAATTTCTTAGATTGGCTAAAATCAGAAGATGGTACATATTTTATTGTTGGCAAAGTAAGACATATTTTATTTTAAATTTTATACTTACATGGAAGTTAATTGGAAATATATCTAGGCTGGTAGTGGCAAGTCAACACTGATAAAATTCGCATCAGAAGATCCGCAAACACAATTAGCTTTAAAGCAGTGGGCCGGGCCTGCAAAAGTATATTACCCCAGCTTTTTCTTCTGGAATCAGGGTTTCCCGATGCAAAAATCGCAAGCTGGGCTCCTTCAATCCATGCTCTACCAAATTCTGAGAAGAACCCCTGATATCGCTACGGAGGTCTGCCAAGGTCATCTGAGCCATGAAGGGTGGCGTATCGACGAGCTAATGGCAACTCTTCGACGAGTTTTGGAAAAAGAAAAACTTTCAGCCAAATTTTGCTTCTTTATTGATGGACTTGACGAGTACAGTGGAGAAGATAAAGATCTCGTCAAAGTTTTATCAATTTTCGAAAATGCACGAAATGTAAAATTATGCCTTTCAAGTCGACCCAGAACATTTCTTGAAAGTGCACTCTCACATCGTCGACACACTCTAATTATGCAAGATTTTACAATGGAGGATATGAGGACATATGTTCAAGAAGAGCTTCAGCAAAATGAGAACTTCAAACTACTGCAAGACTCCGGCCCTGAATGCAGCAGCATTATTACGCAGATTGCAGAAGAGGCACAAGGAGTGTGGCTCTGGGTCTACTTTGTTACTCGTGATTTGGTTCACGCAGTTAACAGGAACGAAGGTATCTCCACTTTGCAAAAGATTCTTCGCGAATTTCCTCCAGACTTGGAAGCATACTTCGATCACATCATCGAAAACATAAAAGATGTTTATAAAGAGGAGATGGCACAAATATTTCTTACTACAATTGCACAAGTCCAGCCTCTACCTCTGTTTGTATTCTCACTGCTGGAAAAGGAGAGGCTTGATGCCGACTATGCGATCAAGGCTCAGATTTGCCCGCTGTCTCTAGAAGAGGTGCAAACGAGTGATGAAAAGTGGAAGGCACGAATACAGAATCGATGCAGCGATCTTGTAACAGTCGAGGATAAAGATCACCCAATATTTTTACTGCACCCAGTGGATTATCTTCACCGCACCGTTGGTGATTTCCTTCGGGAACGCTACTACGACAAGCTGAAAGAGCTAGCTCCTGGTTTCAATGCTTATAATTCATTATGCAAGATGATGCTTTTCTTGCTAAAGGGTTTGCCCGAAATCAACAGGAAGGATCAAATTTCAATCACAAAAATGATTGGAATTGTTGATGAGCTATTATACTATGCTCATGAGGTCGAAAAAGGAGATCAGCTAACGGCTACTTTAAGCTTAATTGACCTACTGGACGAGGTTGACAGGGTGAATTGCCAACACACTCGCTCTTTTGGTAAACACTGGACACACATTAGAGATTCCCCTACTGGCCGAGGCAATGATGAATATCGCGAAGGTGGAAAATGCAACTTCTTGGCATTGGCTATCCAGGCACGATTGGTGAAATACACTGATGCAAAGCTTCATTCCGACATGAGACACATTAAAAAAAATGGAAGGCCATTGTTAGACTATGCGCTTCCACCAAGAAGAGTCACACCTATTTCCATGCCTTATCATTCGCTGAGGGATGACCCAAGTGTGGACATAGGTATGGTTAAGTTACTGTTGGAGAATGGGGCAGATCCGAATCAAAAAGTCCATCTGAACGATGGGAGAACTGTTTGGGCATTGTTTCTTTCGTCATGCTACGAGGGTTTGCAAGTAGGCGAAGCGCCACCTCAATCACTTAGGGATGCTTGGTACCAGGCGAGCGAGCAGCTGATTTCTCATGGCGCAAGTCCAGTCTGTTGGTTTGACGACGACCCGAAATCTTTGACTGTCTTGGGAATGCTATATGAGATATTCGGAGAAGGTGAAGCCAGAAGACTTCAAGTATTGTTGGATGAACATCGCCAGGTAAGGCGTGAAAAGAGATCATGGATCTCCAACCTTTTGGGTTGGGATGATTAAGTACATATAGCATTTCTACCGAGCGCCAATGCGCCAGATAGTTCAACTATGAGGCAGTATGATGATTAGAAGGTGAATTTGTTCACCCTTTAATTGGTCTTGGCGTCCATCCTAAATAATCCGAATGTTCTCCTTGATTTTACAGTCTGTAGATAACATCGGCAGATTACCCACAAACTCTTGTTGCTCCCGATTGCAAGACATTCCTGCTCCAATCCTCTCGTACGTGTGATTGCATCTGGAGATCCTCCTTAAGACAATAAAGTACTCTTGGGTTTCTATGCGATCCTCCGACCATTTTAATTGCCTAGTACAGAGCAAAAGCGCAAAAAGAGATCCCGAAAAGATACCAGGTGATTCGAGTTCGTCATAACGAACAGAATTTTCCCAATTATATCTCTGCTCGTAAAACTCCTCCGGAACGACCTTCATCTTCCGCCACCAAGGGTATTTCTTCAGCTTTCTCATCTTCCCGGCCGGTATCACAACTGCGTCACCATCGAAACTCATCTGCCCACAATCTTCTAAATGTACCACGTTAGATAAAGGCCCCGGTGTCTCAAATTGGTCGAAGAATTGAATCCTCGCCAAGCTTGATGCCCATGACCACGATGGTATAGAGATAGGATTCTTGTGCCGCTCTGCCTGTCCACGATCGACCCGCCACATCAGCTGCAGCTGTAGTTCCTTCTCAAACACACCATATCTGTACGGGATTCCACCGTATCGCTTCTGTATCTCAGTACCAAGGCCTTCCAGAGACAGAAGTCGGTCCTCTGGTTGCTTCAGCTCGGTCGACACATGTTGCTGGACGATTTCGGACCATTTCATGTTGTGTAAATTTCTGGTTGACGCGTCTTGGATGCCGTTGGGTCTTATTCGAATTGATCTACATGACCAGACGAAACCAGATAACGTAAAGAAAGCGACACGCCGTGCCATTAAGAATTCTTGCGTCACCCAGGCCCGCCCTTGGAAGCTGCTGTACGTCTCATTTGGATCGTCGTTTCGAGGTCCCCAGGGACTGTAGGAGATGTCATAATCGACATAGAGCATTGTGCCATCTGAAATCCCAGATACGTCATGGTAGGGGATCCGGGCAAGAGTTGGAGATGGTGAATATCGTAACATTCCCCGAGAATTGAAGAGTCCCTCGTCGAAAGTCCATGCCATCGAGTCGGCAATAACGAGTGTTGCTCTCTCGAAAATTTTAGCCGCCTTTTTCGATTCACTGAGCCACTCATCACGGTCATCCTGTACAATACAGAGTAGATCAATCCAGATGTAACGCATACCCAGGTCCTTGGTCATCTTCATCGCATCTCGAAATAGTTTGGGACAATTGTCCCATGGGATGCCCTGGAGATGGTCCCCGATACTCTTACTGGTTGTGCAAAACGGTTCTGTATTATAGGGAGAACGATAGCTAAGGGCGACATAGTTGCCGCGAGATTTTTCTGCATAAATTAGGCGAGGTTCAGGCTCTCCGTTAGAACCTGGATGCCCGAGGTCGATGATACGTGTTGGAAGTATCGGTTCTTCATCTTTGCCGAAAGGAGGACCTGCGACCGTTTCCAAACACTTGGGGTGATTCCCTCGGCATGTGGTGAAATAATGACGGAGGCGTGAGAGTGTTTGGGGACTTCCCGTATCGTGGCGAACTGGGCATCTGCCGACTATGCGCTGGAATGTATGAGGACTTTCTATGTGTGCCAATACGTTAAATCACAGTCATTCTTGTGAAGAGTAGTAAACCATACCATCATCAGTGAAAAATAACAATATGCATGGGGCATATCCCCCTCGCTCGATAATATCTAAATTTCCTTCGATAGGCGGATGGCCGTCAATTGGCACCCAAATGAGCATCCCTTTGAGGGGTGTTTGATCATCCACAGGATTGGGAGTCTTTGGCGTAGCAGTTCCAGTAGTCCACAAAGGACTGAGAAAGATGGGCTTTTCCGCAAAGGGGCGGGTATATTTGTATCGCTGTGTAAAAGCCACAAGCACGAGGAAGCACATGGCGCATGTTTTGGCAGTTTCATGAACATCTTTTGCGTTGTCCATGTGTCTCATACCGTATTTGGAAGACATACCAGGTATGGCATTTTCCAGCTCCAGCGCTCTCCAGAAGCTCGGCGGAGAGGCAAACTCAGCTGTCAGCGAAGGTAATGAGATGAGGCTACAGTGTTTACAAAAATTGTCTTTAGATGGGAAGGGTATGTCCTTGGATCCTGGCTTCGATTCCTCGTCTGCGGGTGGCTGATCCATGGCTGCGGATTCTGTCATTGGGCTGGGGAACTTACAACGCTGGATGCCAATCAATTGTAGGCAAATTGCATCGCGCGTGTTTGCAAAAAAGGCGCGACGTGATGAAGGATCAAGGCACATGTAATTCCATTGTCCCCGTGACTACTAGCTTGGCGTTTGCTGGCGAAAGTGGCATTAATTAATCCTAGCTCATAACAGGGGAATCTAAAATATAAATCGAACGATGAGTATGAGCAGCCAGGCGCGCCTTTTTGTAACTGGAGAGACAGTATTCTTTGACGGCAGTATTCAAAGGGGAAAACGTAATCCATTTGAATGAATATATGCCGCACTCATTTCAATGTTGATGAGCAATTGCTTAGAGGAACATTGAAATGAATACATGTAAGTCACGATGTCGACTTGAGAGGCAGGTTTGAGGGCATAGACGGAAGACAGCAGGTGATCTGAGGTTACAAGCACGTCATCTATCGATAGGCGATTGTCAATACAGAGCTATAGAAGCTTTTTTATGTTCTTCAGGTGGCTGAGGGGAAATTTGAAATTCGTTGGCTTGCGGATGAAGCGTGATGCATCTATCCTGCTGATCTGTACATCAACATGTAGGCATCATCAAGGAGGGCAGGTTCTTTAAAACGGCAAGCTCAAGGCAGTCTCCAGAATCCCATAGCCCCTAAAGAATCGCTAGAAAGGAAAATTGAAGGGTTTCGCACCGGATTTTGTCCTCTAGACGTCGCATATCGCCCTCAGCGCCGCAGACGTTGATTTCTGCATATGGATCCATGCATGTGGATTGGATGTTTGTTCTGGGTGCCCGTGTGGATTGGACTTGCACGAGCTTTAGCGCTCGAGCCTGGTTAGGCCTGGTTAGTGAATGGATGCACTAGAGCGGGGGACAATTGGGGCTGGCAGGCCGCTGGTCCGCATGCGCTAGCGGGCTGCCCTTCTATAAATTAGGGAGCTCACCCCCGTATCGCGACCACTTCTAACAGCGCCTCCAACTCGACTCACTTCCAGTCTAATATTAACGCATGAGACAACAACTCAACTCCAACCCTACATGTACTTAAGACAATATTCACTGCTTATTTCTCAACAACGGCCGGTTGGTGTAGTGGTTAACACGTCTGAATATCAATCTTGCCCAAGGTGTGATGGTTGTCCCCTGGATTCCGTTACTTGACTCGAACATTTGTTCAATTCTTCATCTAAGCAGATGCAATTCAGAAGATCGTGGGATCAATCCCCACATCGGCCAATCTTTTATAAGTCTATTTCAAGGTTCTTTATTTTTCTTCGTACAGCAGCAGAGTTTAAAACATGTTTGTTTGTTAATTCGCTCAAAAAACAATGAAATCGTATCAATTTTTGCTACAGATCGTTCCCTAAAACATATGAATCTTCTTTGCAGAGTGAAACATGGCCGGCAAAAAATCCCTGTTATCGTTCAAATTCTCAATCGCCTGCCGAAGCACCGGAGGCGTGTTCTTCAACGCCGTTGCGCTCAAGTGCTTGTCAAAATGCTTCGCCTTCGTCTCGGCAACCTTTTCTATAAACGGCAGATAGTCCCAAAAGTGAGATTTCTCATCCTCGTCTTCGCCCTCTTTCGAGGCTGCTGTAGAGCCACGGAGCGTCGGGGGTTGTTGGCTTGGCCTTGAGTCTTGGTCTCCAATATTTGACACCGAGTCCTCAGGACGAAGCTCTTGGTTAGGCAACACGTATTGTGTCTCAAAGCTCGAAGCTGTGAATTGAGATTGCGGATCTAATGGAGCTGACCACATGTCGTCTTGTGGTACGCTCATCGCCGAATCTTGAGAATGAAGCTCTGAACTTGGCCGCAATTCCCTAGCACCCTCGCTCCTGTCCTGTGCGTACTCATCCAGGTAGTCGTAATCATTCTGTGTATGATTATTTTGGCCATCATTGGTATCAATTCTGTCAACCAAGTTCTGTCGGTTGTCTTCGTATTCTTCTTCCACTTTCTCATCCAATGGCGCGAGATCACGCAGTATGCGGCCAACCAGCCTTCTCCTCTTGAGCTTACGCTCCTTTGATTTGAGCAAAATCGTCAAGATCTTGCACATTTCCTCCTTCTTTCGGTTCATGTACTGGTTCCATGCTAGTACCAGCCCATCTTCTGGGATGCAATTCTCAAAGTCAATCTCGCTCGTTGGGATGCGGTAACCATAAAACGGGTGTGTCGAGCCCAACTCAAGATAGCAGAGAAACCAGTTCGCGTCTGCCACGCCTGAACATCGTGCGAGCACCCACTCGCCTGCCACGAGTCGCAAGTCATCCTCCTGGATAAACTTGATCATCCGGTTGATTGTCCCCTCTTCATCTGTGTCGCGAATTTGTTGACCTTCCAAGACCTCATTCTCAGTTTCATTCTTGTTATCAGCATCATCAAGACTCTCCGAAACAAGCAAGTCACTTTCTGTGCCGTTATTTGCTTCATCTTTGCCTTTCTTCTTCTTCTTTTTATCTCCATCTTTATCGTCTCGATTCTTCTTATCTCTTTTAAATTTGTCCCAGAGAACCTTGCTGGTTGTTTTGTGTTCCCGCTTTTTATCTACCTTTTTGCTCTTCTCTTTGATCACGTTAAAGTCAATGCCATCGATGACCTCCAGCTGTTTTCTCAACAGACCACTCTTGCAAGAGAATCGCACAATAACTTGGGCAAAACCGGTGCTAATTGAGCAGTAGCCGGATATCACTTGCTCTGTACTTGTCGTATGCGCGACTTGTTGCCGCAGGCCGTCAATATCTGCCATTGTGATGATAACACGTTGAACGTCGAATATGCCCTCAATGCCTGCATTAGTAACTATGATAGGATGTGGCGAGACCATATTCGAGGATCCGAAATATGACATCTTATTGATGAGGTTCTCTTGCTGCTGTTGCTGCTCCTCAATCTTGTACTTTATCCCCTGTATTTTGCCTGGCAGTTGTTCTTTAAGAGCATTTTCATCTACTTTGGTCCCATCGCAAAGCTTCGTAGCCCAATTTTGAAGATATCTGGTGATATCGTCGTCTGGATTTACAGCCTCATCTCCATTTTGTGATTTGCCCTGCGAGTCTATCATAGATGCCGCCGGAGTTCGTCCCGCTTCAGAAAGTTGCTCCACAAATCTGCTCTTTCTACCTGTAGGTAGAGACTCATCGTCTACATCTCCTGCAGGTAATGGGACCTCTGTTGGAGCCACTGCAGATATATCATCATCTACAGGCGCAAGGTCTTGGTTTGTAATTGGAGAGACAGGTTGTTCAACCGGTTCCGTATCATCTCTCGACACACGAGTAGGCATAGCAGACTCCGGTTCGGGGTTTGGGTTGATGGAGATTTGTGAGGTGAGGTTTCTCATCATGACGCTTTGCAATTCGACGTTTTGGTTAGATGCTGGCCTAGCAGAAGGGTGAATAATGTACCCGATAAATTTGCTAATAATCTCAATCTCAAATGGTACCGCCTCTGCTCTGCTGTGGATACTGGCGTGACTCCGAAGTTTCTCTGTCTTTGCGTGATCAACTGCCGGTATTTTGAATTTGTCCAGTTTAAAATTTTTAACAATTTTAGCGATGTCTTGAATCCATTCAACTTCCTGTTTAGACGGGGTATTCTTTTTGAGAAAATCGATTATATCACGCAAAAGTGCGACAACAGCATGATAAGCGCTCGTTGTTCTCAGCATCTTGTCTTCCTCGACTTCTGAAAAGGAGTTGCGGCTATGCAGCTTGCCGCCTTTAGCCTTATACGCCTCTTGCGTTGATGGATACATCGAGCGACCGCGCATCGAACTTCCTTTATTGTAACCGGTCCAGTTAAAGATAGAGACATCATTATGGATAGTGATTGTTTCATCGAGGAGTCGGCATAGTGCTTTCTCATATCCCTCCGCGGAAAAAGTGGGAAACCGGACCCCCAAGATACCCATTAATGAGTATGCACGATCAAACGACTTTGTGGTCTTTCGCTCACATGCCAAAGTCATGACCTCTTGGGTGGTGAAACCGTATCTCTGCGTACCTTCAATCCATGAATCAAGGAGTGTGATGTTGCCAAAGTCAGCAATGTACTGTCGATCTTCCTGGATCAGAGGCTTCACTAGGTCGACAAGCACATGCAAGATGTATGCAAGCGTCTTGGATAATGCCTCTTCTTTTTCTTCAGTATTTTGCATTTCGTCAATGGCGCAATGTTCTTTTGCCTCGGGAAAAGAGTTGAGCAGCTCTTGGAAGAGCTTTTTCCGCATCTCAAGCTTGACCCTCTTTTCTGCTTCCCTTTTCAGCCTGAGCAGTTCCTTCTCCTGAGCATCACTTGGCTTATTGCCATCAATCTCACTTCTTAGCATTCGCTGGACAATAATGGGGTACCGAGTTTCGTCGTAGCATTCAATGAGCCCCACGGCGCCAAAGAAAACAGCTTGAGCCATTTCGGATTTGGCTGTCTCGCGGGATAAATCTTTGGGGAAGCAGAATCCCACCAGCTCGAGAGCTTTGATGATAGAAAGCGCATGTAATACCCTTTCTTCGGCATCTGGACTGTTTTGGGGAAACGCATTTTCGGGAACCATAAACAGCTTTTGTTTCGCTCTGTCCTTTTCATTCACCTCGATTTGAGGGAATCGAGCTGCCAATTCTGGATCCCAAAGTACCGAAATTTCATGCAGTAAGGCGTCTCGTGAAGACTTATCCCTCAATACATCACTCTTAGTGGGTTCGGGCTTGACAACATGGAACACGGTATCCATCAAGTTCCACGGCATCGCAATCGAAGTTAGTAACCGATTACTTAAAGACTGACTGTCATCGATCTCCACATCCTCTGATTCCTTCTCAATCCTAGGATAGACAACTTTCAGCGCATCGCTTTGGATGACAGCCCCCAAGTTCAATAATGCAGTCATTAGAACTTCCGGTTTCCACGAGTTTGGAGTGGGCTTGACTTCGAGAGGCTCGGTGTATAGATCAATATAGGGTATGAGATGATATGCTCGGCCTAGATTTTCGACAGGTCGATGAAGGAATTGCCAATCAGCGTTGACGTAATAAGTCATCCTGCTCATGACCAATTCCTGCAGCGTCCATCCTCTCGTAGACCACTCAACTTCTGGCTCATTGTCGATATCTCTATAACTCTGAACTTGATCCAATTCTCGATTTGGAATTGATGCCAACTTCTCATGGTCGCCGTCTGTGTGTAAGAATTCTTGCCAATAGATTTCTGCGTCAGATCCTTTTGGTGACTTATCGAACCCAGTATCCAAGTGCACCAGAGTAAATGCAGATTGCGCATACCAATCTCCCATAAGAGACATTGATTCAGAATACTCGTTATGGTTGCTCTTGTCAATGCAGCAGGTGTCAAGCCACACATAAGACGTTTGTTGCTTTTGGCCAGGTAGCAGACCGCGGTCAAAAATTTCTCCAGCTCTCAGAATAGACTGTTCTATTTTAATGGCGGATCTCCATAGACGTAAGCAGCGAATCATACCCTCCACCGTCTCGCGGAGATCCCGACTGAGGGCATCGAATTTTATGTTGTCCGACTGCTTGTCCCTTTCCCAATCTGCGTCAAATACTCTGTCGTAAGCCGCTTTGATAAATTCATGATTCTCATCGGGATTGTTGGTTGTGTGATCGTAGTAGTCGGCATCCACTGTCGAAGTTCCGTTTGCATTTGTACCACCAGCAAACTTCGCCTTATTGTTGAGATCTCTGAATACTCTGTTTTCCATCTCCGTAACTTTTTGGTCGCGTACAATCTTCTCTAAATTTGCGTGTGCTTCACGGACTTCGGCGTGAACTTTTCTGCTCTGGTGGTACATGCCGAGAAGGGATAGGACATAGCAGCCCTTCTGTGATAGCTTCTCATCGAGTCTATTCCTTACGGCGCAACCGTTGACATCTTTTCTCTGCTGCTTTACTTTCTCTTTACAGTATTTTAAGATGATTTCAACATCGTTGCGATCTGGGTTATACCAAACTGGATAAGATTCAGCGACGTCTTGCCTGGCCTTTCGAAGTAGATCGAGGTTGATTTCTGGGTCCTTCCAGCGGTGCGATACCATGCAATACGGTGCTGATGGATCAATATTATCAACAAGCATGCGGTCGGCAATATCGAACATTCGGTATGGCCTTAGTCCCTCGGATGAGTTATTAGATATTCCCAAGAACCCGACGTCTTGGATTCTGGTAAGACTTTGGCCCAGTTCAGAGGTAATCTCTGGTCTAAATTGGGGAACTAGCCATGATGTGACGATACTTCTCAGCATCTCCTCATGAAACCCCATGGTCTTGAGCATTTTCTTCGCAACGAGAACCCTCTTTGAGGACTCCTCCTCATCGAGTTGATCTGCCATTGTAGCGTAGGGGGTGGAGGGTACGCCCTCCTGTGCTGTAAACGCAGGATTCGGAGCGTGAAGAGTAAAACCTTGTATCTATATAACAGAAATAGGTTAAAGGAGTGAATAATGAATAAATTCGTAATGTGCTCAAAATATCCTGGAACAACGGAGCGCCAGAGGTATCTTTATATCGGTAAGCACCAAGAACCCAACATGCCAATATATAGCCAATTGCGAAGCCGTTGACGTACAATGCACAATCTGAGCCGCAAAGTTATCGTTTCAAAAATCTTGTATCAGCAAGAAGACACGAACTGTATTTGGACTCTCTTCCCCCCTCGCATTCCTCTTCAGCCTCTTGTCATTGTTGGGCTTCAGCAAGCGACGACTCACCGAAATTGGGATTTGATTGGCCAGTGGAAGAAAACATGCTACTCTGCATTTCTCATTAGACGATGACTCCATAATTCATGCAGCAGCCGGCGTCTTGCGCCCCATAAGTATCTGCATCAGTGCCCAAAGTTGCGTGACGTGGTCCCAGCAGATATGGGAGAAGTAGGATTTAGAGGCTGATCTAATGTAACATATAGGAGCAATCACACGCTATGCACAAAATGCAGAGTCGTTTGATCGTGTGAGTTAGTTCAAATTGCTTCGCTGCACATGAGTGTAGATTATTCAATGTTTTCTCTCAGATTGCTGCGCAACTGACCCCAGCAACTTCGAGCGATAATTCCATCTGCATTCATGCTCGTTTTCGCCTAGCATTGCTTGAACTAACTTTTTTTTCCACCTGTCATCCAATATTCGTTCTCCAGATTGACCTGCGTAAAAATGGCATCATATCATCGCGTTCTCCGCACTTTTGATCGGACAATCGACGATAACACCTTAGAATGTGACTAGTATGTAATAGCGGACCATTGTGATACTATCCCCCTAATGTTTTATGCCTAGCGACATCCATCCGTGGGATATTCTCATTGATAATCAACGATGGCCCGGCAAAATACGACTCGTGGGTTACATTGACGTCTTCTTCTTGATTTGCTACTCAGGCGAGGCTCGTTTTGAACATGGCATTGTCATCTATAGTGAGCATATCTTACTCCTGTTAACAGGGACGCGACTGATCCAGACTCATCCTATGAAAAAGAGGACGATGAAATCATTCGACAGCTATTGAGAAAGGCTGGTTTGAGAGCGGAAGATAAGCCTATCCAACTTGAATGTATCAACAACAAAGAGGAGAAAGAAGGTGGATATAATCTCGCATCTTTGTTAGGAGTCTTTATTGCTAATTTGCCATCACCACCATGATCTTAGCTTTGCGCAAATATTATTCATTAAATACCGAAAAGGATGGCAGTAAGCATACGATTGTCAGCTTAGGCCACCCCATTAATCTATCTACAAAATACCCAAAGTCGAAGCTTAAAAAGTACACCATTGTTCTGCACAAGGGACACACGCCAGCAATGCAAAGTAAGTGAGAGCGCTCATGTAGACCGAGATCTTGATTAAAACTAGCATCGAGCTAACATTGCTTTCCCAAAATAGAGGAGATACTGCGTGGCGTTATGCAACACGGCGTCGTGAGATTACTTACCGACGCTCTTAAACTTGGTGTTGTTTCAACAGCTGAACTGATCAGCAAGGTCAAGGAAACTATACTTAGTGGATCGAGCTTGGACGCAGTGACAACGAAGTCTATAAATGCACTTACGGCGTCGAACTCACACAATATTTCATTGTCGGGTGACCAACTATAGAATGTTGGCGAGAAAACGGCTGTGTCAAAGAGGACTCAAATAAAACATTTCTTACGGCAGGACTGCTAAGATGTTTGACGGCATATATCTGTGCGTGACTATTACAAAACTCTTTGCTATTCGCATAGTTTCTATCAAAAATTAAACTTCCAAATACTGAATGGCATTCTCCTATTTAGCACTACTTCAACGTGTGTGCGTTCAAACTAGTGCAATGTCTTCCAAGGCCTCCAGCTCCCCATTCCAACCCGGCCACTCTTCACCCATCAGAGCACCACTTAGCCAGCATGGAGCCACTAACATGTAATTGTCTAGATGGTCGGGGCTTTTGCGAATAATGTACGGTAGCTTTTCACCCGTCAGCAGTGCAACCTGGTCTTCTGGACGCACGACCAGAGTTGATATTCCGACCCTTCCACTTTCCGTCACGAAAAGTGATCTGCCACTGACCAGCTGCAAGAAATTCACCGTGATCTTACGGGAATCGCAAAGTTGTCCCCCATTCAATCCGTAATCCCACAGTGTCTCCATGCCAAAATTGTCCTCGGACCAAATTAATTGAAACCAATCGAGAACATCCCCCGCATCCAGTTTGATCGTCTCAGATATCAGCCACGCCAATTGTTGCAGGCAAGGGTCTTGGTTGTTTGCTGCTCCAGCTGTGCCAACCCATTTCCTAAATACCAAAAGCGCCTCGCTCGCGAGATTGAGATCCAATGAGCGCGACATCGGGACTTGCAGAGGTGCTACAGTTGGGAAACGTTCACTGATCGCTGGGGTAACCCTGTCAACCCGCCGTCCTTTTAACTTGAGGACCTTCACATCTGCCGCCTCTACTACAACTGCTTTCTGAGAAATTGTCGCCGGCCCAAAATTACAGAGCCATTCTGGGATATCGATAAGTGCTGTCCATGGAGGCACCCATGTGGGAAACCCATCCGCTCGCCCAGATTGGCAAGCATATCTGAAGAATTCGACGTTCTGTGTCTCCTCCAGAACGATACGGGCGGCTTCTGTATAAACGTCGCTGTCAGAGGCTGAGTAATCGACGGTCAATGCGCCTAGGCTATCAGGAAACATGCCCCTTATGGCAAATAGTTTATCCTTTGCTATCGTTGCTTTTGTTTTACAAAGAACGTCGAGGATTTCGTTGCCAAATTCCGCCTGTACATGGGTGTGAAATATGTCTAGTATGTGTAAGTTATAGCGTTGATTTGGCTTGCTGTTGTTAAGAGAGCTGAAGATATACATCGGCGGGATCATATAATGGCTCAAATAAAATAGATCAAGGCGAAGCGGCAGGGAGGATCCGCATAGAATAAAGCACAGTTCATTCGCGTTTGCTTCTTGAACTGTCCAAGCTCTCTCCCAGTACTCCATGGACGCTAATTCTTTCAAACCAGCTCGAAATTGCTCTTTACGACCTGAAGAGAGTTCATTGTTAGTTAGAACAATTGAAAATGGGGAGTAACAAGACTGCCCACTTTTGAATATGGGTAGTAGCCCAAAGGGAAATAGGATTACAGCTGCGACAAGCATCATTATACATGCGCACACGCATGACATGCATATTGTTGCTATCCCCAAAAGCAGCCTTATAAAGATTGAGCCTGAAGATGTAATAGCCCCCGCACATTTCGCCTGGGTTTTCCAGACTGCAGAAAATGTCCAACTGTACCATCTCAGCCACCTGAGAGTAAGAGCAGTTGATTCACTCCCCCAGCCAAGCCAAATATTGACACGCTCTGCATTTTCATAGATTTCAAACATTAGCTGTACCTGCGCTGCTTTTTCTTCGTCATCTTTCTGGTTAATGCAGATGGCATCAATCCATAGATTCCGGGAACGTTCAGGTTTGGTTGGACGCAATCTCCTCATAACATCCTCCGCATTTCTAGTGACAAGATACTCTTTGCCATTGGCATAGACAGGCCGGTCGAGTGCTTGCCCAGACCATGTGTATGAGATTGCCTCAAATGGCAACGGCGAATCAAGAGACACGGTGATGAGGTCGAACCGGATATCGTGACTCAGGCTGGTGGCGCCATAAAGTTTGATGACCCGAATGCTGCGTGAGTCGGGAAGCTCGGGATAAGTCTCTAACCCAGCCATGTTTTGTTCATTCGTCACGAAGGGAATTGACAGGTTATGGATTTTCAAGGCTGAAGTGGGTACGGCAATTATATTTGTCTAGACATAAAATTGGTGCATCCTAGCTCGACATTAGTCTCAGTAATACTAGTCATGCCGACTCACAGGTCATCGCAAGCTTGAGATGTTTACAACCAGACACCGACAATAGAACGCGGATATCAAGCATCAGCCATCCTTACTGGGATAGCTGTAAGAACACATGCAGCCAATGGTCTCTAGGATCGACAGCTCTACAGAGTACTCTGCACATTTGCATTACAGGGGGGAACTTCAATAGGCGTAGAATTCAACACTGGCTGTTAACATCATCATGCATGAAGGATGAGGCGGGGCACAATGAGGGGTATTGGGCATGAATACATCGACACAGCCTCCCCCTCATGTTCCGCATATGATCTTTTACCGAAGATATAAGGTCGTTTATACTGTCACCTCGGAAGAATTTCGATCATTAATCACTAAGCAACCTTTATTTCCATTCTCCTTTTAAAGGAACAGTAACTACAATGTCATTTGCAGCTTCAGCACAAAACATCTGGCTGGAAGATGGCCACATTCTCGTCGCCTCCGTTCAAGATAGAGAAGGCAACTGGCAAGAATCTCGGATTGACCTCGACGAGTTCATCGGCAACGAAGATGGCTGGTTCATGTGGGATGGTGTTAGTAAGTATTTTGGCTGCTTCTTATTTTAATCTTCATTACACGATCCGATTCCGTTCCTCCCATTGTCAGATACAGCCTAAACTTAGTATATTATATAACATTCATTCATTACAAAGCAAAAAGAGTTGTTTGACATGAAAAGTGCTAATCAAGAATTTTGCAACTCTTCAAGACTTTTCCCACTCTGCCAACGGTATCCAGCTAGACGGTACCCATTTGACTGCCGAGTTGCCGATGCGAGATGGAGGATACCGCGAACGCCAAGGTATCGAATTGAACGATCGAATTTCCAACATCGACGGCCAATTGGTGGTAAGTTTAGCTATTTCCCTTCTCATTACAGGACCATTTGAGGCGGAGGTTGACTGATAATGGTTCGAACAGTTTAACTGATTATGGAACATTCAAATGGTGGGGTAAACATGGCACATCAACATTGACTAGGCCTATGGCACTGTGAAATTCCTGAAACTCCTTTTTACGAAGGAAGGAGGTAGTTTAGGTAACTCAGATGTCTAATTGATCAATAAACCTCACTGGCATGAAATCAATGATGTACACGTGTGCATACTCGCATCCGTTGAAAGGAGTCTTAAGCATTCCTTTCACCAAACGACTTGAAGGTGACAGCAAAGTTGGCGGATGCCGGCGAGCCGACCAGCCACCCGCGGGAGCTCGGGACCTTATAGGCCCAGAGTAAAACTGGTGTGGCAACCGCCTAAGGGAACGACGACCATCCGACATATGCTAAGACACGGGAACACTAGGAGAATAAGGGACCTGCGTTTTTAACCCAGTCTAGCCCCAGCGAAACCAACCCCAGTGTCTGGGTGTGATCTAACAAAGATCAATGAAATGTGGATCTTGAACAAGATATCTCTCTATAAAACTATGCTGAAACGCCCGTTCAGAAACGGGTGACCATTTTTAACCCTGAGAGTGAGGCAGTGGTGAAGCCTGTATAGGTCAATACAAAACTAAGGATATACGTTTGACTTGCCTGTGAAGCAGGTGTTGGTATCTGTTGTCAACGGGCTTTTCTCGTCAGCTTTTGAGAATTGCAGTATATATCTATCTATATTTAATCTAATGCTATCGCTAATGACCAACGACCGCAACAACTACTGGTAGCATAATATTAACCCCAAGTGTAGAAATGAATGTAAAATCCGAGCAACCTATATCCTGAAATGGTCGGGAACTGCGAGTGGCTGCATATGATCGTAGATCAGACATCCCGCTTTGAAGCGTTCAAAACATCCAGTAGAGGCTTGGGGGCGTCTTGCGCAAATAAAAGGCTTGCGCTGCCATTGCTTCGTTCGATCAAATCTTTTCCACGTTCGAACATCTCTTTTTCATAGGCCTCAACTGCGGCACCAAGCTGATCCAAACCGCGCTCCACGATTTGAGATGTTAGTACCAAGGAGTCATACATTGAACAATTGACGCCCTCTCCCACAAATGGTGTAGATACGTGAGCTGCATCACCGATGACGGTAATACCTGGAACTGGAGTCCAAGATAGCGCTTCGGATGGGAGGTGATAAAGCGGCCAGGGCCTGAAGGCGCCCTCAGAGTTTGTAATGATGTCTTTTAGCGGAGAACCCCAAGTGCCGAAGAAGTCGGCATTGGTGACGAAATGACTGCGTGCAGCCTCTCCGTCTGCCTTGGAGAGATCCACGGGCCCATTTGTCGCAAAGTCCTCAGCCACGGTTAGACCCAGATAAATACGGTAAGATCCGTCTCCCTGCGCCTGCGCTGAAACTTGCTTTGCTTCTCCCATTGCGATGAGGTTTCCACTGCCGACCTTTTCGGCAATGGTTGGATGGAACGGGTTTGAATTGGAAATCTTGGCTTCAAGATAATGTTTTCCCGAGTATTGAGGCTTTGCAGAAGTGAGCTATCTTGCTGTTAGCGTGACACCCATGTGAAGGAATGGATACTACTCACCAAGTGTCTTGCTTTGCTCCAGGCTCCATCTGCGCCAACAACAAGTTTGAACCCTTTGACAGAGCTACCATTCTTGAAGTTGATAGAAATTTCGCCAGAGTCAAACTTCTCGATACTGCCAACCTCATGATTCCATTTGATCTTGCTTGGTGGGATAGATTCGAGAAGAATTTTGCGCAGTGAAGCGCGATCAATTTCCGGAGAATCTTGTTCTTCGCCAAACACAAGCTGCGTAGTTCCAGTTTTGTCTTGAATAAGTGTTTTGGTGGCGTCCCAGCGCGCATACTTCTTGAACTCGTCAAACAATCCGGCTTCCTTCAAAACGAGTTGGCCAGTTTTCCCGTGAATGTCAAGAGAACCTCCTTGACCCTCTACTTTTGAGGTTGCGTCTCGTTCATAGACAACATAGTCTATTTTATTGACTTCCAACAGCCGGGCAAAGGCAAGGCCACTAGGGCCACCTCCAATAATCGCAATTTCTGGGACTGACATGATGGCAATCGTATAGATGGTGCGGTAATGCAGAGATAAATTGAAGGCTATTATAGCTGTACTGTATATTGAAGAGTGAATGCTGGAGAAGAGCAAATATCACTTACAAACTATACACGAAAGAATATATACTCACAATGAAGCCGATTGCATCTAGCCATCCGAATGTTGTCTTTCCATCTTTAGCCAATCAAATTGCTCCCCTTCGGACCTTTTTCCAGAGGCTGGTATGACCCCACGCCGGTCCTCCGGGTAGCGCATCGGATTCAGCTACCGAACGCCATCCGGAGAATAATCACGCAGCTAGGGGGTGCTAATAAGGGGTGGACTTTGGTTAGGGATTTGACTTGACAACCATCGTAATGCCATGGCTCGGGCTTGTTGAATCCCGTGTTGGCAACGGGGCGTAGTCGGAACTAGATCGCTACTCGTCAAAACAACGGTGAGGAAAATCTCGGTTCATGAGGGCGAGCAAGCCACCAAGGAAGTAGGAATTAATTCTAATAAACTGAGGCTACCATTTTGTAAATACGAAAGTCGGACTGTTGAACCGTATTACGTGGCTGCATGAAACTTACATGTAGATAGCAGCTATATTTCTAGTCCGGATGGATCAGCTTCTCGCCATTCATTTCAATATACACAGGGTCTACACAGTCAAATACATATTTTCACTCTAACATAAATAATTAAAATCATTACAGATGCAAAAAAATACAAGGGGAGAAATTAAGTAAAGTATAAGCTCCATCTCGGCCTCCGCTCAAATTTTCGGCCTCTGATCAAGCTCCCAGATCTACGTAGAAACCCATTATAACAAACTGATCAAGACTCCCCGACGCCGATCTGAGCCATCACCATGGACCAATATTGGCCCTTAGATTCCAAGAGTTCATAGTGTGTTCCACTCTCAGTTATTCTTCCACCATCCAGGACGTATATGCAGTCGCAATGTTGGATTGTAGACAGCCGATGTGCTATCGATATAACAGTCTTGCCGTGAGTCCCTTCCCTGATAGCAGCCTGAATAAGTTGCTCGCTTTCGCTATCCAAGGCACTGGTGGCTTCATCGAGAAGTAGAATTGGTGCGTCCATGGCAATTGCTCTCGCAATCGCGATGCGCTGTTTCTGACCACCGGAGAGTTGGGTGCCTCGAGATCCCACCGATGTTTTCACTCCGTCAGGAAGAGATGAGATCAAATCTCGAAGCTGCGACTGGTCAATCACGCGCTCCAGCTCCACTGGAGACAATGGCGTGGCTCTCCCCAAGTTAATGTTTTCCTCGACTGTGCCATGATATAGCACTGGTTCTTGGCTGACGAGAGAAAATAATGTGCGAGAAATTTCGGGCGTATAGCTCTGGATTGGGGCGCCTGCAACCACAATTTCCCCGGCCAGTGGCTCATAAAATCTCTCAAGAAGTTGAATTATGGTGGACTTGCCGCACCCAGAAGGCCCTACTAACGCGATAGATTGTCCTTTGTATAGTTTTAAGTTGAAACGCTTCAGCACAATCTGAGATGGCCTGGCAGGGTATGCGAAATCTATGTCGCGAAATTCGATGAGAGGGGCCTCTTGGTCAATAACAGAAATGTCTGGTGCCATCTGGTTCAATTTGGATACATCTGGTATAGAATCTTCCATTCCATATATCGCACGGGTTGATGATATGCCTTGAGATATGTCTATAAGCCAAGCCATTAGTAAGTATACTGCTTACAAGTCTGCAGGCTATTTCACCATACCTGAGCTATGAGCAAAGAATTGCCCCGTCGTTTGGGCTCCGAACACAACGGCTATGAAGACGATAAAAAACTGGGTTGTCGTATACTCTTGGAAAGATAATAGGCGCCCTCCATACCTGTAAGTTCTTGTTAATAGGAAACTTTATAATATTGAATCGCGCAAACTCACCAGAAAGCCAGAGCCATACACAGCAAGTCAATACTATCGCTCAAAGCAAACCAAGTCATACTCCGAACTGCATATCGCCAGGCATTGCGGCTGTATTCCTCTAGCAACTTCCCAAACTTCTTTTCAATCAGTGGCTCTGTGTTTAGTGCTGAAACAGTGCGAATGGCTTGAATAGCCTCGCTAGCAAAGCCAACACTGTCAGCGAGCATCGCGCCGGCCTTCTCTTCAAACGAGTTCTGCATTCTTTCATGGACAACTCCGGCTCCGAAAATAAATGGAAACCCACCAAAAAGTACCACGAGGCCAAGTTTCCAGCCAACAGCTAAAGCAAGTGCAACGCAGCTAATTAGTGCGACTCCAACGGTTACAATAACTGCGAGGTTGCTTCCCGCGAGAGCGTTGACTGCGTCGGGATCTGAGGAAAGCCTGGATAGCAAGCTACCAACAGAATTCTCTTCAAGATCAAAAAATGACATGGTTTGAGACATTATAGAGCGTAAGTAGGCATATCGATATGCCTGAGCCACAAGCTATACACACAAGTTAGCATATGGAGTTCTACAGGGTTCGTATGTCTCTCACCTCTCCCAATGCTGCTCCCGCCCATCCCACTCCCAAGTATCCGAGGCCGACTGCGATGGCCAGTATGAACCACATGAGGCTCCAGAAATTACCGTGGGATACGAGGGATGCACCAGTTAACTGGAAAGTTGTCACCACTCTAGCGTAAAGGAACGCTTGCACAGGAAACAGTGCACCTTGTAAGATCAGTCAACAGTCCAATGAGGCGAATAATTGTCTTATAGCCTACCTCCAACGGTTGCAGACGCAAAGAGAATAAAAAATATCCACCAGTGCTTCTTTTGAGACGAGAGAATTTCCCTAGTAAGGGTAAATATCCCCCTTCTCTTGTGTTCTTGGCTCGTCTGCTCTGACGCATTGCCAGATGTATCTTGAACCTGCGTCAATTCCTTTCGTAGAAGAGGGTCGCTATTCACAGGCTCTAGCTCCTCATCCTCTCTTTTCATGGGATGTTGACTTTGCGATAGCATTTGCGCCTCCCATAGCCGTTTATAAATACCATTTTCCTGGTCGAGTAGAGTCATATGTGTGCCCACTTCGGCGACCTCGCCCTTTTTCATTACCACGATCTGATCAGCAGCCTTGATTGTAGTAAGGCGATGGGCAATCGATATGGTTGTTCTATTTTCACGAGCATTGTCAAGGGCGCGTTGAACGGTGGCCTCTGAATTCACGTCAAGGGCGCTCGTAGCCTCATCGAGAATTAGAATGGGCGGATCCTTGACTATTGCTCGTGCAATGGCCAGCCGCTGTTTCTGACCACCAGAGAGCATCGTGCCTCGGTTACCAATTGGGGTATCGTATCCCTACATGGCGTAAGTTAATATAATGGCAACAAGATAAACCTCCAACTTACCTGAGGAAGTCTAGTGACGAAGTCATGAGCATTAGAGGTCTTGCAAGCTTCTACAATCAAGCGCTTCTTATCCTCGGCTGACAGCTGTTCTAACGGGCTTCCTGATAACCCATACTCGATATTTTCGTATATAGTACCGGTAAAAAGATAAGGCTCCTATGATTGCGTTAAGTTTTCAGCTGCATTCTAAAAAAGCACGGGCTATTCGTACCTGTTGTACAAGTCCAATATTTGCCCTCAGTTTCTGAAGTGAGATTTCATGCAAGCCAGATTCACCTATCTTGATCTGCCCACTGGCAGCATCGTACCATCTCAAAAGCAGCCCGACAACAGTTGACTTGCCGGAGCCACTTGGGCCCACCAAAGCAGTAGTTTTACCAGCAGGAATGTTGAGAGAGAATTCACTTAGAACCGTAACATTTTTCCTGGTTGGATAATTGAATGATATGTTGTCAAAAGCAATATCCTGCCGGAAATGATCTGTTGTATAATTAGGGCTTGCATCCGGCGCCAAGCTCGATTCCGCCATTGAGGCTGAATCAATGACTTTAAAAAGCTCTGCTCCAGCAGATTTGATTCGCAAAAACGGTCCAAGATAGCCAGCGAGTTCAGAAAATGAGTTCACACCAATCATAATGGAGAAGAGGGTAGTGATGACTGTGCCAGCTGTTGCCGCTTCACCATCAACGTAGAGTTTCAATCCATACCAAAATGCAAGGGCATATCCTCCATAAAGCATGAACATGTACACTCCGGCCTGGATTCCCTTGACTGGTGATCGTGCAAGCCCAACTGCAACGGCACGCCTCAGCATACTCTCGTATTTTCCACCTAATGCCCCTTCGGCTCTGAGAGCTCTGACAGTCCGCATGGAGCTTATCACCTCGTCTGCGAGTGTTGCGGCCTCTGCATTGATGGCATTGAGCCTTTCTTCTTGCTTCTCATCAAATACACTTGTAATTCCAACCGCCACAACCGCAGCAGGAATGATCGTGGCCGTGACCAAAGCCAATTTCCACTGAGAATGAAGTGCCACAACGAAAGCCGCTACAACAGTAGAACTACTCTTGAGCGACAGACCAAATTTCTCAGCTAGACCAGAACGAATGGTATTTGAATGCGTCGAGAGGGCGAGAGAGACGGCTCCCGATGTGAGAATGGTTTCATGGTAGGCGATTCGTTGATGAAGTACAACATTTAGATATTTCCTTCGAACGGCAGAATTAACGCTGGCTGCGACAACTGTAAATAGAAACATGTAGATATATGTGCAGGCAGCCTTTGCAATGAACATGTAGACAAAGTATAACCTGGAAGCTAGTTAGGTATTTACCCTATCACTCATAAGAGTCTTCTAACAAAACATACGTGTAATGATTTACTTTGCCTCGGAAGTTCTCGCTAGAGATCCGACCCAAAGCGAAATCGGTGAATACCGACACAAAGTTACCAAAAATTAGAGTCATCAAAGGCAGGACTGTTCCGGATCCCATGGCTGCCAGAATTCCCAATGTGTAGAGTAGCTTCTCTTGGAAAGTAGCCATGTCCATTATTTTCTATTGATCATAGTTAGTTAGATTCAATATCAGTTCTTTATTTTATTTACTTTGTATATTCGAATAAAACTCAGCGACTGCTTCTCGGTCGCTCCCAAAGCATCACCATCGTTGGATTTTTCAGGATGTCCTTGGTCTTCCCCAAGTTCCAACACACTGGGTTCGCGAGAATGCGTCATCTTTGAGAGTTTTACTGAAGACCCAACCAGGCGGTTTTCTGGCTGCTGTTTGCACGCCTACCGGCCAGGTCTGTGTGTTTGAGTCAATCCCTTATATGGCAAAGGAGGTTTGCACAGAAAGAGATTACAAAGATTGTAAAGACGTCGCCTTCGCTGTTGCTATCGCGAAGAGAAAATGTTGTAAAGAATCATAAGCAAAGACGCAAGAAAGGATAAAGGAGGACAATCTGTATTCATTTCAACATATCTCATTTCCGACCCCATGGTGGGATTTGTATTGCTTGTAAAGCTGGTAAAAGGCTGATGTGGCCAATCGCGAGGCTCCCTACCGGACATTTGCTGCTATGTCGGCATCCCGGAGATTTTGGTGTCAAACGCGGTAACGGGCCAAGGAAGATGAAATGTTGCGACTATTGCCTTCTAATTCCAGCCTTAATTCGCGATACTTTTTTCCCGACTAGAATCTAAGCAGTAGAATGAAAATCGTGAGAATTGAATAATCTCCGGACATGCCCTTGCCGATTTCTGTCTGGGTAAATCGTTTGTAGCTCTGAGTAATAAACGCACCATGTAAGTGTTGACGTGACCCCGATGTAAGTAATATCTCAAGACACATTCCCACTCAACTGCATAGGCTAACGAGAGTGAGTACTTACGAATCAATTGGCCCAAATATTCACGTCTTCCATCATCATTGCCACCCTATATTTCGCAAATGCCCTAGCGCGATGCTGGTGAGAACATCGTTACCCCCATAAAGATTAATGGAGATTTAATCTATTGCTACTACTACTATTGTCATTATTGTTATTATCATTTTTAGAAGCAGATGTTTTGTATCTACCGCTTACATTCACAATTTCCAGGCAATAATCGAATTCATCGTAACTTAACCTCCAAAATGAAGCTGAACGACCTGTGTTCTAGCACCGAGCACATTCCGCAGCCCTCTGATTGGATGGCCCCGGACTTATGTAAAGCTGGACTCAAACTTCCGGTCACAGCCAATGGTTGGCCACGAAGCCGGAGCTTAATACTTGAACTTCCGCATAGGTTGTCTCTCTATGATCTCGCCAAGAGTGACAGAAGCAACTTGAACATCGTCACAGGCCTGGCTGGAAATTACCCATCTATTGTACCATGAGCCAAAACATAACACCCTCCAAAGACGTGGGATTAGCACGGTTTGCGGTACGTTGCAGTTCCCACCATCAGCCGTCAGTGGTTCTGTGCAGCTGACACTATCTACACCCACGCAGTGCACCCATTGCCGGCAAAAGAAGATAAAGTAAGTCTGCAAGGCTACCGAACTTAAAATCATGATTATTAATTGAAAAAAGATGTTCAAGAGAATTCCCCAAGTGCGCGGCATGTCGTCCATGGCCAGGCGAATGCGTTTACCACAGATTAACCCCAGTCTCCAAACCCAACGAGCCTGTTAATGCGTATGACGCCCGATGATCTTTCAGGGAACAGAGGTCTAATTTCCAATGATAGGAATGAACCAGTCAAATCAGCAGCAAGAATACCACTTCAAAACTCCAGCAACGTGGATCAACGCTTGTCCCGTGTTGAGAAAGCTCTAGATACCCTCTCCAGCGTGATCAATACGTCCCTCATTAGTTCTGCCGGAACCCGTGGAATCTCTGAAGCCCCTTCAATCACAACAAAGTCAGATTCGGAAGCGGCGACATCATATCGACCGCAAATGGGAGAAGTAGGTTCACCTGAGCTGACTTTAGACGATTCCCATTCATTCGCATACTTGGGCGAAGCATCGCGTCACTTAGACATCATCAAAAATAAGTCTCTACAAGGGCAACTCGCGGAACATCAAGCAGCATCTACTGCGTTGAAAGACCTTTCCAAATCTCTGACTACCGTCAGCCTCCAACCACCACCCACCGATGCATCGTCTTTTGAGTCTCTCAACGGATACTATGTACCCTCTCGAGCAGCTGGGTATAACTTGATAAGCTGCATGTTGATCCATTGACCTCACTAGATTCTACGCGATAAACTAACTGTAATCAGGTTTTCTTCAGAGTGCGCAGCTTGCTGACATCTTGTTCATCACTCCACCGGATGACCTCCTCTTAAACGTCATATTCGATCCGGCTAAAGTGTCTCAACGCGCTTGGATTGTCTACGTCGACTTCATTCTTCTGACTCTTCTGCAGCACGATGATTCTCAAGCAGATGTTGTTGAGAGCCTCAAGAAGAACACAGAAATGGCTCTCAATGACTGTAGAATATTCCTGGAACCGAGCGAGATAAACATCCAAGCACTCATGCTATTAGGGTGCCACGGCGAGCAATACGCTTCTCCCAATCTCTCTTGGATGCTTGTAGGTCATGCCTGCCGTCAAGCCCAAGCCCTCGGATTGCATTCCCTTGGAAGAGGCGATTACGCACACCAACAACGCCAATTGGCACTATTCTGGTCCTTATTTGCAGTGGACAAGTCTTGTTCATTGGCCTTCGGACGGCCGATGTTACTGCCAACCGCCACATATGAGAATGTTCCACTTCCCGATTTCCAGTACCTTCTAGGCTACCATCCGCACAGAAATAAACCCGTTATTACTCAGAATGGCTCTTCAACCTCAACATTTGGCGCCCATTTCTTCATCCAAGGAATGGAATTGGCCAAGTTAACGGGGGCAGTACTCGGTCTTCTCGCGTGTCCTGGAAATGTTGCAGATCATCGGGCTTTGGCTGCCAAACTACAGTCATGGGATTCAAATACAAACAAGGTAAGACTTCTGTCTTAAGCATAAATGCTCTCTATTAACGCCCTAATAGCTTCTTTTGACAGTTTTTAATGGTGAAGCTGCCAGCTCGACAGCTCACCAGATCCAAGAGATGATGATTGGGGTGCGTGCAATGAGATTTCAATATCTACACATCACGATCCTGGTATTGCGCAATGATCCAAGCAGCAGGGAGCGCCGCGTTCAGGCAGCTCGAGACGCCATCATGCTCCTCCCGGATCTGGTTTCAAACTCAACTCATGTGTACAACGGGCTTGTGTGGTAAATCCCCTTATTTATCTCTCAATAAGCACTTTTACTAACATTCTTGAAAACAAAGGCAACTGTTATACTACCCTTTCACCCCATTCTTTACAGTATTTAGTCATATCATGGACAATCCATCGGCACCAAGTACACCCCAGGACCTCGAATTACTCACCAAGACTGCTACATATTTCAGTAGCATGAAACAATTCGGCTCTCTTCCCGCCGTCTCATCCAAGCTAGAAAAAACAGCTTTAGTCTTCTGTAATTTGGCAACCTTTGTCACGTCTAGTGAGCATGCCAATGGAGATGCGCAAGACCAGCAGTCTACGACGACAGCCACCAGCTCCGAAGAGTCTGTACCATCAGCAATAGGCTTGGAAGAACCTACACTCTATGAAATCGATACTTCGTCTAGCGAGGCTAATTTCGGGTCATATACCGACGCCTTTATGGCTTACATCAGAGATCAAGATTTCGATGCGCAATCAGGCTTTGACAATACTGACATTGAGAATATTTTAGGCTGCTTGGACTCTGACGTTCCTTCACCACGCAAGCGTAAGCGATCATTTGACAACACCATGGATTGGTTTTCTTGGGACACATATTATTGTCAAGAATAACGCCAGAGTCTATAAATCATGTGTTTCGTATCAAGAACTAGGCAACACATTCTCGCTATTTCTCCAAGTCACCCATCTAGTAAAATACAAACCCATTAACGCCATTCCTCTATTCACCCTCGTTGATACAAGATAGTAAAGACACAAGTGGTCACAGCTTTATGAGAGGAAAAAAAAAGGTCGGAGACAAGCCTCTCAATGTAATCCACTCTCTCCCGTCTCAGCCATGTACTTTTGACAGCTTAACATCATATTGAGCTGCTCGCTCACTTCGTCTAGCCGGCCAAGAACTGTGCGATTGCCATCAACAAAACCCAAAATGGAATACGGAATGCCCGTGTCTGTACAAAACTCCTTTACTAGAGTCTGCGCTCGGCGGAGATTATGTCGCGGCATCCTTGGAAATAAGTGGTGGACGGCCTGGAACTGAAGTCCGCCGTGAATAAAGTCAAGCCAAGCAGGGCAATCTACATCCATGGTTGTTCGTAATTGTCGTTGGGCAAAAGACTCAGTCTCACCCAAGTCTGAAGTTGACATGCCCCAATGCGAGAGAGTTATTTGGACATGCAGGGGCATGGTAACAATGTGCGACACGAGGACAAAAGCCACTCGAATCGTCCATGTTGGTAAGGACCGCCAAAGCAAGTAGTACCCAAAGAAGAACCAGTAGCCGGCGCAAAAGGTGATTTCCGTGGGACGAATCCACCAAGCCTTGGTAGACCCCAGCGATGACGATTTGCCTGACAGGAGGTGCAGCCATGAGAGAAGATAGAGGTTGAAGCGAGCAATGCCCATAACTGGGTAGTACGTGTACTTCTGGTAGGGGATGAGAGCGTCTGCAACGGCGTCCCAGACAAAAACAAAGTTATAGTAGGTGGATCGGAGTGACCGAAAGAAGGAAGGGCACGTGGCGAAGAGAGGGACATTCTGAATATCAGGATCATGCTCCTAAAACAAAACAGTTAGCAGCTATTCCTCTTTACAAGTCGTCAAGATAGCAATCGCTGCAGCTCACAGGTTGATTTGTTATAAGATGGTGGACGTTGTGACTGCTCTTCCACCAGCCAATTGATAGACCACAACAAAAGTCGGCAATAAACATTCCGATGAGCGTGTCAACCATAAAGATCTGGGTAATGGCTAGATGACCAGCATCATGAGCCGTGAACATGATTTGGTGCTATAAATCAACAAAAATGGTTAGTATGGATGATCTAATAGAGGCAGATAATATGAAAGGTACTAACCCAGAACAATCCAAGAAAGACAGCCGAGGTCATATACCAGCCGTGACGCAAGGCAAAAAGGAAGCACATGAACAGGGTCGTGTATCGAAGCATCTCCTTGCCATATTCCACGTATCGGCAGTTGTAAAGCCCCTCGTCGCGTATCTGCTGGTGCAAAGCCCGGTATCTGTTGACAACTCCTTGTTGCACCATTGGATCTACAGACGGAAAGTCACGTAGGCCCTTTTCAACCCCCTGCTGCACGGCCCAATCCGTGTACTTGATAGGACATTTGGTCGGTGGAGCAGCAGCACTAACGGATGATGCTGATGATGAAGCAATTCGCCTGCGAAGACCCTTCTGACCAAGGCCAAGGCTAAGACCAGGGATGCCAGTGCTTGGACCCTCGATGCCGGGCAAGCTAGGACTGCTACATTGCGAAACAGAGTAGGGTGTGCTGGATGAGCTCAGCTCTTCTGACGAATCATCTGTGTCTGAATTGCTTTCGGGATCTGAGATGGACATGTCCGGAATCTCCGGCTCAGTGTGGAGGCTCGATTTGCGGAAGATGCCTCCCCTGATGGGAGGAGTCTTACTGATCCAGGGCCCCATTGGCTTCCGGCCGATCCGGTAGGCTGCCATCGTTCGGAGCGTGGCCGCAGAGTGATAACTGCAGCATAAGAGAAATAAATTGTTAGCACACTATCATGGGAACTTGTTTCTGGTCTGATCCTATGTGAATGGGGCCTCTGCAAAGGAAATCTCGATTCAGCATGGCCAACCCGCGCCGTCCCGCACGCATTGGTGTGTTGCATATGCACGTTTAAGCTTAAAACACGACGGAGCCGTTTTCTCAATCCTACTTTGGGGGCACTGCTTTCGATGCACATTGGTCACAGCACCGACAAGATAATTGTTATGAAGGCACAGGAGCAGAGGCTAGACTGAAAAGGCTGGGAAACCGACAAGATGGAGAAGGGAAGAAGGAAAGGGAAGTATTCACGCTGTAATTTCGTCGGTCGCGTCTCGGCCCACCATATGCTGAATCACCAAGGAGCCTCCAGGATGCTTGTCCAGCCATCCGTTGAGGCGTAGGACACAGTCTTGGAAAATGACAATGGCATCGCCATCGGCAATCATGCTTTCAACCTCCCGCTGCGAGAGAATTCGATCACGATCCATGACGGCGCGGTGATAGAAATCAAGCGACGATAATGGCGGGTACTGAATTCGGTATGTCGATATGTTGGAAAGTTTCGCAGGTTCGTGGCTCGGAGAACACCTTTATCGCTGAGAAGAATGGCTTGTCGTCAATACCATCAACGGTGAGTAACCTGGGGGGTAAAAAAGGTCAAATTGGAATGGACGATGTTGGACGCATTGAACTGGAGAGAGGAGGAGCGAGCTTGACTGATAGAACAGGCCAACATGCACTCATTAGTACTTACCCAGATCTCCTATTGCACATACATTAGCTGCCCAAACGGGAGAAGGGAAGATACCGACAAGTTTCCTTTGTCTACGCAAAAAACGGCGTACGGAAACCATGTTGGCCGTTTCACCTGTTCGGACGCGCGTCGGATAGAACTATGGGGCATAAAGGTGCTTTGGCCACGAAGATAGGAGGAAAGGAGAAGGAGAAATATGGCGCCACAACAAACTATGGAGATTTGCCAGCGCGAAATTCGATGCGCGACGGGGCTTGCGTTCGAACTCTGCTGAACTTTGATACACAGGTATAGTGGTCATAGGAGATTAACATTACGAGGCAGGTAGCACTACCTGGTAGGTACTTTTGATGAGGTTGGGTTTGTTCTTTCGAATCCCGCATAGTATACCGTCGATACTTGCGGATTAGCATCTACAAACCATGAAAGGCCAAGGTGCTACTGTCAGCTATTTTACCTAGATCAGTATGTCTGCATGCAAGCGCCATGCAGGTACACTTAACCCGCAAATATACTTGAGTCGAGACCCAGCTCTAGGCCTTCCAGAAGGAGGTGGGGATGGATCTTCGTACCACGGCCTTCATGTTCCCCGTCGATCTCGTTTAACCAAGTACTACTATATGAGAGCACCAGGTGATCTGGCCGAATAGCGGTCATGAACTTCCCAATATGGACACTAAACATCTAGTGCAGTTTGCTGCCCACATTAGCATCATTGCGCTCCGTGCTCATAGGCACAATACTGAAATATCCAATAGTCTAGAAGCCTAATGGAGGAATCCATTCGACGCTCAGGAGGCCTCTATGTCATGGGGGCGTTCATAGTGCTCCGTGCTCTGTGCTCTGTGGAGGGTAGTGCAAGAATCAAAATACTACTTTCGAGTTGAGTGCTGAAGCAAGCAAAATAGGGGTACTGCACAGCCAGGATTGTTCAAGGGCCCATCTGCGTATCGCAGGACGTATTCCCTCGACGTTGTGTGGCTGAGATATGTACGACGACGCTTCCGCGTAATAAACCCTGTCTTCTCGGCGTTTATATTGGGGTCCCGCATCCCAGGTATTATGTAAAAAGTTCGACCCATGAAACGCTTTTGAGCGATTTTACTGTTAAGATTGAGTAGCATCTAGAACCATGTTAGACGTGCGCTAGCACCAGATGCAAAGCACTGGCGCTGCTTAAAACAGACTTGTTGCTGTTGGCTCAACTGAGTTGCTTTCAGTAGTAGTAGTAAGAATTGAAACTAAAAATTGAAGCCCTTCAGCTGGCTCCACACTGAGTCTGAGACTTGTGGCTTGATAGCATTAAATCTTTGAGCTAAAAGATTGGACACCGTTTCAATAATAGGCCCCATGCTTTCCATACAATCTTGTCTATGCCTTCTTCCCTCTGCTATCTCTAGAATACATGTAAGTACATGTAATCTGCAGCGTAACTTTTGCATATTGAATTCTGTCCATCTCACGCATCATGGTGCCTTTATCTCACCAGGATTCGGCTGCGGAGACTTTGCACATGTATTATGAAGAGGAGCACACAAGAGCGGGGGAATAAATCCCTGCTTCTTATCCAACCAACAGGGTGGCTCTCTTTACGCGTTTCGGTTATATCGTGGACATTGAACATGGGGTGAAGGAGTATTTGCTGCCTTCTGAGCCGATCTTCTGAGATTTGCATCGCTTGCACTCAGACCGAGAAATCGCTGCCCATCCAAATCTCTTCTTGTATATCATGACTGACTCAAGGGCCAGCACGGCCTTCTGGCCGAAGCAGATCATACCACCCACACCTGAGAACTACAAGGAGCTGGCGAAAGATGGCGCCGAAAGGCTGGCTGCCGTATCTCTACAGCAGATCCCGGCTATTCCGGCCGGTGCGGTGATTCACGACAACGGCTGCGGATACGGCTCTGCTACGGCCGTCATCATGGCCTCTGCGGCTCCGGAAGTCTCCGCAACGTATCAAATCACGGGAACTGATATCTCCGGTGGAGCGGTGGAAGTCTATTGTGACCGAGCAGACTCCTCAGGCTGGCCTGCCAAAGGGCTTGTCATGGATTCTGACAAGCTCAAGTTCCAAGACGAAATTTTCACTCACACCATCGGCAATGCAATGATCTTCGTGGGTCCACGCAACAATGGTATCGACGCAGTCAAGGAGATGTATCGCACGCTCAAGCCTGGAGGAACGCTCATACTAAACTGCTTCGCCTACGTGCCTGTCCTAGAACCTATCCGTGAGGCCTCTCGAGTGACCCGTACGGGAGCCATACTGCCGGCCTGGACTTCATTTGAAGAGTGGACAGACCCAGCCTTTATAGCAAATATTGTGGAGGCTGGTGGCTTCAAAAAAGAGTCCATAAAGGTCCAGCAACGTGAGATGTTTGTGAATATCGGAGATTTTGATCGCCACACTGAGCTGGTCTGGAGCATGAGGGGAATGCCGAGCACTGGATGGAGTCGAGAAGACGAGGAGAGATGGGACGAGGCGTTGGAGATTGTGAGGCGCGAAATGAGGAAGACGGAAGGTTTCAAGACCCTTGACGACGGTACCACGGTGATAAGAAGCCTCATCAACGTGGCAACGGCGACCAAGTAGATGCCCACGAAAGAATAGAATGAGGCTGATGCTTTTGAGGCTCAGATATGGGTCTGTGGAGGGGATATTGAACTTTATATTTGGACACCAGAATTGCGCGATTTTGCAATAGTCTCCTGTACTATGAGATACATCTAAGCGTTATGTCAGCTGTAGGTAGTTTTCCTTCTCTAGATACTTTTCAGGTATAAAAGCTGTATTGTATTCGGTTTGCCTGAAATCCATTGCTTAGATACTTAGGATCTGGGGTGACTCGCCGAATGTGTTGTAAGCACGGCGGAGTTTAAAC